AGCTCTGCACCCTCAACCACTACCTGGAGCCCAAAAAACCTACCTTTTTAGGGTCCCCTATTATGATTTCTTTGTGTAAGTCCTTAAAAAGGTAGGTTATTTGGGGTTAAGGTAGACCATGGAAGCCTGAAGCCCATTAAACCTTGAACCGTCCAATCCCAAACCTCCCAGGCCCTCCTCTGCCGGACCGACAGGGACCCTGAACCCCTGACCCCTTAACGAACCATAAATCCTAACCCCGAAAGCAGTAGCAGTAGCAGTAGTAGTAGTAGTAGTAGTAGTAGTAGTAGTTGTTGTTGTTGTTGTACCCAACTGTACCACCCCAAGCCCTCAAACAACATGAAGACTTTCGGTATGCGGTCTTGTGAGCAGGTTGTTGCCAAAAGGACCCACCTGACTTACTTAAAAGAATTACGTAAGCCTAAACCAAACCCTAAACCTCTAAACCCCTCGACCCTTAAACCCGAAGCCTTATTATAAAACCTCCAGCCTCTCTCAGCCTAGGCTTACTTTGCGGCTGCTTCTGGGGTTCGGCCTTTGGTGGGGTCACCCGGCAAGAAACAAACAAGTGCCCGACGGAGAGTAACGTTGGGGCCTGAGTAATCACCAACACTATTTTTTCTTTTGGGGGGGGGGGTTAATTGGGGTTTAGGGTTTGGGGTTCCTTCTCGTCATGTTACACCCCAACACCCTATTCTAATCATTAAGGCCGCTATGTTGTGGGGATGTTGGGTTCAGGGCAGCTGTGTTCTTTGTGGCTGTCATCCCCAATGTCCGACGAAGATCTCGCAAGAGACTGGCCTTAACCACAAGACCTGGCACAACCCTGATTTAGCAAGGGCCCTTCTACTGTTGCGGCTCAGTCCGGAAACCCCTAAATCAAAGCAAGTCGAGGCTTTTTCGACCGGACGAGCCAACTCAAGGCCTTATCCGCCTTCTGCCTCGGGTCCGGGGAAAGGTTTAGGTGTTATACTGGGTTGTCCTTTGGGATCTTTTTTAATTTCCCCTGCTGTTTTGTAGAGAACCATGATAGTAAATAAATCTCAAAGGGCTTAAAGGACAACTCAGTATATGGCCTGCTATGGTGTAGGGTGTCGGGTTGGCGCTAAGCCGAACCTTGTAGGCGAAAGCAGAAACAGACGCAGGCTGCTGAGTGCCCCGACGCGGAGTGTATCCTGGCTGCAATCCGGGTCTACAGGTCTTAGGGTTCAGTCAGGGACCCAGCCTAACGAAAGCCCGAGACCTTCAAACCCCCAAAACCGGCAGCAACCGCCCCAGACCCTCAAAAGGCTTACTGAAGACCCTGAAGCCCTCAGTCCGTCAACCCCTCATAGCAGCTTGTGGAGTTGTGATGGGCATTCGTGGCAAAGGACTTCGGACCCAAGCTAACGAGTGGATGCAAGCTTTGGGTTGTTTTTGTATGGCTTGGGGGAAACAGGGTTTAGAGTTTGGCTTTGGTGGCTCTTAGTAGGGAGCACAGCCATGACCCCCCCCTTGCAAGGGCCCGGAGCAAGTAGGCTGGCGGCTCTATGGGGAAACTGCAGACCTTTACATTGCAAGGCTTTCTTTTCGTGCAGTCTTGCAATCCTGGCTCCCGCGTTGCTCCTAAGGGATCCGCAAAGTAACTGCAAGGAAGTTGGAACAGCGGAATCTGCCTGCCTCCAAAAAGGCAAAGCCCCACTGTAGAGCCCGAAGCCCCACTAAGACCAAGAATGCACACTTTGATCTAGGCCCTCTAGCCCCTCAAGGCTCAAATCCCCAAAGCTCAAGCTGTATGTGCCCAGAGACTCCAATATCCCGCATTTAAAAAAAATCCTTAAATTATGGTAGGATCCCTTATATGATTTAAGGAACATTAAGGAATATTGGAGTCTCTGGCTCTGGGTAATCCAACCCAAGCCCTCAGCTCTAAGCCCTCGCAAGCGCCGTCCCTTTTGCCTCGGGGGCTTTCGAGCAGGCATCCGGGCTGTGCTCCTGTCCCGGTTCACCACGAACATCGTGCTTCCCGGCTTCGTCTGCTTCGTGTGTAGGACCTCCGGAGTTAAGGTTACAATTCAGGGATTTGGGTTTCTAGCGGCCGGCCCATTGAATCCTGCAACCCCAGCTTCTGACCCTAAAGCCCTAAAGGCCCTAGGCCGGAAAGCCCCGCATCGAGCGGGTTCCAAGCATTGCAGACATCCAGAAATCTTTGCAGAACACCAAAATGCCACCCTAAACAACAGCAATCCCTCACGCCATGCAGCCCGCAACAAAACACACAAAAAACTATGCAAACAAACAGGTAGTTGTCAAAATTATCCCTCTTCGGGTCCCTATCATAATACGGCACCTAATATTTAGGGTAGCCAAAAAGGCACCCTAATTTTGACAACCACCCATATCCAGAGCCAAATTCAAGAGAAGCCCAGTTCCTGCGTGCTTGTCCTGGCGATCTTTGCCACGATGGTTCCTGGGTTGTCCTTTGGGATCTTTTTTAATTTCCCCTACGTTTTTGTAGAGAACCATGATAGTAAATATTGGTCAAGGGTTTCTAAAGGACAACTCAGCTATATACTAGCTAATATAGTAGAATGTCGGGCTTCCGTAATAGGAGTTACTATTATGGTTTCGGCAAGTATCCCCCCATATAGATACTAGGACCTAGAGTAGGCCCTTGTTCCCTTTTTTGAGGGTTCAGGTTCCCTTTTCAGCACCTTTGAACCAAAAAGGGCACCCTTTTTATTCCTGGGTTACTCTTGGGTCTAGGATAGTTTTGAACGGGATCCTAACCCATCTATGGTAAATTATAGGGTATCCTACCATGTAACCATATTCCAACTTTCTGGAGTTCCCTTTAAAGGACAACTCAGGTTCTGAAGCCTGGCCTCCCATGAGAGAGATTCGGCCTCTAGGCTCGCAGTTCCTTGGTTGGACAGGGTTTAAGGGATTATAGGCGATAGGGGATAGGGTTAGGGGTTTAGGGTTTAGGGGATAGGGTTAGTGATTAGGGTTTAGGAGTGGTTTAGGGTTTAGGGGATTAGGGTTGGGGGTTTAGGGGATAGGGTTAGGGTTTAGGGTCTAGGGGGGCTTTACGCTTTCTAGATAGGGCTTTGGGACATTTTTTATGTTTGCTCTTCTTGAGCTTAAGAGGATCTTACCTACTCATATTCTTCAAGGGCTTTAACGGCACCGCCTATCTTTCTTATGATTGTTCTACACTGGTTGAGAGTTGTTGAGAGTTTAGGTTTCTTGTTTGAAGAAAGGCTTCTCGGTTTGAGATTCGACATCTTCGTACGTTTTCTCGAGGCTCGATGAGCGTGTTATGCTAGAACGCAAACCCTAAACCCTAAACCCTCTAGGTATTCACCCTGGTTGTTCTGGTATCCGTTGATGAGTGATGGGGTCTCTACAGCTCATTGAGCTGTAGCGCATGGGACTGCTGGCAGACCCGCAAACCCCGAAAACGTCTTTCCGAATCTGCGGTATGCGTACCGCCATAGTTCTATGAGACCTGAAACCCTGGCCCTGCGTCACGGTGGTTTGTATACTTTTTGTGTGTAGAATGTACAGTATCGAGTATCTTGTTTTGGGCTTGGGTGATGCATGGCCTACGTTTTTGGACGGTGAGATTGCAAACGAGTGTTAAGAATCGTGCGCCGACCATCATGACAACGCACATGATGGTGGTAGTCAAGACGAGTCATCTGACTACATTGACGAGCTGATGACGGAGACGACGATCATCACGAAGGCGAGGGTGGTGATGATGATGGTGGTGGTGGTGAGGACGAAGAAGCTGAAGAGCACGATGGAAATGACGGCGGCGTTGACATTGATGAAGCAGTGATACTTGTGGTGAAGGTGGCTGTTACGATGATTATGATCGTGATGATGGTCCGGGTGATCATCACTATCATCATCATCATCGTCATCATCAGAAGCGGCATTATCGCCATCATCGACATCATCATTCTCATCATTCTCATCATCATCATCATCACCACCACCACCACCAGAAACACCAACATCACCATCACAAGCTCCATGATGTCATCGCACCTACACTGTTCTGTCAGGTCCCGTCGATCTTTTCGGCGTCACGGCTTGCTTATTATGGTCCCTAGGCCCCTCAAGCCTAAGCCTAAGCCGCATGCGCAGGCCAAAGTCCAGAGATGATGACAAAGTGCATCATCTGGGTGGTTGTCAAAAGTATGGTCCCTTTTCGGCTTCTTAGTGTATAATTCGGCACCCAATATTCAGGGCACCCAAAAAGGGACCCTAATTTTGACAGCTACCCATCTCTGGCCTCTTGGGAGCCGTGGTGCGAGCAGTCGGTCCAAATCCTGCGAGGGCATGCGGTGCAAAACAGCCTCCGCACTTGGCCCTGAAGCCCCAACTGAAATCATACTCCCCACCCCTAGGCCGAGCCATAAAGTTTACTTTAAGATACCTTCGTTTTGCTGCGGTGCCATTATCCTGAATCCAAGGTCATGGACGTAAATATGACATTCAGGCGTCACTTCCTACACTGTCAGACAGCACTCAGCCGCAAGCTCGCTGCCGCTCACTACAGCTCTCGACACCTCGCTGCCGTGTCAGTCGCTGTTCCTCTATGCATTCCACGAGAGGGCCAAAGGCTCAAAGCATAATTACCAGATCTTCTAACTCTACATAAGCCTGTCTACGATGGTAGGAGTGTCGGTAGCAATAGGTTTCAGGCTCAGGGGTCATTATAGGTTTGACCTGAGTTCGCCTTCCTTCATCGGTATGTCTGCAAGACGAGTCTTTGTATATACAGGCATACATAGGGTTTGGGACGGTGCGGCTTACGGACTTCACAGCCGTCAACCTAAAACCCTCAATCCTTAACTCACAAGTCCTAGCTCTAAGGGTTCCTGATCTTAACAATTTCCTATACTATTTTGGGGATTCCTATTTCAATTAACTTTAGTATAATGGGCCCCAAAACCCTATTCTAATTATTAAGGCCCCTAGCGCCTAAATGTATATAGAGCAATCTCATGGCGACGAGAAAGCGTCACAAGCCCCCGCGCGACGCCCCCGAAGAGGCTGCGGCTTCGGGTATTCTATGGAGGTCGGAGTAATTAAGCATTCACGCTATCTCTTTGTAGCCATTTCGCAAAACGTATAACAAAGCTCCAGACCTTGTTCCAAGTATCAAGTGCCCTATATTGAGGCTCACGGTTTCCACGGTTCAGGTTTGTTGGATTGCGATTTGCAGGACCCGAGGAACCCTGAAAACGGTTCATTCTTCGAACCTTTTTGGAAAGACCGGCCAAAACGACACAAGGAATATCAATCCCCTAGACCCTGAAGCCTACACCCTAGATCCTAAGCCCCAAAACCTGGATCCTAAACCCTAACCGTAGATCCCAAACGCTGAACATCGCTGAACCCTCTAGACTCAGAACCGCTTAAACTCTTAAAACGATACAAGCCCCTGAGAACATGGAAGCCCAAGCCATGGACAAGCACGGTGTAGGGTTCAGGGTTTACGGTTTATCCTAAGGCTCCATAGTAGTTCCTTTTGAGGAATACCTTACACGGTTCCAATATGAACCGCAAAAAGGCGCTACTATGGGGCCTTAAGGTGGGTTTAGGGTGTCTCCAGAGGCTCTTCCGAAGCGAAAGCGCGGGCGCCCGCTAAAGGCCAATTTTGCAGAGGACCCGGACTAAATTAAAGTAAATAGGTTTAGGGTTTTGGGGTTTGGGGCTTTTCGGCTTGCGTCAGGGGTTTGGGGGTGTGGTTTGGGCTTTCAGTTAAGCTAAGGGGTTTGGGGTCTGGCGGTCAAAATGACCGGTAAACATGATATCGCCTGACGTTATAGTACAAATGAATTCAGTATGAAGTCCCATCATAGCATAAAGGATAAGAGCCACTTATTGAATCATAGGGGTTGCGTAGCAAGCCCGATGAAAAGTACAGTACCATATATCCATCAACCATATCTTAAGGTTGCTTTAGGGTTGTTGCCGTTGTTTTATATTATGGAAACCCGTCACGTTTTGTTTTCCTATGCATCCATGGGTTTACGGTTTAGGCTTGAGCATTGAAGGCCGTGGTGTGTACGGTCGCAGAGTTTGGGGGTTAAGTAGGTTGTTTAGTTGTTGTTTGGGGGTTAGGATTCAGGGTGTCGGCTAACCACAGAACTCAGAGGGTCCGAAGCAGTACACAAGGCTCTTTACCTCAAGCAAACTATGAAGCTTCATATTGAGTTGGGGAGCCTTCCGTGTACCCTGCGGATCCAAGCGCCCAGACAATATATGCTTTCACCTTCAGGTACCCAAAGTATGTACTCTGTAGCTACATGGCCCTTAGAGTTACTTGCTGGGTACTGGGCTCTGTGGATAAGTTGGATTCGTTTGGTGCCTAGCTTGTGAGGACGTGAGGGTTCAGTGGTCTCATTTTGCATAAAGACTTTAGGGATCTTTTCGGCGTTAGGGTTTGGTGTATATGTAGGTGGGCTGGATATCCTTAAAGCCTGAAGCCCGGAACCCCAAACCCTGATTCTTTATAGGGTCCCTACTGTGGATCCGGCCGGAGTGGTTCGGTGATTTGTCCACGAAGAGTTACTCACTCAGGTTCCTACTATACTGTAGGACCTCATGGTGAAAGCATTGTACTGACTGTTCATATTATTAGTATAACCCAAACGCCTGTGGCACAGGGCTTTGGTCTTTTAATGATAATGATCACAAGGAGACTCAACTATCACTAAGTCGATGTCACGTTGCATCGACTACTATAGCTGCCTATATGAATAGCTACTGGGTTCCGTATTAATATAAACAGAGTATAATACACGCTCCAACCCTGCTCTAGCTATTAAGGCCCCTGTATTATCCATAAGCCTGCAGCCCCAGGACACATGGAGCGTCGCTGCGCCAAAGATAGCCGGCGAACATACCTGTGGTGTGCTGCTTCTTGCTCCGGAGGAAGTTCCGGAGTTGGGAGTTTTGGTTGTGGGATGCCCCCTCCCCCTCACCCCCAACATTGAAGCCTGATTTCACCCGCCCTTTGAGTAGAATGGTCGCTTGCATCATGCGTCCACTAAGGGCTAGCTTGCATGGCTGTGATGATGAAGCCCTGAGCCCCGAGTGCTATGACTATGTAAATTCAGTCTCGATTTAGGGCCGGGGAAATCACAGACCCCTAAACCCTAAGCCCTGAACCGTGGGAAGGGGGGGAGGAATCAGAGCAGTCTGAAGCCTTTCTTGCAGATGTTCAGGGTTCGATTTCAGAGCTTGAGGGTTTGTATTCCACTAGGCCACTAGGCGACGGTAGAGTCCTCTATACTGAGGACGGTCATAATTCACAAACAGAGGAGCAAGCAGAGTGATGTCACCATCCACGACACTCCGCCATCATCGTCAACATTATCCCTACACTGCCCCTAAACCTGAAGTCGTTATAACCCCTAAAACCCTAAACCCTAAACCGACTTATGTGCCCGAACAGGGCATGCAAGCTGGAAAAAGGCTTGTCAACATCGATTTATCAACAGACTTTTAACTTGGGTACGGCCGCCACCCAGTAATAGTTGAATAATATTCATAGTATAGTTATATTAGGACCTTACTAGTAGCCCTATTATAGACTCTTAGTGTATGGGGGCCACGGCCTAACTTATACCTGAATCTCCGAACCCTCACTCCCCTCCCCAGCCAGGAGCCTGCCTTGGAAGCTCTGCAAGCGTTCGGCGAGCCGGACTCTGGGAAGCCCACTGTGGGAGTTTTAACTTATTGGCTGTAAGCTCAACTTTTTTCAACTTTTGTGTTTTAAAGGTGGTCGATTCTGAAAGTTTCGAGGTCTATTTCCTTGGGTTTTGGGCCAGTGAGTTAAACAAATGAGGGACTGAACGAAAACTACCCTTTAAGACCTTTAAGAGACTCCAGGATAGGATTATGTAAATACCTTTAGTGAAGGAATGTATGAAGTTCTAAGGTTTCGCAGGGCTGTAGTGGTAATATTTTAGGGGTTTTATGAGGCAAATACCTTGAATCATGGGGGTCTTCAACATGAGTTAAGGTACATGCGTGGCTGAAGGAGTGGCTAAGCTTCTGAGTACCGTCAAGAGGGACAAGCGAGGTCTTGCTTACCAGTAGCTCAGGTTATCAGAACACTCACACTCTAAATCCTAAACTTTAAACTCTTGAACCCCTAATTAAATCCTAAACCCGTAAACCCCAAACCCCTAAAGCCTAGACCGTAAACCCTGAACACTATACCTGTGAACTCTTAAATCCTGAACCCTATAAACCCTAAGTTACTAAACCATAACTCCTTGAAGCTCCAGGAAGACCACCGAAACAATATGCAGAAGAAAAGGTTGCAGGACACCCGGAGTTCACCCAGCTCAGACCTAAACCGTAAATGCCGCCTGCACAAACTGATACTTAGGGGTACTTAGAAATAGCTTTTAATTTTTGGTTATTATAATCCCTAAGAAACAGCTAAAATTATAATTTTTGCTAGGGTTCTAAATTCAGTATAGCTTAGTTTGTTGGGTGTACCATGAGAGCCTAAACCCAAAATGCCCTACTATAGGGGGCTGATTACATCCTCTGCTGATCGATCGGGCCGGCATTGTCAGCCATCAACACATCGAAACAAGATAAGCCGTAGAACAAACAATACACGACTCAGGACTTTTCCGTGCGCCGAGAGCCACAGCAACTGTTGGCTGTCCTTTGGCTGTCGTTCGAGTTGCCAGTGTTCTGGTTTTGGGGGTTGGGGGTGAGAGTTTTCTTAGGGGTATATACCTAGAAATATTTTTAAATTTTTTGTTATTATCATCTAAGAAACAGCTATATAAAATTACAATTTTTTGCTAGGGTTCTAAGTTCAGTAGAGTTTCTGCTGGCTTAAACTCCAAACCCTTGGGATCAAGGGCTTGTAGATTTTCAGCGACCCCGTAAGTTTTCTGGGTAGCTTCGGCATAGAAAGTTTAGGATCGGTTCAGGGTTAGGGTTGTGTAGTCTTGAGGGTTGGGGGCATAATAGGGTGTCAGAATTTAGGGTTCAGGATGTGAATGGGATTTGGGGGTTTAGGGCTTCGTGGCCCCACTATCACTGAACTCAATGCTTGCAGGTGCCCTGCCCCATGGCGCGTCCTGTGGTGACCTGGCTCGCAGAGCATCAAATGCCCGAAAAGGGTTTGGCAGAGGGTTCATGTGTACTGCCGCGATGGAAGATGGTCCCCAACGGATACTCGGTTTTAGTTCTGGTAGGTCTCATAATATGTCGCCGTCGTGCCTTAAATGGTGTTACTCTTAGTTTAATTACACACACACACACACACAGATATGATACTACTTTCCTAAACACACCCAAACCCGATTCATAAAGGCCTTTGTATCATTCGACCTCATAAGATGACCAGCTAAAATCCCCAAGCCAAAGCCTGAACTCAGGCCGTTCAGTTCAATACGTGGAGAACTATTCTGGCCCCTTAAGCTTTAGCAGTAGACTACGATGAACGCCGAAACCTTATTTCGTTTAAGAGGGACAGTGTATGTAGGTTTTAGAGCACTGTGTTGTGCTTACGGTGCGAACCGGATCTCGGTTGGGGAATATTACTGTATTACTATCAGGGGTATTATGGGGGTTTATGATAGGGGCCTCTTTATAACTACTTATACTATTCTTGTAAGAGGTTATTAGAATAGCGGCTAGAATCTAGAACCGACTGTTTGAGTCTCCACTTTGGTGGTACGTCCATTGTGCTTCGGCGGTGAGTCCTCCATTGGTTTTTGTCAGTTTTTTTCAGAGTCTTTCATAGTCACCACGTCTATTTGTTGCTAATGGTGGTAGTGATTGCAAAATGATTGAATTGCTGGGCCCAGTTTCAGCAAGCCCTGTACCTCGGAGGTTTGGCGGCAGGGCGTGTTTTCACTTGGAGTTCGCTGTGAATCCTGTTCTTTGTTTCGGATCAGAGGTGGTTTGTTGGCTCATTAGCATAAGAGGCTGTGTGATATCAGGAGCCTTTTATCATCATGATCCTCATGACAAGGCCCTAGTTCTCAGGGGAAACTTCCGGTTTACATCGAGGGCGCCTGGGTTTTGAAGTTCGTGTAATTGTGGCAAACTCCCGCTGAAAGAGATATACTTCCAATCCAAGTAGGGTTTGGGGTTGAGGACCACCCTAAAACCGTGACGAGCGCTCAGAGTTTAGAGCTTAGGGTTCAGTGATGAATTAGGTGGCAATTTGGGAAACTTTTTGATTTCCCTTATGGTTCCTATAGAGGTACCTATTCATAAAGCCCCAAAACTACAACCCAGTGAATTACGGGGAAGCTCCCACCCTGCCGGCAAAAAGCCTCAATGCCGAAGCAAGAAAACCCTGGCAACCACAGGCCTCCATAATGTAGGCGCCTCTATTAGGGTTCCTTTAAAGGGGTCTATAAGGGTTACTATAAGGGATCTATAAGGGTACTATAAGAGATCCATAAGGGATCTATAAGGGTACTATATGATGTAGGGACCTGATCAAGAAACCCTGGCCCTGTAACCCCAAAATAGTAGCTTTCATATAAGGAACCCCAATAAAAGGCCCAAGGTTTCTTAACCAGGTTCCTACATTACCCTGAAACCCCAGCACCGGAATCCATCGAACCGAAACCCTTAACTCCGAAATGTGCCAATTCCAAACTCCTGTGTCCGCTACCCCTACTAAGCTCCTAACCTCTCAACCACAACAGGGTTCGTGGTGTGAGGCTTTATACCTACCTCAAACTACCATAACCTACCTTTTGTAGGTACCTGTTGAACACCTCAAAATAGATTTTTGCAGGGGCCCTACCAAAAACGGTAGGTTTTGGTAGTTCAAGCCCTTTTGTAGGTATTGCTTGAAACCCCAATACAGAACCCTAAAACCCTAATACAGGGACCCTACCCAAAAAGTTAGGTTTTAAGGTAGGGTTTGGGGTTTCTTGAACCAGGTCGTGCGGGCAGCCGCTGATAAGGCACCGGAAAATCTTGGAACAGCGGTTTGGGGTTTAGGGTGTACGGGTTGGGAGGTTTAGGGGTTGAGGGGTTGTAGGATTTTGGAGGGGTCTAGGTATGGTCGAAGAGCCTATGTTTCTGGTTTTTGTCGGGGACAGGGGGGGTGGTGTGGCGCTAAATCCAAAACTCCTAAACTTAGCTGGGTGCGCTTACATCCATACCCAAGTACCTGAAGTCCTCCTCAAATTCGAAGTGCACACACCCAGTATGTACCCCACATAACAGGCCACAAGGGCTTAAATCGATGTTTCCCAAACCCCTACCTTAACCCCGAAGAACCTACATCTTTAAGGACTCATATAAAGAAATCATAATAAGGAACCCTAAAAAGGTAGGTTATTCAGGGTTAAGGTAAACTCTAATCTCCTAAACTCCCTAAGCGCTAAGACACGCCAGATTCCCACAGGCCATTGACGAGCGATTACGCGACCTCGCCAGGCCAGCTGGGCTTCAGAGCTTTCAGGGTTACTTGGAGGATCATGGGACTTAGTAAGTCAGGTTATAAATACCTTAAGTGGGCTTATAAGAGGTTATAAGTATAGTTACCATGTTTATAACCCCAGTTACCAAGTCCCATGATCCTTTATTAAGTAGACCCTAAAACCCCTCTTATAGAACCCTTATAGATCCCTTTAAAGGAGCGCTTTAAGGAACCCCAGTTACTAAGTCCCATGATCCTTTAAGTAAGGGCTTCGGATTTAGCGCTCGGGGTTAAGGGTTACCCTTAAAGGAACCCTTAAAGGACCCAGAGACTCCAATATCCCTTAATTAAGGAATATACCTTAAATTATAGTAGGATCCTTAATATGATCTAAGGAATATTCCCTAATTAAGGAATATTGGAGTCTCTGGGGAGCTCGCAAAAGGAACCCGAGGGCTTCTGTAAGGGCTCTCAGGCTTAAAGGTTACCTAGACCTACTAAACCCTACTTGTTTGTAGGTTCTTATTATATACCTTAATATGGAATTTATAGGGACCCTACAAAAAAGTAGGGTTTGGGTAGGTTAAGGTACTGCAGAGGTTCTATATAGACGGGTCACTGTAGAAGTTCTCGGATTCGCATAAAATGGATTCTAGGAGTTGGGGATCGAGGGTTCAGGGTTACAGCAGAAACCTGCTATCTGGTCCAGAAAGTCCAGACACCTGAACCCTAAGCCCTGAATCCTGGTCCCCTTTTCTTTTTACAACCAAGAAGTCGCAAAAAGGGGCACCCTCCCTCACTCAGGGGCTATTATGGAACCTAGTACCCAAAGTTCCCAAGTCCTCAAACCCCCCTTAAACCCTAAAAGCCCTGGTACGTGAACCCTAAGCCCTAAACCCCTAAAACCAAAAAACCTTGGTACCCAAAGTCCCCAGAGCCTCCGATTCCTGAAATTGCCAGGCGCCTTCGCCCGGACAGAGCGGCTGAGGCTGCCAGCCTTCGTGGCGCCTTCCGGCAGCTGTTTTGTAGCGTTTAGGGCTTCTATTTTTATCATTGCTCGGGTAACCAAATTTGTGTTGGTCCTAAAAAAAATTCACGGTGCCTAAACAAGCACACACTGCAGAGCGCAGATGGGGTCTAGCGCGTATAGTGATTTAGGGTCTTCGCTTGATGTGGGTGGTTGTCATATCAGGGTTACTTTTGGGGAAGCCTAAATATTAGGTGCCGTATTATAATAGGCAACAAGGGACCATAATTTTGACAACCACCCATGTGATGAGCTTCGTACGGTTTATGGCGTGTTGTGGCCCCTACGTCTCCTAATAGAGGGGCCTTCATAATTAGAATCGTATTCTCTTTGAAGGGTTCTTCAAGGGCACTACAAGGAATGTATAGTAGGGTTCTATAATATAGGGGCCTTAATAATTAGAATAGGGTTTGGGGGGCCCGTCATACTTTAAGTATAATAAGGAACCCCCAGAACAGTGGTAAATATGAAGGCCCCTATATTAAAGAGTTTGGGTTCACTTCGCATTTGTGAGGTATTGAGTCTGAGGTTTGGTAAACAGCTGAGGTTTAGGTCAGTGTAGGTTCGTTCAGCAGTTCTGGTTCCTTTCCAGAGTTCGGGGCATATGCTGTGTTGTGCATATTGTCGCTTTTGGAAAGTGGCCGTTTGCAGGCTTTAAGCTTTAGTTGTTTGGCTTTGCTTTTTGTTTTTGGAGTTGAGGTGTTCTTCGTTTTTGTTTTCTCCTCAAACCTGGGTCTCAGATCTCGTTTGGGTACGGCCCCTACTCAGTAATAGTTGAACAATATTCATAATATAGATATAGTAGGACCTTAATAGTAGCCCTTTTATCGACTCTTACTGTATGGGGGCAGTACCTAAGATCTCGTTTTGTTTTCTGGTTTTGGGCGTTTAAGCTCCATGGTACCAATGTGCTCAGAGGAACTCCTTCGGCTGGCGCTGGACCATCTGGGCTGTCCCTGGGACCTGCATTTCATGGCTGGGGTTGTCATTTAGGGTTCAGGATTTTGGTGAGTTTAGGGATTCAGGATTTAGGGGGAACCCTAAACCCCTAAAGCCCTACATCAGGGTGTTGTGTTTTACGATTCCAGGGTTTGGGGTATAGGGTTTTAGGGTGTGGGGCTGAGGGTTTGAAGGGAGGCTTCAGGTTCGGGCATCGTCAGTGTAGGGAGTAATGCTCTCCCCTTATCGTCCCTAAGTACCTATATTCATATGGGTGGTTGTCAAAATTACGGCCCTTTTTTGGGTACCCCAAAGATTAGTTGCCGTACTATATTAGGGACCCGAAAAGGGACCCCCAATTTTGACAACCACCCATATATCGGAACCCCTGTGAGGCCCATGCAAAAAAAAATTGCAGTCTCAGGTGGGCTCAGGTATCCGCCACATACACAGGATCGAGGGCTGAGTGGTTGATTGATCGCCTCTCTAACCCATGATTCATGTTTCGTCCTTATTGCAAGAATACCACAAGCTGTTGTCATCCCAAGCAAGGAGTCTACGCGGGCTACCCTCGACGCTAAACCCCTCGGCTGAAGCTTATTATTTTTATAGCATACGTAATAGGCCCCCAAACCCCAGTCTAACTATTAAGACCCCAATACTATAGAACCCTACTATACATCCCTTGTAGAGCCCTTGAAGAAACCCTTCAAAGGGAACCCGATTCTAATTATTAAGGCCCCTTTTCTTATGTGTTTTACGCTAGGCATTGGGGCGGAGCTGCGAATTAAGTAACGGCTCGGGCAGTGCTGTCAATTTTGGCCAAGGGTTTAGGGGGTTACTGTAGAGTTTAGGGTTTGGGGGTTCAGGGCTCCAGCCTTACCACGACACTACTTGCTCGAACTTCATGCCGTTCGTCTTCAAGTATCGCTGTGAGGTCGTATTCCAGCAATAGATTAGATCTTCCAGACCGGTGTTCCAAAGCCAAGTCGATGTCGACATTATATGGCCGGAAAAGGTGCACTGTCCCGTAACAGGGGGTTGCCTGCATCTAGTCGTAGGTCTTGTTTGCCAGTCCAGCCGACGTGTTTGCGATGTCGGCAGAAGGAGAGAGAAAGAACGTTTACTGTGATGGGATATTCGACCTTACCCACATAGGACATCAAAATCTCTTTCGAAATGCATCGAAGTTGGGAACGCATGTGTTCGTGGGTGTCGTCGGTGACAAGGATGCGAACAATTACAAGAGGCCACCCATCATGACGGCTGCTGAGCGCGAAGCACAGGTACTGGGATGCAAACATGTCGAGAAAGTTATTCCGGACGCACTTTGCTTCGGCATGACAGAAGAGTTCTTGAAGGAGCATGATATCCATGTATGTGCGGTCGGCCAGGAGTATTTCGATCGTTTTCCTGACCCCGAAGACGATCCTTACTACAAAATTCCACGCAAGTTGGGGATAGCTATGCCGATGCCCAGGTTCGATGGCCTCTCTACTTCCGACCTCATTCGGAGGATTCAAGAGCGGCAATCGCCTGAGTGGAAGCCGGAGGCTACTCCGGAAGAGAGTTCTATCAGCAAGGTGCTAGAGGCAGAAAGGGACCTCGAAAGGGACATTCCTGAAGGAGACAGGAAGAACGTCTACTGTGATGGCATCTTCGACATGTGTCATGTGGGTCACCAGAATCTCTTTCGCAATGCATCGAAGCTGGGAACGCATGTGTTCGTGGGTGTCGTCGGTGACAAGGATGCCAACAACTACAAGAGGCCACCCATCATGACGGCTGCTGAGCGCGAAGCACAGGTACTGGGGTGCAAACATGTGGACAAGGTCATCACCAATGCGTTGTGCTTTGGCATGACGGAGGAGTTCTTGGCGGAGCACAACATTCACGTTTGTGCCGTCGGTCAGGAGTACTTCGATCGTTTTCCTGATCCCGAGGACGACCCCTACTACAAAGTTCCGCGCAAGATGGGGATAGCTGTGCCAATGCCCAGGTTCGATGGCCTCTCTACTTCCGATCTGATCCAGCGAGTGAAGGACAGGATCTAAGTTTTCCCGGGGAGGCTGCCTCGCCCCAAGGCTCTCATAGCACAGTAGCGCGCGACATGGGAGCCTCGAAACGTTTTGATATCATAGCCATACAAGTACTGCGTATACGAAGATCCTGCGACATTCCCTTAAAAATCCTGTGTATGAAGACACCCGTGTCGTGGCGATGTACGCCGAGTCATCGCTGCGCAAAGCTGTCACGATGGACGTGCGCAGGAACCGTGCCCATAGGGCACCGGTTGTCGAGGGCTCGCGCTTGATATTGTCTGATCGCTTCAACCCAATCTGGGTATATGTCGATACTCAGCTCTCTCTGCACAAAGAAGCCAAGAAGCCTAAGAACCAAGCTACAAGCCTTACGCCCCGGATCCGCGAAACACTGCTGAAAGCAGCAAGAGCGAGAATTGAACATGAGACACATTCAGGTGGGAAGGCGCGTTGTCTACTTTAAACTACCACAGCGCTCTCTTGTAGGAGTTCTATTTCCCAAACGATATACTGTGGACCTAGCATTTCCCAGTTGTGTATAGCTTGCACTTTTCGGTGCATAGGATTCGCCCATGATTCTCCCGCGCGTAGACAGCTACGACGAGGATGAAGGTTAGGGTATTATTAGAGTTTGAGGGTTTAGGGTTTAGGGCTGGTCTCCAACGCCTGTGCCAGTATTTGAAATGTTTGGTCAACACAGACTCCCGAACAAGTATGTAACCCCTGTAGCAAAACCGCAACGAAGTCTTGATGACCCGCCACGAAGATCGGCACATACCCATCCCTGCCAAAGCGAGCCTGTTGCTGGAAACGGAAAAGGCAGGTAGTCGCTTCATGCACATGTTGCTCAAGTAAGCCCGAAACCTGCAACAAGTGAACCTTCTGCCCTTCACCCTATATTCCCGAACCCCGAAGCCTTAAAACCTGTCAGCAGCAGTGATACGGTTGATGATATAAATCCTGCATCACCCATAATCAGGAATATACCATAATTCCCATAGTTTATGGTCCTTAAGGTATTGCAGGATTTATATCATCAACAGTAAGGACAGCTTATAGTCCTGACAAAAGCAGCAGCCGCGGCTCTAGAAGTAGTACTGCTGACGATTGTACTGACAGCAACACGGAAGGACTTCATCCTGAGCCCTACACACATCCTCAACACTATACATCGTAAGCTCTGAACCCGATCCCAAAGGCTCCATGTACCCATGTAGTAGATACTTCAAGTACCTATCTAGGGACCCCTTTAAGGCTTAAGTATGTACTTTTAAGGTACATGGAGCCTTGGGGGAAGAAACCCTGAGCCCTAAACCCCGCAACCCAAGCCTCCCATCTGCCAAAATCTCGAGCCCGAATTTCGGCTTGCTATAGAGGCCAAATGGGAGTTTCCGAAAAAAGGGGACCCTAATAATATTACCCTAAATAGTAGGATCCTCACTATAAGAACCCCAAGATAAGGTGCCCCTGATGTCGGAAACTCCCAAATGAGGAGACCTGTGTGGTTTAGGGTGTTCGGTTTGTCAGGTTCTGGGCCGGCAGGGCTTTATTCTAGTATGTTGAAGAAGCCAGCAATCAAGGCCAGGACATTTCACCCTAAACTAACCCCAAGCACCAATTGAGTGAAACCGTGTGGAGCTGAACTCGAGGCCCGAGGCGTCCACCGAAACACTAAAACGTAGACCCTTCCTTAACCCCAAATAACCTACCTTTTTAATGACTTATATAAAGAAATCATAATAGGGGACCCTAAAAAGGTAGGTGCATTGGGCTCCAGGTAAGACCCCAAGACTCTGGCCTGTAAATCTCATGACTCGAAGCTGTACAGCCTCTGCCCTAAATCCTATAAACATCTGTGAACCTTAGACACTATCCCGAAGGCTCCAAGTTTACGAACAGTACTTACTTTGGGGATCTAAAGTCTATACATGATACCTACTTTGGTCCTAAACTCTATAAACCCCAAACCCTATAAACCCTAAACTTTAACCCTAAACCCTATAGGCCCTATAAGCCCTAAACCTTATAAGCTGGAGCTATGCCTTAGCATCGGAGGCGACCATTGGCGCCTGAGGGAGCATTGCCCCTCGGCCTTGGGAGGGCTTGCTTTGGGCTTTCGGGGTTTACTTGGAGGTTCATGGGTAGTTATAAGGGCTCTCCTTTAAGGGTCCCTTTAAAGGGATCTATAGGGATTCCATAAGGGTATAGGGTTTAGGGCCTACTTGGAGGATCATGGGTAGTTATAGAAGCAGCGTTTCAAGTCGGGTAACTATACTTATAACCCATATGAGTTGACCTATAACCCTACATACTTATAACTACCCATGAAGCTCCAAGTAGGCCCTAAACCCTGTACCCTTATGGAATCCCTATATATCCCTTTAAAGGGACCCTTAAAGGAGCCCTTATAACTACCCACGAACCTCCAAGAAGGGTTTGGGGTTTAGCGTTCAGGGCCCGATGTCGGAAGGGGAGGGAAGGTTTCGTAGAGATAGTGTAGAGATACATTTACTTAATAGTAGTAATAGTAGTAATAATAGTAATAATACACATTGAAGAATATTTTGTCATTGCTCACTACAGCACTCTTAAAGAATATTCCTTGCGGTTCCTTACGATACCTGTGGCTCAAAAGACCTACCTTTCAAGGAGCTGTACATAAACGCTACAGTAGGGGACCTATAGAAAGGTAGGTCCTTTCGGCTGCCAGTAACTCTTCTACGGTTGGTGATATGAAGCCTGCATTACCCATAATATGGAATATACCATAATTCCCACCCTATTGTGGGTAATGCAGGGTTTAAATCAGCAACCGTATGAAGTTGAAGGATCTGGGGCGAACACAGGCGAAGGCGTCCCCCCGAAACGAGAACCATAAACAATGTTAACCAAACTCTCTACACTTATGCACCTTCCAACCCCCGAAGCGGATTTGAGCGTGGCCACAGGTATGAAGTAGACAAAGCCTCGGTGCCGCAAACTACCCGCCCGCTCTGGTGTCGCACCTATGTCGCCAACACCTGCCCAAGCAAAGATCTAGAACCCACAAGCTTGGAGACGCCGCCGACAGCCCTGCAAAAGCCAGAGAAACCAAGATCCATCATTCTTTAAACCCGACAGATAAATGTCCGCAAGTGGTTCACGGCAGATCAAAGATGTAGGAAGCAGGGCACCGACTTCCTAAGTTGGAGCCGGCTCGCTTCTGGGTTTAAAGTTTAGTGGGTTGTCCTTGTGTTCGTTGTGTGTTTTGTTTCATCTGGTGTTTGGCTCCAAATTTTAAAGTCTAAGACCTCAATCGGAACTCAGAGACTCCATCAACGTGACATCCGGTGTCTTCGCACAGGTGTGATGGCCACTCTGTCACTTCCCTGTGGGAAAGAGGAGACTCTACATCTTTTTCTTTGTACTCGTGCGTACATGTGTCCGAAGTTCCGACTTGAGTTGTGTAAGGTCCTCAATGGGCTGTTGTTGGGTTGTGGCAAGGCCTACTTGTGCTTGCAAGGCCTCGTCAGGCTGGGACAGCTCAAAAGGCGTAATAGGTGTTCTGCCGCTGTTTGGATTTAGGTTGATTTTGTTGGTTCAGGTTCTGGGTCAGATTGTGTTAAGTTTCTAGATAGCCAGCCGAACTAAGCGGCCGTTGGCCTTGACGTGTACACAAAGATCTTAAGACCCGTTTGTAATGCTCTTCTAGGAGCGAAAAAAATCACCCTTCATTCCTATCTATATATATATATATATATATATATATATATTCAGATACATTTATGGTTAGCATTGCTTCCTTTGCTTCCTTTATTGGACCTTCAAGACAGGCAAACCTTAAACCCTCTAAATCCTGAGCCCCAGGAGATCCCTTAAAGGAACCCTATAGATCCCTTTAAGGAACCCTAAGGTATATTCCTTAATTAAGGCATCCTTGGGAGTCTCTAACCCAGGAAGCTTACGAAGGCTCCGCGGTTTGATTGAAGGTGGCTTTCGGGGCACAGCAGACCTGGCCTTCGGCCTTGAGTCTGGGTTCCCAGAGACTCCAATATCTCTTCATTAAGGAATATACCTTGAATCATATAAGGGGTCCTACCATAATTTAAGGAATACTCCTTAGTTAAGGGATATTGGAGTCTCATAGACCCTAAACCCTATAGATTCCTTTTTGGAACCTCAGGTATTCCTTAATAAAGGGATATTGGAGTCTCTGGGTCCTCGGGGAACCTGACGCCAGGAGATCGAGGCAGCCACCACAGTGCGGGAAAGATTTGTGTGCGAGGAGCTTCGTGGCTCGGGCCCAATGGGCACCTAGGGGTTATAATCCATAAGAAACAGCTACGATTTATATGTTTTGCTAGGGTTCTAAGTTCAGTATAGGGCAGTTGTAAGCTCCTGTTGAAAGTTGCTTCAATATACAGGATCTATGAGATTCAATGGTTAAGCACAAGGGTTTCGGAGGTTGCGGATAGAGGTCTGAGTATGTAGAGATGATAGTTCTTGATAGTGTTACAACACAACAACGTCAGTGCTAAGCCTGAAACATGTATGATACACCCCACCCCACAGCCAGGGGATCCCTGCATTTTTAAGGTCTTGTTTCAAGGCTGTAGGTTGGTTGAGTGTCTGTTCAGGGGGGGTAGTTCGTTTTGGTGCAGTGATTTAGTCGGGAATGCTTAGAATGTTGCTTCAGGTTTCTTAGGGTTCTATGCCAACATAAGGCTTAAGGTTTAGATTTAAGTTTAAATTGTCCCCATAGAACCCAGATGAACTACCCCCCACTCGCCCCGCCCCTCCTCCCCCGAACGAACACACTCCCAGGCACCGTCATTCTTTGAACCCAAGAACACAAAGTACCAAACGAGAGCACCCCAGCACAGAAACCTAATCAACAAAGCCCCACATGCACAAGCAATTTCCAGGCACCCGAATGGACCTTGGAATTACTGCCAGCTCTGCCCCCCTCCCGGGTGAGTCCAAAGAGGCATTTTCCGGAAGCACGGGGACATATCATAGGGGCCTCAATAAGTACCCATACTGTTCGCAACCCCATTCCAGTTACTAAGGCCCCTTCATCAGTGGAATCAGTGGCATCATAGGGCCATTAGCAAATGGACTGCATTCATCTTCGTTTTTGTTGTTTCACGGTGGCTCTAAACACAAAACCCTAAACCTGTAGGGTGTAGGATTTTGAAATTAAGGTCAAGGCTAGGGGATTCCACAGGTCTCGGATTTTGTGTGCTAGGGGGTCAGGGTTTCGGCGCGATGTGCTGAGCAATGAGCCTTGACAACTTTGAGGTGATGTCAAGGTTTAGGGCTCAATAAGATTAGAACACGTTTTCGGTGTAATATACTGAGGAATGAAATACGGGGATGTTATTCGTCGCTTCCCCCATTTATTGAACGCACCCCAGAATAGCAACACACATTCCGGAGAATCCGCCTGAAAACATGGCCATGATTGAAAAGTTGTTTGGGATTTGAAGGAGCAGGAGGACGAGCAAGATCAGTTTCAGGCGAGGTAAGTCGTTTATTCGGGTTTCAACTTCTCTCTTCAACTATTTTGCCGGGCAGTTCTGTGGGTTTGTGTTTAATTGGGGTCTGGGAGTACTTAAAGGATCATCTATACTTATATATAACCACTTATAAGCCCACTTAAGGTACTTATAACCTGACTTACTAAGTCCCATGATCCTCCAAGTAGTGGTAGGCTGGTGAGTCTTTCAGCACGAGCATCCGAAGTCCTGAGCACGGCTAGGTTCCATGACGGAGAAAAACTTGAAATACTTACCTAGTAGTAGAGTAAGCAACCTTTAACCCTTTTGGGGGTAGTATAGTCACTGTATAATCTCTATATAACCAAAAAGCTTAACCTTTAGTTCCCCATGATACCCGACAAGTAGGCTTAAGGGAAGATTGGGGCTTAGACGCTCCCTGCCCATAGTCCACTTGACGCCGGCTGATCCATCAACCGCTGAACAGCCTTCAGTTTGTCCAATGGCACGTCGTCAATCCTTGCAGGCCACTGCTCTGCGCGCGCTGCGGGACTGTCTGGGTGGGTTTCTCTCTCACTGTGTAGCGGTTGCAATTGGGCTTCTTCCCAGATGTTTAGGGCTTCGGGTCCGAGCAAGTAGTAACTATTGTGAATAGTTTCCCTTTATAGTCCTTACATATTTATACTATATGAAGCCACCAATATGAAGGCCACAGTAGTATTTCAGGGACCCTTAGTGCTGCAAGCGACGCCTGAGTTCCTAGAGACTTTCATGTCCTTCTTTTCTAAACTATATTCAATGACTCAATGATACGTGGTTCACGCGGGCTTCTAATTATATCTACTGCAACGGGAAAATGCCAGTGGATCCCTTGTCACAAGAAGTTGTCACAAGAAGTTCGCATGGAGACCCGAAGTACTAAATACGAAATCTTGTCACTTGTTGTCTTGAGCTGTGATCGGTCGGCGATCTGCTCCGATGGTTTTGCACTGAACCCTTACGGACCCAAAACCTCGATAACCTCTGAATCCCAGCCCCGTATAACCTACCCCAACCCCATAGGATCCCAGACGTCATGGACTTGTATCGTACCATAAAAACGTAGCGCTTCTGTGGTTAAGGCCTAAGGCATAGGGTTGCAGGACCAATGTCGTCTCTACGTGCACGAAATTTTCTGGCAGCAGGAAGCGCCTCGGCATTATGCAACGCAATATGGGAGTTTCCGAGAATAGGGGGTACCAAATTTGGGGTCCTTATAATAAGGATCCTACTATTTAGGGTACTATATTAGGGTCCCCTATTTTCGGAAACTCCCATATCGCTTTGGTTTAGGGTGCAGGGCCTAGGGTTGAGGGTGGTTCATTCACAGGGCTCTTGGGTATTGAGCCAGTGTTAGAGGGTTTTTTTGTGAGAGAACATGCCGTCCGCACTATCTGGGTTGAAGAAGACTATGGAGCAACAAGGCCTGCAAGGTCTTGCACGGGGTCAATACCCAGGTCTGGATTCAGGATAGTTGGAAGGCATATCTCCTTTTGTTCGTTGCATATTCAATACACCCAGAAGGCCCTAATATAGCTATTATATACCCAGTATATAGCCCATTATAGGGTCCCAGGGCACCCTTTTTATGCCTAGGTTACTCTTGGGTCTAGTAGCTGAATAGGCGTTTCTGCGCCTCTTATGTTTGGGGTGATGGGCTAGGGTGCCTTGCAGTTGCCCTGGACCCTAGCCGCTGGCTTTAGGGTCTGAGGCCTGCTGCTCACTTCAAAGGTCCGATCAACGATCAAAAATGAGCCAACCAGCGGTTCAGGTCTAGTTTAGGTTTTAGGGTTGGTGGTTTAGGGTTTAGGGATTCGGGTTTAGTTTAGGGTGAAATATTTTAGGGACCTTGAGCTGAGAATGTCGAAGAACCATTCACATTTCATATCCTAGGACCTAGAGTAGGCCCTTATTCCCTTTTTTGGGGGTTCAGGTTCCCTTATAAGCCCCTTCAAACCAAAAAGGGCACCCTTTTTATGCCTAGGTTACTCTTGGGTCTAGTAGCTGAATAGGTAACCTTTTGGGGGTTTATATAATCCTACCATCATAACCCTAAACCCTAAATCCTAAACCTGTTTGAAAAGGTTAACCTGTTGTGCTAGCAATCACATTCAGATCCTGAGAAGGGCATTACTTGGAGGTTCATGGGTAGTTATAAGGGCTCTCCTTTAAGGGTCCCTTTAAAGGGATCTATAGGGATTCCATACGGGTATAGGGTTTAGGGCCTACTTGGAGGTTCATGGGTAGTTATAAGTAGGGTTATAAGTAGGGTAACTATACCTACAACCCATACTAGGGGACTTCTAACCCTACTTATAACTACCCATGAACCCTAAACCCTATATACCCTGATAGCATCCCTTATAGATCCCTTTAAAGGGACCCTTAAACGCACAACCTCCAAGTAGCCTCCCCTCAGTCCGAGGTGCAGCTGCAAACTCGGCGCGAGCTGGGTGTTGGCTTGCCGCACTTCGATCGCAGATCTTCCCTAAGCCCTATAAACCCTATAAAACCCTAAAACCTATACCTTAAGCAGCTAAGCCGAATAAACCGTAAAACCATAGAAATCCTAGCCCTCTTCCCCGGCGCTTGCGTGATTTGGACTTCGGAGGTTCGGATCACGGGCTTCAGGGTTCTCACTTCAGAGTGGAGGGAGGGACCCGTAATGGGGACCTCAAATTCCGTAAATTATGGTAGGATCCCTTTTATGAGTTAAGGTATATTCAGGTAATCAATCAACGGGGAAAAGGAGGGACCCTTATATAATGGGGACCTCTACCCTATAATGGGCTATACAATGGGAATCCCAATAAATAAGGAACCCTAAAAGGGTAGCGGGTACCGGTAGGGTTGAAGGTTTAGGGGTCTCTTCAGGCCTGAAGATCCCGAAGCCACCGGAAAGCCCGAAGAAAGGTGAACCCAAGATCCAGCGGCCAGTTGCAGAGCGAAGTCCTTCTTCAAGCCCGGTTTAAATAGGAAAGAGCGGGTTAGAATAGAAGAGAATCGACTAGAAACGACTACACAGCAATACATCGTTCAACCAGAAAAGAACGGATTATATTAGAGCAGATTGGAACAGACAAGACGGTACAATCAGACATAGTTTTATATCGCATTCCGACACTTTTACGAGCCCAGACTGAAGACTCAAAGTAGTTCCTGTTTGGGATTACCCTTTTGGATTCTATATATGAACCCCCGAAAGGAACTACTTTGGGGCCTTAGGGCAGACTGAAGACTCAGGCTCAGCTTCACCGACGTGCTCGGAAGCCACGTCTTCGTCTTGCTCCTGCCGGACGAGGTCGGGGCTTGTTGAGGGTTTAGGGTTCAGGGTTTAGGGTTTAGGGTTTAGGGGCTTACCCAGAGACTCCAGTAGTCCTTAATTAAGGAGTATTCCTTAAGTTATGGTGGGATCCCTTAGATGATTTAAGGTATATTCTCTAATTAGGGGATATTGGGGTCTCTGGGTACATGGCTTGGGTTTTCATGGAAGCCCTTCATAGCAGCATGAGGTTTCCCCCAAACCTATGAGCTCTGAACAACTTGGTGCAGAAGGTTCTGAAAAAAAACGGGTCCCATATAAAGCACCAAGACAGCAGGGGTGTAACAGCCCCTGGATTGGTCAGGGTTTCTCCATACTGGAGCCAGCTTTCGGGCGCTGAAGAAAAATCTGAACCCGCAGCTTTGTGCTTTCAGGCTTAGGATATACTTAATGTCCACCTTTCTTACCAGCCGCTGATGATCGCTGGATCCGGCTACCTATCATCAAGGAAGTGTCGACATTTGTTCACTTCATGTTCCGTTCACCGGGGGTTTTCCAATCCCAAAAACCTAAACTTCGAATCCCTTCAACCCTGAACTCCGGCAAGCAGCATCCCTGTCAGCTCGTAAACCCCCAAACAGGATCAACCAACAGCATACGCCAAGTCTAAATAAAGCCTGGGAAAAACCGTAAGCACCTACCAAGCAAAACCTACAAAAGGACCTCATCCCTAAACCCTAAACCCTAAACCCTAATCATGAAACCCCAAAGTTGAACCTCACCCCCATTTCTGGGGGTGCCCCAAACCAGGCAACCACCCGAAAGCTAGTAGAAACCCTAAGCCCGCCCGAAGCCTCCAACGTGCCTCCATTATATCGCCAAACACCCACTATTAAAAGCACCATAAGGGCTCTATATTATAGGGCCCCTTAGGGTGTCCTGGTAAGACCTGGGCCTTACCTTGAGCTCCAAAGTAGCTCCTTTGTGTGGTTCATATTTAGAATCCTATAAGGTAATCCCAAACAGGAACTACTATGGAGCCCATGGGTATCTTTTTAAGGACTCATATAAGAAAAAACATAATAAGGAACCCTAAAAAGGTAGGATATTTAGGGTAATCCTGTAGAGAAATCCCAAAAACGAACTACTACGGAGCCTAGGGGTAGCGCTCGCTCGAGCTTATGGTTGGAAAAACTGAGCCCTAAACCCTAAACTGAGCCCTAAACCCTAAACTGAGCCCTAAACCCTAAACTGAACCCTAAACCCTAAACTGAACCCTAAACCCTAAACTGAACCCTAAACCCTAAACTGAACCCTAAACCCTAAACTGAACCCTAAACCCTAAACTGAACCCTAAACCCTAAACTGAACCCTAAACCCTAAACTGAACCCTAAACCCTAAACTGAACCCTAAACCCTAAACTGAACCCTAAACCCTAAACTGAACCCTAAACCCTAAACTGAACCCTAAACCCTAAACTGAACCCTAAACCCTAAACTGAACCCTAAACCCTAAACTGAACCCTAAACCCTAAACTGAACCCTAAACCCTAAACTGAACCCTAAACCCTAAACTGAACCCTAAACCCTAAACTGAACCCTAAACCCTAAACTGAACCCTATGAATCCTAAACCCTATGACGGCACCAGGTGCACACGAGCGAGCGGTCCGGCCTGCGCCCTTTCAGCAAGGGGGTTAAGCACAGGCTCCTTTAAAGGGAACTCCAGAAAGTTGGAATATGGAATAGGGAATTTGGGGGTCCTTATAATAAGGATCCTACTATTTAGGGTACTATACTAGGGTCACTTAAAGGGAACTCCAGAAAGTTGGATATCCCTTAAGGAATATTCCTTAAATTATGGTAGGATCCCTTATATGATTTAGGGTATACTCCCTAATTAAAGGGCGCTCCAAAAAGTTGGAATATGGATTCATGGTAGGACCCCCTATAATTTACCTTCAAGGGGTTACGATAATGATATTCCAACTTTCTGGCTTCTACTGTAAAGGAGCCCACATAATAGAGGGGCCTTAATAATTACCTACCGACACCCTATTCGAAATATTAAGACCCCTATATTCAAGTTAGCACCCTGTAGATGCCCGTTAAGGAATCCACAAAGTACTCGATAAATGTTTAAATAAAGGAATCCTCAAAGTATCCTTTTAGGTTCCTTTCGTGCCCAAATGATTCATGATGCCTTATCTTTGCGTCAGCCGTTCCTGTGGACAAGCCCCACAACTTTGTCTATTGTCTATCGGGCATTGCCAGCAAAGGGGGCTTGAAGCTTGTACCCTAAACCGCTAAACTTCCAACCCTCTTTGCACCACAGTTTCCCAAGCCTCAGGTTGCGCATCACGGCATCAGCGGAGGCCGGAGTATAGAGCGCCGCCCTGCAGTGCAGAAGACTTTGTCCGAACCTAAACTCCAGACGGAAACTTAAGGTTTTACGTGTCAGGACTTAGGGTTTAATTATAGGGTTTAGGGTATAGGGTATAACTTAGACCCTGAATCCGTCAACTTGGGGCAGGTTATAGCCTGAATGCTATATTACCTGCGTTGGGTTTCGGAGGGTTTTTTGTGCGTTAAGACTACTTCTCAGCCCAGAGTAGGTTGCAAGACCTTGATCATTTCCTCAACCCGAAACCCTAAACCCTAAACCCTAAACCCCTAACCCTAAACCCTGAACCTTCCTTCCTTGCTTCCAAGAGCTGAGACGGTGCTCAACCTGACTCAGGGCGATGTTAGGTTTACTTGGAGGTTCATGGGACCTTAATAAGTACAGTTATAAGTACCCCAATTGGGATTATGAGTACATGTAAGTGTAGTTACCTTAATATAACCCTAATTACTAAGTCCCATGAACCTCTAAGTAGTTTTGTGAGTTGAGGGAGGTACGTAGGGGCCGGATGATGAGCAGTATACCGGCGCACTTCGTGGTCTAACAGTCAGTCAGTCTAACATAGGTGCCGAAAGTGTTGGGAATAGCAGCAGTAATTGATACTCAATAGGCCCTTATTCCCCGCTTTGTAGGTTGTAGTATAAACTGCAAAACCCCATTCCAGCTATTCTGACCGGCTGAGGAGGCGGTCAAAGGATTACCCAGGGGCAGATTGGGTTCAACCTGTGCACCAAGCCCCTCTATGACTCCTGAGCCCTAAACAAGCACAACCAACACAAGCACTCTTGTCTTGCAATCCAGCTCTTGAGCACTAATCGCCTAAACCCTAAGCCCCCAAACCCTAACCGCCAATTAGGCCCTAACCTTTGAGTCGAAAACCCATGAACCCTAAACATGTCAGGGGTGGGCGAGTCGAAGCAAGCCTCACACTTTAACAAAAAGAATACGCACCGCTAAACCCTGGACCCGTAAGCCCCAAAGCTCTTGACCAACTTGCAGATGGATGCTCCGCCTTTGTGCCAGGGAATCCTGCTCCTCGGCCTGAGAGGTTTCAATGAGGTCCAGAGTCAAGGTCTGCCACATGTGACCTTACTTAAAGGATCATGGGACTTAGTAACGGGGGTTATAAATAGGGTAGCTATACTTATAACCACTTATAAGCCCACTTAAGGTACTTATAACCTGACTTACTAAGTCCCATGATCCTCCAAGATTGCGCATAGTCCCTATATAGCTACGCTGATTCATGCCCCCACGGTTCGGCCGAAAAGCATGTACAGCCTGTATAACATAAATGAACTTTACCCCGAAACCCATGAACAAGCCATGCGCCCTAGACTACCCGGAAGTTGACAACATGAAACCTCCAGATGTTAGGTCTTGCGGTGAGTTCGAAGCGTTTCAGGTGGCTTTGTTTGCAAAGTAAAGTCGTTGTTTTCAACTCTTACTTTGGGAACTCCAAAGGGTCTTCTGAACCCATTATTAAGGTTACAGGGTTCCACTGGGCTTTATGGGGTCTTCAGGGTTTTATGTCCCGAACCCTTATGAACCCTTAGAAGACTCCTGTACAGTCCTTTGAAGCCATGATTCAATCGCTGAAAGCGCCTCGTAGAATCCTGCAAACCCCGATCCCAGCCAATAAGGTGTTCATCCAAGGGTAAAAGAAGGGACCCTTAATAAGGACCCCTAGGTATATACCCTTAATATAGCCATTATATACCCATTATATAGCCCATTATAGGGCCTGGTAGAATCTCTACATGAATCTTTTTTTCTGTCGCTTACCAGAAACCCCCAAGGCCCCTTCAATGGAGGCCTTTTGGCCTTAAAAGTGGGTATTCAAGGTATAGTAGAGGGTAGTTGGGAGGTCTAGGTAGCTGAGGGGTTTCCGAAAACTAGGTGCCTTATTTTGGGGTCCTTTACTATAAGGATCCCATCATTTAGGGTACTATATTAGGGTCCCCTATTTTCGGAAACTTCCATATTAACCCCTAAACCCTATACCCTACCCCCCCTCCAAAAAAAAAACAGAGACCAAAGGCCTGGGACACCGGGTCCTGCGGTGGTTTCGGCAATTGCCGGCGACGCTGCGCCGGTGACGCAGGAGGGATGGCGACCTGGCTCGACTGTGAGGTTCCTATGCTTACCTTTGGTTAGTATGAAATGCAAGAATGGTAGTCATAGTAGTTATAATTTTACCCCATTCCTCCATTCCCTACTAACCAAAGGTAAGTATGTAGAGGTTTATACTTTAGGGTTTGTGGGGGCTTGTACTTTAGGGTTTAGAGGAGGGGCACTTCTTGTACAGGAGTTTTGTGTGTAGGGTTGAACTAGGGTGTTTATACGGTGTGAGAGGATGTAGAAGGGCTTCATGTTATGTCTAGATTGCACGTCTTTTCTTATTAATATCACTTAACTATATTGAGATGCAGTTCCAAACAAGAATCCGATATGACCACAAGGCCAGTTGGATTTGTAATCAGGCATGTTCTTCTCAGAATTACCCTTCTGGCATAATTGGATTTATATACTCAGGCATGTTCTTCTCACAATTTCCCTTCTGGGGACTGTTAGTGGTGGGGTCAGGGCTTCGGCGAGAGGGAGGAGCAGGCAGGAGATGCTTGAGACTTGTCTCTGAGGATTTGGTTCTTAAGCGTTTTTTGAGCGTTTGAACAACCTCAACTATAAGAATATTGCACAAGTTTTATGTCATATATATATATATATATGTATATATATGTTTATATCTCTCTATGTTTAGATATGTATGTATAATGAAATAATCTGCTCCCTTCGTTGTCCGACAACAAGATTTTGTTGGCATAGTACGGCATACCCCCAAAGCCCCTCCTACTGCTATGTTTTACGCTGCATGCTCAAGTGTGGCTTCTTATCCTCAAGCGCCGAACCCCTGAACCGTCAACCCTAAGCCCTAAACCGCAACCCTTAAGCCGTAAGCCCTATAAACCCTAGGCCCTAAACCTAACAAATGTACTCTGGTCCTTGAGAAGCTAAACCCTACACCCCAAAAGAGCATCAAACCCTAGGATGCCCAGTAGTACCCTTATTCCCTTTTTGTAGTCCTAGGTTCCTCATAAAGTTATCTAATGCTTCTTATCCTGAGTTACTGGGCATCCTAGAACCTGCAGTCCTCAGCCCTAAAGACCCAGAGACTCCAATATCTCTAGGGGTTCCTTTGAAGGGATCCTTAGGGGTTCCTTTAAGGGATCTATAGGGTTTAGGGTTTAGGGGACTCCAATATCCCTTAATTAATGGAATATACCTTAAATGATATTAGGGATCCTACTATAGTTTAAGGAATATTCCTTAATTCAGGGATATTGGAGTCTGTGGCGAATCCCAGGTTCTGCTTCACATCGCGGACGACCGGGCGGGGGAACCGTAGGGTCTAGATTCCGTATGCGGTGTGTACCAGGACACCCCCAAGGGCCCTGTAATTGAGGCCTTATATGGTCCTTACTAGATCTTGATAGTGGGTATTTGGCGTATAGTAGAGGGTAGTTGGGGGATCTGATCCAGGAGGGGTTTAGGATTCAAGGTTTAGGGCTGGAGGTGTGGATTCTGAGGTTCTGGTTTAGCGGTTTGGGGTTTGGAGTCTGCCTTCCAACAGGACAGTTGTTCTGATTTTCAGGGAACCCTAAACCCCCGCAAGCCCCAGCCTCTAAAATCTTGCAACCCCCTAAACACGTAGAATGGGGTTTCGGGGCACCCACGGGGATGATGTTGAACCGTAGCACATCGCATCAAGCCCTACATCATAAACCCTCCACACAAAACCCTAAACCCTACACCAAAGCCCTAAACCTTACATAAACCCCAAATCCTAAACCCTAAACCCCCAAACCCCTAAAGTATTTTGGATCCCTTGCGTAGGGAAGCCTACTTCTGGAACGAGATCACAAGCGAGTCTTCCTTCAAGCCGCCCTGGACTTTGCTCCCGGAAGGACACGAGGGGAATATCCGAAACGGGAATTTCGAGTGCAGTCTATAGTATGTAGTCATTTTGTACTTAATCTGGTTTATTACCAGTATATTCGGTATCTTATGCCAGAGTCTAGTGTTTGAAGTATATAATTAGGGTTGAGGGTTCAGGGATTTGGCTGGTTTGCGACGTGCAGTCGAAGTATGCCGCCCACTGCAAGCAAGCCACCATTCCAGAAAGCCTTATCCTGAATCCGCGGCCTTATCAATTAGAATAGGGTTTTGGGGGTTCCTTATCATAATTAGGGTATACTATACTCCCAAACCTTATTCAGTTTATTCAGGTCCCTACATTTCACTTCCATCCAACGTCCCAGCTGGGAGTTCGCGCAATGCTTAGGTCCTCCGGTACTACCCATCCCTGAGCCCTAAACCCCCTGTGCCCGTTCATAGTAGTGGTGCTGTTTGAACTGAATATATGTTAATGCAAGTGAGGTCAGCGCTGAAACGTCGCTGCCAGACATAATGTAGGGGGCTAAATCATTACCTATACCATTTTGGGGGGTTCCTTATTGTAATTACCGTATAGTATACCCCAAAACCCTATTCTAATTAATAAGGCCTCGATAGTAGCTCTGAGAGCTTTCTCCAGTCGACCCTAAACCCTAAACCCTCAGCCCCTCCGAAGCTGTTTAGCGCTTAGAGATCAGGATTTAGGGTTTAGGGTTTAGGGTTTAGGGTTTAGGGTTTAGGGTTCAGGGTTTAGGGTTTAGGGTTTAGGGTTTAGGGTTTAGGGTTTAGGGTTTAGGGTTTATTGGGTTGAGCGAGGGAGCGCATGAAAGCGAGCTGTTGTTTCTGAGTCATCCCGCAGCAGCTATTCCCTCAGCCGCATTTTTTAGATGTTTAATAGCGAACCTGAAGGACCAAATGACCCTTAAAAGTAGGGGCCCTATACCCAAATACTATGAATCCCTATATGGTATATGAACCATAAACCCTTTTAGGGTTCATTTCGTCCTTAAGGAATGTACCTTCTTCAACCTGGCGCCAGCAGAGCACCGGAGCGCAAGAAAGAACGTTAGAATCCAGTGTTCAGGACTTTGTCCTGGTAGGAGTTTCTGGGTTTAATTCTAGGGGTTGAGGTTTAGGGTTTGGGGTTAGGGTTTATAGGGGTTTAAAGGTTTAGGAAAGCGGGTAAACTGAGCACTGAGGCCCAAGCCCTAAATCGTGTTTGCCACGGTAAGGTAAGCCGCCTTAACGCACTCAGCCTTACATGCCCCACCAACTCTACAAGCCATGTAAAGCCCACAAACCCTTTAAACTCTACCTGCACCTCAAAAATATGTAGAAAGGTAGCTCTTTATTGGTTTTGGGCCATTATTCTATCAACTCTTGGGGGTTTAGGTACAAGCCCTGTAAACCCTGGTTCACTTAGAGTAGGGTTGTTATTACTAGTATCCCCACAATAAAACCTAATACATACACTCAAAAAGATTTAAAAGGAGCCCTATCTACACTCACCAAAAAGGTAATATTAACCCTACTTCACTTCAGGATGGAACTATCAGGTCTGCTCTGCCACTGGCCGCGTCACCTCGGCGGCAGCCGAAGGGAGTTCAAACAAAGCTTTAGGGCTTCTAGGACCTAGAGTAGGCCCTTATTCCCTTTTTTGGGGGTTCAGGTCCCTTCTAAGCCCCTTATTCCTAGGTTACTCTTGGGTCTAGGCTTACTATCGGGGCCTAAATGATTAGCTACCTATTATAGGGTTCCTTTAAAGGGGTCTATAAGGGCTGTTATAATGATTTAGTATAGAGGCCTAAATAATTACCTATACTGTTTTAGGGCTTATACCCAGACCTTCCAAAAGCCTTCAATTAAGGAATCTACGTTAAATCATGTTAGAGATCCTATTATGATTCAGGCATATTCCTTCATTTAGGGATCTTGGAAGGTCTGGGTAGGGCAGGTTACACACACGGTTATAAGTATCCGAGTTGCGGCTTCAGGTAACTCTAGTTGCAGTCCTGCTTACGAATCAGACCCCTCATCCCGCGATGTAAGGGTAAGGAGCTTGGGATGTGAGTTCCGGGTTCAGGGATGGATGGAAGCGGAAACTGGCTGGCTTCGAGCTCGAACAAGAATCGTCAGCCCTGACCCAAACCCTAAAACCTAGACGCCCAAAACCCAAAGCCCTAAATCGCAAAAGCCGCAAACCCAAAAATCCTAAACCCAAAAAACACAGCATCCTCAAACCCCCCAAGGCGTTTTGGGTTTTGGGAGTTTCGGGTTTAGGGGTTCAGTGTCCAGACCTCAGAGCAATTAACTCCAAGCCCGAAACCCAACCAGGACACCCCAAGGGCCCTTAATACAGGCCTTACGGTCCTCAATAGTGGGTATTTGGGGTATAATCGAGGGTACCTGGAGGATCAAGGGACTTAGTAATTAAGTCAGGTTATAAGAACCTTACGTGGGCTTGTAAGTGGTTATAAGTATAGTCACCGTATGTATAACCCTAGTTACCAAGTCCCATGATCCTTTAAGTAGTTGGGGGGTCTAGGAAAACCCCGAGGTCCTGTTCTTCCACCCAATCTTCGGTATCCGCGCGCGGCTGCCGTGAGCGCAGCCTTGTGGGCGCAGCGCAAAAAGCAACAGCTCGCATCTGCTGAGTTTACTTAACCCTAAACCCTAAGCCCAAAACCCTAAACCGTATTTTGAGGGGTGTAGGGGGTTTAGGGTTCAGGGCTTGAGGCACTCGTCCATGCTCCGATCGTCGGGAGGTTGACATGGACTACGAACACGTACTCCTACTGTGCTCCTTAAGCATGTGAACCATGACAGGACAGGCGACAAACGCTGAACCCAACTCCAAAAGGCCCTCGGCTTTAATCCCTACAAGCCAAAAATTTGAAGCCCCGCCGCCCTAAAACCCTGCCTAAGGCCCTCAAACCTAAGCCCTATACAGATAGAACCCTCGAACTCAGAAGTCCCATGCAGGTGCAGATGGGGATTTCCGAAAAACCATGAAAACCCAAGCATCAGAATTCTGATGACTATACCTCAAGGTGCGCCCTGCTTGGGAAACACCAAACTCGAAACCCTATGAAGCCCGTAAGCCCCCATGAAGCCTAAACCCTACAAGCTCTAAACCTAGCCCATAATACAACCCCATAAGGCCTGCAACTTGAACCCTACACCCCTCAACCTAAATAAACCCAACAAACCTATAATTCCTAAGGCCCTCCTATAACCTATGAGCGCTAAAGCCCGAACTCTGAGAAAACCCAGGATGGCGTATCTTCACCCCTCATCCGAACCTCGGACGGCCGCGTGCACACCAGGGTGGGGCACCCAGGTCGAGAAGTAAGCGTGTAGGATTTAGGGTTTGGGATGCGTTTAGGGTTTAGGGGTCTTAGGGTACAGGGCTTAAGGGCTCAGGTTGTGGGGTTTAGGGTTTGGGATTTTTGGTTCAGGGTTTAAGGGGCACTAGTATGGGGAAGGGGCTACTATGAGCAATTGAAGAAGCACGCTTCAAGCAGCTTCAGGCATGCCTCACATCTCCAGATGTGTGTCTCCCTCTACCTATGTTCTGTAGGGTTTGAAATTACAGGTAGGATTTAGGGCCCAACAACTTGCGACCCACGTGTGTGGTCGGGGGTCTAGGGCTCTATGATTCAGGGAAGGGCTCAGGTATCAACGAATAGATAAGCCCTGCAAAACTGCCAATATTATAACTGAGGGTTCATTATCATATTTTTGGTATAGTATCCCCGCGAGAACCTATTCTAATTGTTGAGGCCCGCATATCATGTTGCATACACTCAGAGGCTCCAACTACATAAGGAGGACTCCTCTGTCAAGCCACAGATTTGGAGTGTTTGGGATCCGAGGGCAAAGTTTTCTTTTGATGTCACTCTTAGGGTATAAGGGGGTGTGGGTTTCTGTGTAGAACAGCACTACTCATTCTGTGAGACGGCATGTTGAGAGCTTTTCGCAGTCCGAAGTCGAGTAGCATGACTTCGATTGGAAATCCCGAACATTCAACCCCTTCAAGCCTTCGTCGCCAAGCCCGCAATCCCCAAACAGTCGACCCGGAACTGTCAGGAGCCCCTCAACCCTACTCTTCCTACTGCCGCGAGGCTCCTTTGTAAGTTCCGGCATTCGCAGATGTGCTTGGATATGCCTGCCATGAACCAGGACCAGGATCAGGGGCCTCAAGAGGTGGGATGAGGGTCGGGGTGCGGCAATCCCAAAATGTGCATACATAAGGGCCTACCTTCATCCCACCTTTTGAGGCCTCCGACAAAAGTTTTTCTCAAACAGAAATCGTGCGGAAAGCCGTCGGGATTCGGTACCAGGCTTGAAAGTAGATCTCGACGAGGGACGAGGAGGTGCCCACCTAAACCATACCTGCAGCCGAGAAAACCTGGCTTGCTAGGGTTCCTCTCCGAGGTTCTATAACTCCTTTAAAGACAGGTACTTAGGTTTTTTTGCACTCCCTATATACGTGCTTTGGGGCAACCTGAGGTTGCACACACACACAGAGATGTGTATATATATATATATATACACACACACTTGTGCGTATGTACGTATATGTATATAATATTATATGTATGTATGTATATATATATATATGTGTGTGTGTGTGTATGTATATATGTATACACACACATATGTCGTGCATTTACTTCTTAGCTTGTTTTTTGACAATGACACTGGTGAGGAACGAAGGACTCGGATTGGTCACCGTCAGAACCACCAGAACACATCCAGTCTCAGCCCCCAGCTCTAGTAGATAAGGCTCCCAATCAGCAAGCTTTGTGCGCAAGCTCTAGGGCGATGCGACTCTCAAACACAGATGCAAACCTTCAGACACTCACAGAAAGAGAGAGAGAGAGAGAGAGAGAGACAGAGAGAGAGAGAGAGAAAGCGAAAGAAGGAGAGAGAGAGAGAGAGAGACAGAGAGCGAGAGAGAGAGAGAGAGAGAGAGAGAGAGAGAGAGAGAAAAGAGAGAGAGGGAGAGAGAGAGAGAGAGAGAGAGAGAGAGAGCGTGTGTGTTTACACACATCACTCTATCTGTCCTTCTCTCTCTCTCTCCCTCTGTCTGTCTCCTTGTCTGCATGTCTCTTGCTCTCTATTCCTGTCATTCCGCCCTCCCTCTCTCTAATAGTCGTTTATGAAAATCCTAAGCCCTAAACCGGAAGCTCGTTCAAGGATGACACAGGTGACATAGTGGGAAGGAGAGCCAGGAGTATCGCACTAAATAGTAGGTGGAAGATGTGGTTCGGTGGTCATCCCCTCTCAAAGTCTCTCCAAACCACCCCGCAGCCAGATTTGGCCTTTCGACTAACCTTTGGGCAGTTGGAAAAGAGGGCTTAAAAAAAGAACGGAAGCCCTTGTGAGGAGTTGCAGCCAACCAGTGACGAAGCGGATCTGGTCCTTCACTGGGGCTTTATGGCTCCACTCGTGGCGGCTTAGGGCTTCGAGTGGGGGGTTTCCGGATGTTTGCAGGACTTGGGGTTTTTAGGGTTTAGGGTTTAGGGTTTTTGGGTAGGTTGAATTATGCAAGGGGGGCTGGGGTGATTCCAGAGGCCCAAAACCTAAAGGCTTTGACAAGGCTGAAGAACTATGCGAGTTTTGGCGGGACAGTGTAATTAGGCCTAGGGTTTCAAAAGGCTGCTGTTCTTCTGCAGGGTCTTGATGATGACAAACTCTGGATAGCTTTTTCATGCATGTGCATCGACGGGGATTGGGGCTGCGGTTTGGGTTCTAGGCGCAGGCTTAAGAGCCTCAGAGCCTGTCTGACGATGCTTAGGGAGCGATTTGGCAGAGGCGCATCGCTTGAAGAAAAGAGCTCCATTAAACCCCAATCCCCTGCGCCCTTAAGTCTGCAACTGCAGACCTCCTACACCCAATCTTAAAGCCAATGCTTGTCTGCTGGCTGCTTGCAGGATTCAGGGCTCTTGGGTGAGACCGTACCCCAAACAGCCGTTGCCTCCCCATGCTCTATTTCGAAGAACTAGTGTGCTGCAGTAATTATAGGACTACAGGAACTCTAGCTGGCTGTGACAATCACCTATTACTGCACCCGTAACGATCTTTCAAGAACCCTCGTAAGACCCTCATAGTACTTATTCCGACCTCCAAATCATTCCGGCTAGCCTGTGCATTGCAATCGAAACGGTTCGGGTCGAAAAGTCAGACGACCCCCAAAAAATATTGTAAGTCGTGGAATTCGGCATGGAAAACTTCATATATTGAAGTGAGGTCTATACCTTGTCTTCAGTATGTGCTTGAATCGCGGAGTGATTCGCATTTCCAATCACGGCATATTCCCTAGCTCAGGGGCATAAGTGCGGAATCTGGTTTGCTTAGAGTTGTGTGGGTGCTTACGCGATGTTAAGCAGAGCAACAGTGAACTTGGTACTGCAGTGGGGTAGCTCGGAACGTTAATAAACTTTGTGCATGTAAAAACTTTTAACAACCAAGCTTTTGGGCTGTGCAATGTAAAACTTGTTGAATCCGACCATCTTTCGTCCTTCACGTTGCTAAGGGCATATGGTGTAGGCAGAGGCCTCACAGAATGCTCTTGATCATTCGTGTATAGTTAGAACCACCAGCTGCATCAGAGGTTAAATGGACACCGAAACCCCACAGTCCCTGCCAGTACCCAAAATCTCCAATATATCCCTCAATTGAGGAGTATACCTGAAATCACACCAGGGATCCTACCATAGTTCAGGGGTATTGGAGTCTCTGGACAGTCGGTAACAGCCATCTTCTGGATGCGGAGCGTTAAACCCCTCCACTACATGGCCTCCAAAGGATCCGTTCTTCCCCTGTAAACCTCAAATGCCGCAAGCTTTGCCGAGCAGTAGATGAACAAAGCGAGAAGCAACGCCATGAAGTTGAAACCTGGGAAAAGGATGGTTAGTGCCAGTATTCCCTCTAGTTGCCGTTTTAAGGCAGGATGAGACCAAAGACCTTGCGACGGAATGGCAAGAACTGTAGAGTACAAGAGGAGATTATTGATATGACGGGTGATCACAATCAAGTAAGAAGATACGGTGGGGAAGTGAGCTAAGTACTTGCTCCGAAAAGGAGCAGATGTCCTCGAGTGTACGGACACGATGAGGATGTCAAACTAAATTACAACTGCTAGAGCTACTCAACGACGGCGTTCAAGGCAACCATAGCACCCCCCAACACCCAACCACATCAACATCGGAAAGCTTCATGCAAACTCTATCGCTAACAAGCCTAAATCCTAAGCATACCTTAAGCCAGGCACCCCTAAACCGCTGAACGACAAGATGTCAGTGGGGTAGTTAAGCCATGGACTTCGACGAGCTGGACGCTCTCGAAGATCAGGACTCAAGTGCTGGGAGGTTTTTGGGTTCTTCGTGTTTGGAGGGGTTTATGAGAATGTTAGGGTTCCTTGAAATGTTGAGGGTTGTCTTCATGTTTGGTAAAGTTTTTCTGATGTTACTTCAAAGCGCAAGTGGCCTCGTAAGGGTTTCAGGAGGGTTTAGAGTTCATGTTTCAGGCTTGTATGGTCTCAGGCCGTTTGTAGGGAGGGTGGGTAGTGGGCATCGTAGGGGCCAGTTACTTGCATCATACTGAGACACTCTGAGGCACGCGTACGCCAGCGAACTGCTATGTAGGCAGCTGGACTGTTAGTTGACATCAGCGCAAGCATAGCGGAAGGGGGTTGGCCATCAAGGTGTTGGGCGTTTGCAATAACAAGCAGTATTTGGGTTTGCATATTGGAGATCTTACAAGGGCCGTCGAAGGTTGCTGGAGGGTTTTCGGGATGGAGGTATGAGATACACAGCATGCTATTCCGAAGTCAGAGAGCAGATGCAGTAAATCCTACTGCTCGGTTTGTTGTAGGGGCAGTTTTCTTCCTAAACGGTCGTGGTTTGCGGATTCTAGGCACGGCCTTCAAGATTTCCAAGCTACCTGTCGACAACTAATCGTCCTATTCAGTCCTGTTCACTCTGCTTCTTGTGTCGATACGTGTCATGGACAGCAAATTTGAATGACAGTTGGAAGCTTTGATCATGCCCCTTTCTGACCCTCTTACGTCGAGCTGGTGCCGTAGCAACACTATCAGCGTCAGACGAGTAAGCACCACTATCGCCACCACCACCACCACCACCACCAACATCACCAGACCAGCACAAGCACCGCCGCCAGTGTCGCCGGCACTGCCACCACGGAAGCACCAGTACCACCATCTCAGCATCGTCATCATCGTCAGGACCGTCACTCTCATCATCACCATCGGCCTAAACCTACAGCGGGCTGTGAGAAGTCCAAATATCATCGTGACCGGAAAGCACACACGTGTTGAGACAGTAATGACAAATCGATGTGCCAGGAGCGGCAGCGATGGGCTTTGCAGGAGCCAGCGCCCCCACATCGAATGAGTTTAGGGAAAGGTTATTAAGGGTTAGGGTTAAGGAGTTGGGTTTACAGTTTACCCTAAAACCTAAACCCTACAGTTTCGACATTTTCAGTTTGAAGACACGAAGGGATAAGTGTCGCGCCCAGCAGTGTACATCTGAACAGCCAACCTGCCTTTGCGTGCATTTACCTTTACTTTCAAAAATAAACAAGACTCCTAAGTACCTATATGGGTTTAGGGTTTAGGGGTTTAGGGGTTTAGCCTTTAGGGTTTATTATATGGGGGGGATACTTGCCCAAATCACAACGGTACCTCCTATTAAAGAAACTCTGTATTCTACCACATAATGCAGGTGCTCAGTACCCTTTGGGCAAGAGGCCTGAACCGCCAATCCCGGGCACGCCCTGAGCTCCAAACTTTAATCCCTAAGGCCCAAAATCTGATCCTACAAGTACAGCATATGTATACTGTGACATCCAGGACACCCCAAAACCCCTTTAGTAGAGCCCTTATGGTCCTTAACAGTGGTATTCGGTGTTTAATACACGGTACTAGTAGTTGGGGAGTCTAGGATACCCCAAATGCTTCTAATGTTAGTTGTTTACAAGGCTCGTCTATTTCAGAAGCCTTGTAGTAGAGGAATCCTTTAAGCACCCTCGTCTAAGTTTCAAGGAGCTGGAGAAAGTTCGCATAGCCCAGCGAAAGAAGGCAGCGCAGGAGCCTCTATCGCGCGAGCCGGAATGAAATTGCAGGTGTCTTGTTAAGGGTTCCTTCACGGGGTCCTATAAGGGGTTCTGTAGGCACAAGAATGTGGGGCCGTTAAGGGTTCCTTTAAACGGTTCTATGAGGGTTGCTAAAGGGATCCGGAGTTTAAGGGTTCCTCCTGAGAGTTCTACGAGTAACTCTGTAAGGGTTACTACAGGTAAGAAACCCGAAACCTTACACCTTTCTAGAACGCAGGGGGGGCCTTCGACCGACGTTCTACGTGTGGCTTGGAGTTTACAAGTTGTGCTGTGCTGTCGTTCCAGAGGAGCCATCGTTAGGGTTCCTTACATCTCATACGTCTACTATGGTACACCCCAGAACCCTCCCTCTACTATCGCACGGATATGCAGCCGTGCAGTGGGGTTGCGGTGTTTGGGAGTCTTCAAATGACGGACAGTAGGAGTCACCCGGCTCGGGTTTAGGACTGTTTAGGTTTGGGGTCTTGTGTTTAGGTTCTTACGTTTCAGGTCACATGTTTAGGTTTCTAGTCTAGGGCTTGGGATTCAGGCTTGAGTTAGGGGCTGAGGCTTTTCAACTTTGGGGTTGGGAGTTTATGGATCAGGCGTAAACTTCACCCCCCCCGCCCCCTGGCTCGTGGGCTCAGGGCTTCGGGGTGTATGGTTTAGGCTTTGCATTTGTTCAGGGGTTAGTGCTTCGGGTTGAGATGTTCTTTTTGGAGTCTTGAGTTTGCGGTTTTAGAGTGTGGGGCGGCCGGTCTCAGGAGCAGTTTCGCTTCCACCAGCAGCAGAAGCTGAACAAGTCCCGCCCTTGGCTGGCCTCTCAAAATTCATAAACCGTAAGGTGCGCTCATGATAATTTGGGGTTTAGGGTGTAACGGGTCGCAAAATAGTCCTAGCAGTCCAAGTGCACATGCATACATACTATAGGGACCTAAATATTTACCTGTTTATCTATACTATTTTGGTGGTTCTTTCTTACAAGTATAATATGATGGGACCCAAAAACCCTGTTAAAGTTATTAGGGCCCCTACATGATATCCGTATAATAGCCCTAATCGTGGCCCTTATAGACCCCTTTCAAAGGAACCTATTCTTAGTTATATAAGGCTCCTACACTTTTATACATACATGGCATACACTGCGGTGGCAGTCCAGCCACGCTGGGCAATTGCTCAGTTTCCGGGAGTTTCTGGACTGGTGTTTTAGGGTTTAGGGTTTAGGGTTTAGGGTTTAGGGTTTAGGGTTTAGGGTTTAGGGTTTAGGGTTTTCTACACCTGTCAGGTTATTTGGGACTAAATGTTTAGGGTGAATAAGGTTCTAGGGCTATTTAGATGGTCTCACCACAATAAAGATGTTTTTGCAAGGCATATTTTAGAAGCTGCCCCCACCCTGTAATAGTGGTATACTAGGAAGATAATAGGGCCCTACTATATTCCTTGTAGTCACTACTACAGGGTGGGGGCAGCTTCTAAGGCATGTTTCGTTTGTCGTGGTCTTTTCCCCGCCTAGGCCGCCGGATGCGCCCTCGCAGGTGGAATCAGAAGAGGCTGGTCCGGGCGGAGATGTCGAGAGGTTTCTGGTTTTGCTTCCAAGGTTTAGTTCAAGTTTGGGTTTGAGGCTTATGTTGAGCACTACCGAGTTGGCCTAGTTAGTTTCACAGTCTGAGGATAAGTTTCGAAGGCTATCCGTCAATACAGTAAACCCCATATTGTTGAAGACTAGAGCGCGAAGGATATGAGCGAATGCTTTTTTTGGTTTATGAGGCCACTCAAGTTCCCACTTCACTTCGTGGCAGCTGCTGTACATGAAGAGACTGAATGGTTAGGGCGTTAATGATGGTTGCTACAAGTGCTACTGTTTGGAACCCTAGTTCGGCAACCATACCTACAGCCATCCACTGAAGGGTTAAAGCAGCCCTTGTACAGCCCTACACAAACTACCACTCACCAATACTTGCAAGGGAACATATAGTTCCTACACCCTCCACCTACCTCCTATTAGACCCTAAATGCCCCTTATTTGGGACCATATACCCCTGTTTGAGGGTACAAGGGGTCTTGGTTCAAGCACGGTTCTCATCACATTCAGAACCTTGGAAAGAAGAGTGGCGAGGACCCAGAGTAGGCCCTTATTCCCTTTTCTAGGGTTTGGGTTCCCGTATAATCCTCTTCAAATCCAAAAAGGGCACCCTTTTTGTTCCAAGGTTACTCGTAGGTCTAGGTGGAACTGCAACGAAGTTCCCATAGGCAGTCGGTGTGCTTGCAAAGCTTAACATGGACAGAACATACAACAAGTAATGTTTATACATACATGCGTATACACACACACATATATATATATATATATATATATATATTTATGTATACAACAAGCGAAAACAGAACTGATTTTATATGTTGTGCACAAGCTGTTTATATGTAGGACAAACAGATGCAATCAACAATAGGCGTAGAGATAAAAGGCTATACTTTCGCATCTGGAAATACACATCGCTCCTTTGGAGAAGCAAAGAGAAACAAGCGCTATGCGCAAGGCTCATGCGCCGGCATTTACCTCTGGATTGGCCAGCAACAGCCTCGACACGAGGGCTCTTGGTATCCAGTTTCGGCGGTAGGGCGGAGGTTCGGCTTCAAGGTTTTGGTTGAGAGTGTTGGGGTGCTCCTCTGTTAAAAGGACGGGCTTCTAGTTTCTATATGAGTGGTTGTCAAATTTATGGTCTGTTTTTGGGTCCTTAATATAATACGGCACCTAACATTTAGGGTACCCCAAAAGGGACCCTAATTTTGACAACTACCCATATGCATTGTAGGGCATAAGGGGGTTGGATTCTACCAAGGGGGTATGGATTCTACCTGCAGGCTTGAGGGGTTTGAGGGCTCTTGCAGCTGCTAAACCCTATGTAGGCGTTCAACCCTAAACCCGTACGCTGAACCAGGAACCCTATCAGAACCCTCAAACCCTAAACGCCCTAAACCCTTAAACCCTGAACCCTATGTCGGCGTTTGGGGGTTGCGCCTTTGGGGATGAAAGCCTGGGCTTGGGTTTGCGAGTGGCTGCGCAGTAAGCCCTTAAAGAACTGGGGCATATCTATATATATATATATATGTAAGAGAGAGAGAGAGAGAGAGAGAGAGAGAGAGAGAGAGAGAGAGAGAGAGAGAGAGAGAGAGAGAGAGAGAGAGAGAGAGAGAGAGAGAGAGAGGAGAGAGAGAGAGAGAGAGAGAGAGAGAGAGAGAGAGAGAGAGAGAGAGAGACAGAGAGAGACAGAGAGAGACAGAGAGAGAGAGAGAGAGAGAGAGAGAGAGAGAGAGAGAGAGAGAGAGAGAGAGAGAGAGAGAGAGAGAGAGAGAGAGAGAGAGAGAGAGCGAGAGGAGAGAGAGAGAGAGAGAGAGAGAGAGAGAGAGAGCGAGAGAGAGAGAGAGAGAGAGCGAGAGAGAGAGAGAGAGAGAGAGTATGGAAGCCTGCATACCAACATTAAATACTATTCCTTAGCGCCTTAAGGCTCCTATTATGTAGACACTGCCAGGGGAGCACCTCCCCAGAAGCGTTCACCTGCAATGCACAGTCAGGGATAGCTGCTGTTTGATTTAGGGGCATGGGGGGCGGTCTGTGGGATGTCATGGGTGCTAAGGAGATCAGATTAGGACAAAAATGGTTTAGCTATATCCCTGACATGGTAGCTTAAACTGTGTTTCCTCTACAAGAACGATAAGAGGGGACGATGTTCAAGTATAGCCTATAGCCGCTACAGTAGCCTGCAGCTCAAGCTTCCAAGCCTTTAAGCCCAGTTTTCTCGTGGCCCTCATAGGAGGCCAAAAGGGGGTTTAGCCTGTGAGGTTTAGTAGGGATTGGGGTTCCCATAATAGGGTTCATGTTAAAGTGAACCCCAGAAAGTTGGAACATGGATTTAGGAGGATCAGTGCTAGGATTCCCTATAATTACTGTGCTTTAATGGCATGGGGCTAATGATGTTCCAACTTTCTGGCTTCTACTGTACGGAATCCCTACCCCAAGAATCTTAAGCGACCTTTTGGCCTCCCATCAACACCTATTTGTGGAATGGCCTGCTGGGATCCTCCATACATTTGCAGGAATATTGCCCAAAGGGCTTCTGCAGAGCATTTGCAGTGTCTGGCCGCTTTTGCAGTGTCTTTGCCAAGGCTTCCATCTTTGGGCGCAAAGGCAACACGAGGCTGCCCAGAAGTGGTGGCCCCAGTCCGATTTAGGGGTGTGTTCTTGGGGTTCCAGAGTTGATGCTTTAGATTCTCGGTTTGGGGTTCCACTTAGAGGTTCATGGGACTTTGTAAAAGGGGTCATATTGCAGGTAACTACACGTATATGTACTTATAACCCCAGTTGGGGTACTTATAACTGTACTCATTAAGTCCCATGAACCTCCAAGCAGTCTGTATGCCCGAGACCCTCCCTAAGCCCTAAGCCGGTGAATCTGGCATGATTACTGCTGATGATAAAAATCCTGCATTACCTCAAGGACCCTAAACTATGGGAATTATGGTATATTCCTTATTATGGGTAGTGCAGGATTTATATCATCAACCGTATCAAGCCGTTGTGAAAGGACAAGGGGATGCTGGTGGTTTTGGGTTCACATCTAAGTCGGTTCTCGCTGAGGAACTGTTTGAAGGAACGGGTGATTTGGTAAAGCTGTCTAAACTGAGCCTGCAGCCATCACGACTAGTGCGATAGTTCGTTTGTCTCTCCTTTGTACTCGTAGTTGTTATGAAGCACCTTAAACTTAAACCCCAATTAGACTCTAGGCTTAAATCCTAAACACTAAACTTCTTCAAGCCTAGGTATATAGCATAATCAGGCCCCTCTACTGGTTCGCCTGAGGCAACTTTAAACCTACACCCTTCATTGCGCACCCTGAAGAGACCAACCGTTCACACACATCAGTTTCTATTCGAGAGCCGCTATTGAATGTAAGAGTTATTTAAAAATCTAAGAATGCATTCCATGGGAGTTTCAGAAGCCACGTCGAGTTCCCACGCTGCGTAGAGACACCGCCCGCAAAACCTTGATCTTCAGCCGCAAAACATGGAACCCAGAGCCTTTAACCTTGCTGAATAGCCTTTTTGACTACTTTCAGCTGCGGCCGAAACCGCTATACTCACTGATCCAACAAAAAAACGTCTTAAGCCTTAAACCCGGACTGCAAACTAAATTGCACGGGCCGAAAATGCGAAAACCCGTAAGGAACTTTAAACCTGAGCACCGTCTATGCAACCCTCCCCGGCGAATTGTAAGCTCTCCTGTGAAGGCCCTGTCAAGCCCCGCTAAATCCCTAAAGCCGTTGAGACTCATAAAAAAAATCCTCAACTGCTAAACCTTTTCAATCCGAAACCCCCTGAAAAAGGCCCCAAACACCCTTAAACCCCCAAAGTAAAGGCCGCCGGCTCCGGAACCGGTGAAGGTGAAGGCGGCACCCGAGGAGCCTGCTCTCTCAGCGAGGGGTTTTGATTTGATGTTTTGGTTTAGGGGTGTTAGGGCTTTTCAGAGGGCTAGATGAGGTTCCTATAGACGGATTTCTGGGCTCGCCTTGCAAACTGTGGGTTTGTTGCTGTCTACGTTCTTGATTATGATCTTGCGTTTTGGCTGCGGGGCTGTTCGGGTCACAACATTTAGGTTTGAAGTTATTTACTAAGCTCAGGGCTTACGGGTTTAGGGCCTTAGGCTTCAGGCGTAGGGGCTCGAGGATATGAAGTCAGAGCATTGCGGACAGTCTGGGATGTCAACATATATGCATATTCGTGCATGTGCATGTGCATGTGTATGTCATGTGTATGTGCGTATAGACATATATATATATATATACATATTGTATATGCGCATGCATATGCATGTGTATGTGTGTATATATGTATACATATATGTATGTGTGATGTTGTGCTTATACCCATGTATGTCTATATCCATATAGTGTTTTATCGTTTCTATAATTACCTATAGACCTATATCGTATATCTACATACATACAGACCGACAGACATGCAGACACACAGACATACATACATACGTACATCTATACATACATACATACATACATACACACATACATACATACATGCATGCATACATACATACATACAATCATACATACATACATACATACATACATACACATACATACGTACATACATACATACATACATACATACATACATACACATACATGTGTACATGCAACTACGTGGGACCTTTGTGCGCGTTAACTAGGCGGTGTATTATATTGGGGTTTGCTTGTCAACGGACTTAATGCGTCAGGGCTTGTCAGTGCAGCAAACCAGTGTTGATACTAACTCGTGTACTTGCATCTGCCGCCAGCATAATGTCCGCTGCATTCGCTTGAAACGACAGACCACTGATCCAATTTAAGTACCCTCAGCCCTAAACGAAACCTGAGCCCTAGAACACTCATCACTACATCAATCAAGTCCGTCAATCAACCCCGCATGCCATTGCAGCATTCCTTTCCGAACCCGGCACTCGCGTGGATTGTGGAGTTTTTGAGGCCCACCACCGTCACCAGCGCGCCAAGGCAAAGAAGAAGTCGATTTGCAGAGTCACTGGGCATTCCAAAAGAAACCCTGAACCCGAAAGCGTGGGGTCGCAAAAAGGCTACCCTTTATAACAGTTATAAAGACCCTATTCAGGAACCTAGTATAGTAGCCTCTAAACCCTAAACCCCAGAAAGTATCCAGTATAGATCCCTTTAAAGGATCCTTATAGTACCCTTTCCCAGAAAGCTTTGCCTCAAAGAGATAGCCTTGGCTTTGTTGGTCACCCAGGTTCCAACAGAAGCAGCATGAGGAGGAAACGTCGGAGCCGGGAACATGGTGGGATTTCAGAGTTTAGGGCCTTCCGGGTTTAGGGTTGAGGAGTCTGGATTTAGGGTTTATAGGATCTGTGCTTGATCTGGACTTTAAGATTTCCGCTTTTGGGTTCAAGGGTTGGGGATTAGGATTTAGGGTAGAACTTTGAGGGCTTTGGGTTCTTGTCTTCCGGGCCCCCCGCTCCCCCCCACTCTCACTCTTATGCTGTTTTGGGTTTGGCGTCTAGGTTTATGGGATTTCCGTACAGTTGTGCTAGAGTTGCTAGAGCCGTACTTGTTTGTAAATGGTCCCTTTGGCACTCGGTCATGGAGTTATTATATGGGTGGTTGTCAAAATTATGGTCCAATTCTTGGGTCCCCTTTTTGATACGGCACCTATTGTTTAGGGTACCCGAAAAGGGATCTTAATTTTGACAACTACCCAGAAATGAACATCCCACAGCAGAAGGTTGTAAAGTTCAGAGCCCTCCAGCCCTAAACCCCAAGCACAAACCTTTGTTTGACTTTCGACGCTTTGATTGCTGAGGCGAAAGCCGCCCAATGAGGCGGCGAGCGAGACAGCCTCCGTAAAGACTGTATCGGGCGCAAAGGCCGGGCAATAGCAAGCCTTGTAAATGTCAGGATTCGATGCGGACGTCATGTTTGCGAACGGTTCTCTTACGTTCATCTATATGGAGCATCTCCATCCCTGTGACTGACCGCAACAAAATTAGTCACCATCAGCATCACCACCACCAGAGCCGCCACCACCATGCTTTTGTTCGGGCTCTGAAGGCTTTTCGGGGGTTTCGGCGTTGTGGATTTGGGTCTTTAGAGTACGAAGCGCTTCAAGGTTTCGGGTGTTTTGCGAGTTGTTCGTTGTCTGGATGTTCCAGAAGTCGTGTCGAAATTTAGTGTTTTCGGCCCTTCCATGGTGCTTGATCGCATGCTGAGATATAGTCTATGGCTTACTGGCTTGGTTCTGCTGTGCTTTGGCTCTCTGGGTTGCCACGCCAACACTGAGCCTAAGGGTCCCTACCCTAAGGCCCCAAAGTAGTTCCTTTTTGGGGTTCATGTTTAGAATCCTATAAGGTAATCCCCAAAAGGAACTACTTTGGGGCCTACAGGTATTACCTATCTGGGTTGTCCTTTGGGGTCTTTTTTTAATTTTGCCCTACTATTTTGTAGAGAACCATGATAGTAAATAGTTTTCAAAGGGTTTAAAAGACAACTCAGCTGTATAGTATCTAATATAGTAGAATGTAGGGCTTCCATAATAGGAGTTATCATTATTGTTTCGGCAAGTATCCCCCCATATAGGTACTTAGGACCGGTGAGACCGATTATCGCCAACTCTCCATGCCTCCCTGCAGTTTAGGGGTTACCTAAACCACCCCCCAAAGTAGGTAAAATAATGGCCCAATACGCATAAAAGGCTATTATTCCATATACTTTTGGGGGTGCAGGTAAGGTTTAGGGTAGGATCTTGTCCGGAGCAAGGCTGCCACTTTGAGGGCGCTTCGGGACATTGTTCAACATGCATAAGATATGGGTGGTTGTCAAAATTAGGGTCCCTTTTTGGGGTACCCTAAATAATAGGTGCCGTATTTAAAAAAAGAGACCCAGAAACGGACCATAATTTTGACAACCCCCCCATATGACACACCAGCCGGGCCAGTCATGGTGTTCCTGAAGTATGCACACGAATGCGAAAAACTCGCAAGGCCCCGGGCGGCGCTGATCCTTTCGCCAACTACGCCGAACGGCTGATGGTGCAAGCGCAGGCCAAGACTTGCGTCTAGGAATATCGTTGTTGCTGCTGCTGATGTTTGGAAGAATGAGATGACCACCACCACCACCACCGCCGCCGCCACCACCACCACCGTCACCGCGAAGACTGCTACCCGCTCCCACTTTGCACTAGCGCTAGCACGAGCAGTAGCACCACCGCCGCCACCACCACCACCGCCACCGCGGCCACAGCCACGGCCGCTACCACTACCACTACCACCACCACTACCACTACCACTACCACGACCACGACCACGACCACGACCACGACCACTACCACTACCACTACCACTACGACCTCTGTTGGTTCTGCTGCTACTACTACGACGATGTTGACGCTACTACTCATGCTCCTGCGCTCCGACCCTGAACCTTTAACCCTAGCCCTAAACGCACATTGGTGTTGCGGCTGCGAGGCGGATCGGCAGATCGAGAAAGCCTGGGTGCATCAGCAGCTTCTCGTCTGGCAGACGTTGGTCCTGGTTCTTCTGGTTGGGTTTGAGAGCCTAAGGCTAGTAGCCGTTTGGGAAATGTACAACCCCGGGCGGGGGGGTGCTAATATTTCGGGTTCCTTTGGTACAGTGGTCGGAAGTGAGTTTGTCACGCACAGCCCGAAGCCCTGCAAAATAGCAGGTCATGACCCCCGAATCAGCAGTAGGTCTTTGGATTCTGAGGCAGGCCTCACAAAAAGACAAAGTGCAGTGATATCATGTGGTCCCTAAACCCTTATCAAGCCTAAACCCTAAACTCGGAAACTTCGTTTCAACACAGGCCTTCACACCCAAGACTTCGAAGTCCTTTTGGGTGAAAGCAAGCCCGTATCGAAACCTCGTGGAACTTTGGTCAAGCCTGTAAAACCCTTCATGACACCAGTTCGGGGTGGATGGCTGCGATAGGATTACGGTTTGGTGCATAGCTCTGTCGCACTTGTGTGAGCAGAGTGTTAGCTGAACGATTCAAGGTTTCTGAAAGTGTGAGAAAGCTTGCTGTCACAAGTCGTGTAGTGCTTTCATTTGGGACAACTTAGCACAGGTATAGTAGAGTAATTGTGTGTGTGTGTGTGTATGTATGTGTGTGTGTGGGGGGAGGGTGGGGAGGGCGAGGGGGGGGGCGTCGCGCATCACTGCTCCCTTGGTAAGGTTGCCTTAAGGGTATCAGAGCTTCGACCTGCTCCAATGGCAGTTTATCCCAAGAGTTGTTACAGATGCTTTTCCCCTTCAAGTCCTAGGGTTCAGAGGAGCTTTGTTCACAGTCGATGGCCTCGTGTTTAGGAGTTTTCTTCTGCTGGAATTTCTAGTTGCTGGCCCCGAAGAGAGATATAGTTTAGGCAAGCAGCTACCCCACTTGTGTCGAGAGACCCTTCCCAAGGAAGCCTTTTAGACCTTAACCTATATACCTAATAATCTCGAACCGAAATCCTAAGGCTTTATACAGATGGTTGCAGGTTGAGTGGCGAGAGCCTGCCAGTTCACTCCGCAGCGACATCTGCGCTGCCGGAGGCGTCGGGCGCACGGGCCTTGATTATTATGATTATGGTCATGATTGCTGTTCCGTGAATATTCTTATTTCTATTACGGGTATGAATGATCATTGGTTTTAGCACTGTTATCAGTATTGTGACCACTGTCTGTTCTGATCTTTATATTACTAGTACTAGCACTAGCAGTAGCAGTAGTAGTGTAGTAGTAGTAGTAGTAGTAGTAGTAGTAGTAGTAGTAGTAGTAGTAGTAGTAGTAGTAGTAGTAGTAGTAGTAGTAGTAGTAGTACAGTAGTCGTCGTCGCCGTCGTCGTTGTAGCTGTAGTCGTAGTAGCAGTAGTAGTTGGAGTAGCAGTCGTAGTAGTAGCAGTAGTCGTAGTAGTAGCAGTAGCAGCTGCAGGAGTGGTAGTCGAGCTCAGGTCGCCGTCGTGGTCGTAGTAGTAATTAGTAGTAATCGTCGTCGTGGTTGTGGTAGTGGTAGCGGTAGGGTAGTGAGCCCTGCAAACCTTGGAGTTTGTCTCCGCACCACAATCTGCTTAGCAGTAGGGTCGGGCCTATTTACCAATCAAGACCGAAACCTTAAAGCCTAGACCTCGGGTTTAGGGTTTAGGGCCCTGCCAATGCCAGGGTCTTTTTTACACCCCTTATTGTGCCGCAAAACCCTTAAACAGTGCCCATACAAGGGTCCCAATCCATTGATGATCTTAAATACGCAATACCTGGATGCGGCTAGATACAGTACCCTCATAAGTGTATCGAACAGCGGCTACTTGGAGGATCATGGGACTTAGTAAGTCAGGTTATCAGTACCTTAATGGGCTTGTAAGGGGTTTTAAGTATAGTTACCTTATTTATAACCCCAGTTACTAAGTCCCATGATCCTTAAAGTAGACCCTAAAACCCCTCTTATAGAACCCTTATAGACCCCTTTAAAGGAGCCCTTTAAGGAACCCCAGGTACTAACTCCCATGATCCTTGAAGTACCGGCAACAGGTGGAGGACTCCGAAGCGGACTATGTGGACAAGGCCTACAGTCGCCTCTAGAGTCCAGGCTTTGTAAGTTTTGTCTTATATCAAAAGGGGAAAAGGCGGGAATGGGTTCATGGGTAGTTATAAGGGTCCCTTTAAAGGGATCTATAGGGGTTCTATAAGGGTATAGGGTTTAGGGACCTCGATTTTTGGTTCAGGGGGAAAAGGACCCTGCATGGGGACCCCTACCCTATAGTGGGCTATGTAATGGGTATATAATAGCTATATTAAGGGTATATACCTCGGTGTCCTTATTAAGGGTCCCGCCTTTTACCCTTGGATTACAGGTTTTCATGGTTTGGAGGCTAATGTCAGAGGCTCATCAAGGACACCCTGTATTATGTGGGGGGTTTCATAGGGGCTTATGACATGATGAGGTTTTCAATAGCGCCTTTCGGCAGCGAGGCTTGGAGCTTGGATGTACCATTCTGTTGGATTTCCCAACAGGTTAGGGTTTGGGGTTTAGGCATACTATGCTAAACCCTATGATAGGGTTTAGGGTTTAAGGCATTGGGTTTAGGGTTTGAGGCATAGGGTTTAGGACCCCGGGGGTCGTAGCCCACTACCTGGAGGCTCATACTCTAACCCTTCTTATTAAGGATGCCCAGCTATGGTAGGATCGGATCTATAGAGTAGTGGAGACCTACAAAAGGGGTAGGGCCGGGTAGGGTATGAGCCTACAGGTAGTTTGCAGGATTTGGGGGCTCCTTACAACTGCGGTATCAACAATACCCACAAGTTTGTAGAGTCTGGGGCCGGGTACTTTTTAGACCAATAGCGTGGCGCTTGAGGTTTAGTGTGCAGGGCTTAGAGTTTTGGGCTGCAGAATCCCCAGGAAGACTAGATCAATTGATATGAACAGCTCCTGTTCAAGGGCTGCGGACAAAGCCCCTGAAGGGAGCTCACAGCAAAGAAACAAAACAACCAAACCCTAAACTCTTATCCGTAAAACCTTCCGCCCCTAAGCCCGAAAGCCAATCAGTCTTGGGGAGACCTTGAACCCCTCAAAAACCCTAAACCGTATGGGGCCCAGCCCCGGCCCCAAGCCCGAAACCCAATCTTGGGGAGGTCATAGACCCTTTAAACCCTAACCCCAAAACCGTACTTGGAGGTTCATGGGACTTAATAAGTACAGTTATAAGTGCCCTGAACGAGGTTATAAGTACATATAAGAGTAGTTACCTCAATTATAACCCTAGTTACTACGTCCCATGCACCTCTAAGTATGGCCCGAAGCCCAATCTTGGGGAGGTCCCAGCCTTGAACACGATGATCGCAATTCTCGACAAGCAGGAAGAGGAGGAGCTCAGTTTCAGCGCTGCTTTTGCAAGATTTCTGGTTGAGGGTTTTAGGGTTCATAATTAGGGGTTTAGGTCTTATAATTTATAATGTTGGGGCTTTAGGTTGAGGGTTTGAGGGTTTAGTTTTCAGCTGTAGGGTTCTTGCATTGGGTTCATGGCATTTCATGGCTGTGCCAAAGCACTGTGAGTTTTGAGTTCCGAGCTCTTGAACCGCCGAAACACAGATTGACCCGACTCGACCACCCAAACCTCTAAGCTGGGGTTAACGATTAAAAATGCAGGAACCAAGGGTTTAGGGCTTAGTGTTTCGGATTCAGGATGTTCGGTTTGGGGCGGTTAGGTTTTCACAGCTTAAAGTTTAGGTCAAACTTTGACTTCGGAGGGAGGTGTTCAGAGCTTAGGGTTGTTCGGTGTAGGAAAAGTTGGAACTTGCGTCACTCGCCCGAAAGCCCTGCACCCTAAACCCCGAACCCCTAAAACCTAAACCCTTACCTTAAAACAAACTAAAGCCCTAAAACCCTGAAGCCCTAAATCCTTAAATCCTAAAACCCCAATATAGATCCCTAACAGAACCCCTATATATCCCTTTAAAAAAACCATAAAAAACCTTATTGCCCTCAAAGCCCAAACCCTGCAGCCCTAGAGCCCTTGCAGCCTCGATCCCCTGAGCGTTTAGCGGACCCGAGGCTGACACCAGGGAGTTGAAACGTATAGCGTGGGAGTTAGGATTAGGGGGACCCTCGGGGATATAGGCCCTCTCACTAAGGTCCCTTTTCAGAGAGCCAGGAGTAGGGTTCGGAAGGGGTACCCTTTAAGGGGTTTCCCTCATCATGCTACCCATAGGGGTTTATGGGTTTGGGGTCTAGGGTAGGGCTTGGGGCTTAGAGCTTAGGTTTTAGAGTGGTTTAGGGTTTAGTTTAGGGTCTAGGGGCCTTTATCGCCCGAATAGGGCTTCGGGGCAACTTGCACTACGATGGTAGTAGGAGCCGCAAGGGACAGTTGCGATTATATTGGTAGTCTTTTCAGGCTTCTATATTTGGACGATGTATGATTGGTGTTCTGGGGGACAGGGCTGTTCCAGACTATGCTGGGGCAAGCGCTCGCCTCAACGACTTCGCTCAGCTCAAGACGCAGTTCGCGGTGTTTTTCGCCATGAGTCCTTCGTGGTTAGGTTCGCCCGTGCTTCTCACAGAGTTGGCGGAGTATTCGCGGCTTTGCGATCGCATGGGACACCATCGAGAGACCGCACTTTCTAGCTTTCCTTTCCTGAGCGCTCTGCTTCCTTCCCTAAACCCTAAGCCCTAAACCCTCAACCCTGAACCTTACACTTGAGCCCTGAGCCCTAAACTCTAAACCCAATTCCTTGACTCTGAGCTCTCAAGGCCAAAATTGCGACTGGCAACTGAATGCTCTTGAGCTGCTAGAAGTCGAAAACTGCGGGCCGGTTGCTCGCCTGGCGTATGAGCTTTGTTCGAAAGAAGTGGCGACTGGGGCCAGTAGTTTACAAAACCCGGCTTTGAATCTTAATAATCTAACAATTAGTGCTTCGAAAGGGCAAGTCCGGCTTTAATTATTAGTGCTTAGTCAAGCCCTTGTGTCATAGAACCGTTGTAATTATGGTAACCCTCAAGTAAGCCGTTTAGCGTCGCTCAGGGAACCCATACTTTTTGACATCTGGGCCGAGACAGGACAAGGATTTCGAGCGGTTCAAGCCCTATCTTCCGGAACTCGGGGAGAAGGCCCTCCCTGCTTCCTGGTACAGTAAACCTCGTAAAGTTGAAAACCGGAGTCAGGCCAAATAGTGCTGGCATTCCCTATACATTACTCTTAAGGATTGAGGGTTTCCAACTTTGGGGCTTATACTGGTATGGTTTGGGGCTTTAGGGTTTAGGGTATATAGGGTTTAGGGTACAGGGCTTCTGCTTATTAGGGCCTGTGCGGGCCTTAGTGTCGAAATCCTGAACGCCTAAGAGTCGGGGCCTGAAGAATTCTTAGGGTTCCTTATCATACTGTATGATTTGTTCACACACGCCCCCCCCCCCATATTACGGTTTAGGGCTTGTGTTGGAATCTCGGTTCTGCAGTCTACACATTTTCCCGCTTACGGGCAGAAGAGGATCATGTTGATGAGGAATTATGCCTCACAAGGTTCAAAAGGCCGTCTTCACTTTATCATGCTCATGCCCTGTGCTATGTTAGCATCTATTGAGCCGTGTCATCGTCAGCATCATCATCACCATCATCATTGTCAGCGCCATCGCCTACAGCACGCCTTCGATTCCCTAGACTACGCATCCAGTATCTGATAGCTTGTGTTGATGGCTAGGGTACGTTAGGTTCTCACGATGCAGAAAAGCCTGCCGGTGCTGTCCAGGCCCCACGGAGCATCGTCCCCGTGGCCAAGGTGCGCCGTGCCCGGCTTGTCCCTTTCTGACGACTGGAAAGTTTCAAAGTTTGAGGCTCTAGAGTTTTAGAAGGGAGGCTGCGAGACCCCTAAAGCCTAAACCCGAAAGGTTGCAAGATTTAGGGTTGAAGGTCTTCTTTTGAAGTCTTAAGCTACTTTAAAACCCCAAAGGAAACCTGGAACACCTGAAACCCTTCCTTCCAAGGAACCCTTAAAAGCCCTAGACCCTTCCCTCAAAAGGAACCCCTAAACCCTTAAAAACCCGAAGCCCTTCCCTCAAAAGGAACCCCTAAAGACCCGAAAAGACCCGAAACCCTTCCTTTCAAAGGAACCCTCAAAAGCCCCATAACCCTAATCCCTAACCCCAAGGGTCCAAGTACCCAATAATCATATACTCTCCAAAATCCTAACTTACATAACTACTATCCTAAAACCGAGTACCTAACCATTTGGTCCTTTGGACCCTTGGGGTAAATACACTCAAAGCCCTTACACCTGAACTGCCAGGACGGCTCGAACCCCTTCATCACCCAGGCCGTCCAGGTCTTCCAGCAGTACTACCCTGACGTCTTGGGCTTGGAGAGTTCGGGTTTAACCTGAGGCCCCATACTGTAGTAGTTCCTTTTTGGGGATTACCTTATAGGATTCTAAAATTAGAACCCTATAAGGGAATCCCAAAAGGAACATATTTCATATGAACCACAAAAATGAATTACTATGGGGCCTTAAGGTAGGCTTTAGGGTGCCCTAAACCCTAAACCGTAGATAGGCGTTATTAGCGTTCTATCATGGGGGTTCTCACAGTCACGCAGGTGTTAAAGCAGATAGGCTTTCGAAGGCTTCTGAAAAATTAGTGTGCGATTTCGTCAGGGTCTAGACAGAAAGGCTTAACATGGCTCTTATGTTCAACCCTTTGGGGCCAGAAGAATGAAGCCAGGCCTCATGAGGAGCAGCGAAAGGCGCAGTCTCTTCGAGAAGTGCTTCCGAAGAGGAGCAACCACTGTTCCACACAAAGGGAGGGAAGGGAGAGAGACGTTCTCGCCTTCGCCACGGAGGCGCTGGAGAACAAGTTCGCGGAGGAGATGGCGGTGATGCGACAGAAGGACTGCGAGAAGCACCCCGAGCACATGGTGAAGCTGAAGAAGATGACCGCGCGGCCAGTGGATTACCTGCAGTATGCGCGATTTTTTCCAATAATGTGGGTGTCGGTTTAATAGTAGGGTACCCCCCCCCCCCAACCAAAAAAATAAATTCTATTTAATATGGAGCCGGTGACGCCGGGACAGGGGTCAGGGGTCTGAGTGGCAGGGAATTGGGAGGTGCCGGGGTTTGGGGGCTGGCTTGGGTGCAGGGTCTGCGGTTCTGCGCGAATGCGCGGTCGGGGGTCGGGGGGGTCTGGGGATCACCAAATGTTGGAAACCAAGCCCCGATCACTCCAAGATTACTACCAAGACTAAAAACCCTTCATTTTGAACACTTTTGCCTCCGTAACCTACACCCCCACACTCCCACCCACAATCGACCACGTCCGAAGCTTGGTGCGGTACAATAATAGTACAGTAGTACATTAGTAGCACAGTAGAAATAATACAGTAGTAGTACAATAGTAGTACAATAATAGTGCAGTAGTACAATAGTAATACAATAGTAGTACAGTGGTAGTACAATAGTAGTACAGTAGTAGTACAATAATAGTACAGTAGTACAATAGTAGCACAATAGTAGTACAGTAGTAGTTCAATAGTAGTACAGTAGTAGTACAATAATGGTGCAGTCGTACAATAGTAATACAACAGTAGTACAGTGGTAGTACAATAGTAGTACAGTAGTAGTACAATAATGGTGCAGTCGTACAATAGTAATACAACAGTAGTACAGTGGTAGTACAATAGTAGTACAGTAGTAGTACAATAATAGTACAGTAGTACAATAGTAGCACAATAGTAGTACAATAGTAGTGCAGTAGTACAATAGTAATACAACAGTAGTACAGTGGTAGTACAAAAGTAGTACAGTAGTACACTAGTAGTACAGTAGTAGTACAACAGTAGTACAGTAGTACAGTAGTAATACAGTAATAGTACAGAAAATAAAGCCAGTGGACACATTCCCCTAATAAGCAAAGCATAAAGCCAGCGCCTGAAACCCTAAACCCTAAACCCTGAACCCTAAACCCTAACAAACCCTAAACCCTAACGAATCCTAAACTCCTAAACCCTATAACAAACCCTAAACCCTAAGCCCTAAACCCTTCCCAAAGGGTCGGTCCAGATTGGACCCAAAATTGAATTTTTTATACAAACTTTAGTACTGGAGAGGCCTTTGTCGAGCAAGGGTCCAATTCCCAATTCGGCGGTTCACCCTAGCAGCCCCCCCCCAATAAGCAAGGCATACAGTAGCAGTACAGTAGTACAATAGTAGTACAGTAGTAGTACAGAGTCTCATTCCTGACGCCCCAATAAGCGAAACAATTCTGCAAGAGATTTTCGGGCTTCAGGGCCAGGGTTTTAGGGTTGGGTGGGGGTTTGGGTGGGGGTTTAAGTCGTGGCTGCCTTAAGATTGACCATCAGCAAATAGCACAGCCCCGCCACCAAAAAATCACCCCAGCCAAAAAAACGCATTAATTAGTACCCCCAAATTGTTGGTCAGATTCGGAATTAGCCCCAGAGCCGACGCATTAAAGGAGCCTATATTCCAAAACCGACACCCACATTACCATTTCTTCAGAATCCTTTGGGAAAACCAGAGTTCTGTAAATTTCACATCCCCCAAACCCGGTAGATCCCTGCCGTAAAATGCCTCCCCCCAGATGTATCGCAGGATGAAGCTTGAAGACCATCTCGTGCATGCCTTTCAAAACACCATAACAAAGACGCAGCTGTTCGACAACTGCTGCTTCAAGTCTAATGTAGGAACCTGATTAAGAAACCTTGGGCCTTTGTTAGGGTTCCTTATATGAATCCTACTATTTTGGGGTTATAGGCCCAGGGTTTCTTAATCAGGTTCCTACATTACTGGCAACCCTCCCAAAGGCCTCCCTAGTAGTAGAGTAGGGAACCTTTAACTTTTTGTTGGGTAGTATAGTCCCTATATAATCCCCATATGACCAAAAAGGTTGACTTTGAGTTCCCCATGATACCCTCCTAAAGGCCTCCGAGCCCGAAGCCTTACTTTTCAAAGACTGAACCTCGCATCCTTAACTCTGCACCTAAAACTTCCAAAATCCCCTAATTAAGGAATATCCCTTAAATCATATTAGGGATCCTATTATAAGTTATGGTATATTCCTTAATTAAGCCCTAAAACTTTCCTTGCCTTAGTAGCTGAGTGGATACACTTTACACTCTTTGGATGATACCACCCACCTGGCTTATGAATTCAGCAACAAAGTATATGGTCTATAGATCCCATAGAACCCTTAAAAGATCCCTATGGATCCCTTTAAAGGAACTCTTACAACAAGAAGCCTCGGAACCCGCACGCCCAGTTCGACCTCTCGGATGCTTTCGGGGACAGCTACAAGTCTGTGCTGCGGGTGCGCCGTTGCTTTGGTGGATTGAAAAGGAACCCGAATCTCCCGAACTTAACCCGGCCCATAGGCTCCACAGTAAGGTGGTCCTACATAGGAACCACAAAAAGGAACTACAATGCTATTGGGTAAACCCTGATAAGGATTATGGGGCTTAGGTTTTTGGGTAAGGATTTCTGGGGTGCTGTGATTTCGAGGGTTCAGCGGGTCTGTCCAATAGAATGTGGATCAAGGGGGAGGCTTGCCATGCCAAGGCTCACGCCCAAGACCAAGCACCAAGAGAAAGAACATTCCCCCCATAGTATCCTATAGTAACCCTAATAGCAACCCATTGTAGTAACCCGTTATAGTAGTCCTTTTGCATGGAAAACCAAGCCCAAGCCCAAGCCAAGGTAATCCTCGGAGCCGAAAGACAACCTTGGTCTTAAACGTCTTAAACCCTGTCGAAGCGCAAAACCCTAGAAGGAACCATGGAAAGTTATATTTGTGCAACAAGTTTACTTTCTGCAAAGAAGTCAATAGCAGCATCGCTCGAATCGTGCTGTGTGGGGCTTTGCCTTGCGAACCAGAATCACTTCGGGGACCCCGGCAAAGCAACTCTTGTGGTTGGCGGTGGTGTAGCTCAGTCCCTAGACTTTAACCCGACTTTAGAATCCTACCAAAAGGGGTACAGTCAGGGCTGCTATAAGCCCTAAACTCCGAAACCCTACACTCCATACATCCCTAAACCCTAAACTCCTAAACCGCCAGGCGGCATCGCACCGAGCAGCCAGGGGAGGCGGCAGATCAAGTCTGTTTGGAGTTCAGGGCCAGGGTTTAGGATACCTTACCCTACGTACATCCTAAGCCTGGAACCTCAGGGTGTAGTGAATATGGGAGTTTCCGAAAACAGGGGACCCTAATATAGTTCCCTAAATAGTAGGATCCTTATTATGAGGACCCCAAAATAAGGTGCTCCTAATTGTCTGAAACCACCATGTGGAAGCAGGAGCTGCATTTCAGATGTATGCTTGTAAGACGACATGCAGCGTGCCGTAGCTACTTAAAAGATCATGGGACTTACTAACTGGGGTTATAAAAAAGGCAACTATACTTATAACCACTTATAAGCCCACTTAAGGTACTTATAACTTGCCTTAGTAAGTCCCATGAACCTCCAAGCATATAGCTATCGACCTGCCCATAGACTAAGTGAGGGGAGCTGCACCACTACCCGTATGTTACGTGAGTCGGAGGAGAAGGCTAACGAAATTCGACGAATATGGCTGGTGTCTTACGACTGGCCTGCAGCCGGGTTTGAGATCACACATAGTATACTTTATGCTGATAACCCTAGGAACATATAGGTCTTCAACGGCATGTTCGCATGGTTCGCAGGACTGGCGATGTGGCCACTATGGCAACCCTCGTTGGAACCGGGCGCTTCCCGAACGAGTGGACCGAAACGCCGTGGTGGCTCGTTTTCAGGACCTTGCCAAGCGAATTTCCGACTGCGCAGGCGAGGCAGGGACGTAAGAGGAAGGTGGCGGAGGAGATGAAAGCTCCCACCAGTAGTTCCTCCTCCAGCTCCAGCTCGTCGAGTGGCTCGAGCGAGGGTTCGTGAAAAGTCCAAAGTCTTCAGCGTGCTTCGTAAAATGATGTTTCCTTCCGAATCCTTTGCTTGGGTCGGAAGCTTTTTCAGTCAGCAAGACTATCCGTGCATTAGCCCTCCACACCCCACACATGTGGCCCGCGCTAGCAACACTTCAGAGATTTTGCAATCGAGAAGTTAAAACCTGGAATTCTATAGTGGTAGCGTTTCTCTCTTCCACAGAGGCGTCACGCAACTACTGAGGCAATAAGGTCGAACTCAAGAACAATAAAATTGAACAGCGCCCATGTGCATCTGTTTGAACTGGTGTGCGTACAGACACAGTCGAATCTACCTGCACATTCATCATCACTCGCGACCGGGTAGAACAACATGGTTTTCTTATGTACACCAGCTGTCAGAATGGTGGCGTGCAGCGCACCAAAGGCCTGCAAGAGTGCAGGTCTTACTTGTGCTGCTGCAAAAGCATCTGAGGTTTGTATGCATTAGTAAGTTATCAATTTTACCATTGTTTTTCTATCTGTGTATCCATCTGCATATCTATCTAGCTGCATTTATGTCTGTATATGTACGTATGTATGTATGTGTTCAGGTACGTATGTAATTTTTATGTATGTATGCAAGTACGTATGTACGTACGTAGGCTTGTATGTATGTATGTATGTATGTATGTATGTATGTACGTATGTAGTTGTGTGCGTACACGCGCGTGTGTGTGTGTGTGTGTTTGCATGTACGAGTGTATATGTATTGTTGGCGTGGTTGCATCAACAAAACAAACAAGCAAAGTCAGTTAGTAGACGTATACAGTTACAACCAGTCACACGTGATTGGACATACGTGTGCATGCACGCACACGTATTTGTGTGACATCTGTGTTCGGTATGTTCGTTTGTTGGTTGGCTGTTTGGTTTGTGTGTTGGCTCGTGCGTTTGTTTGCCTTCTCGTTTGCTTGCTTGTCTGTTTGTTTGCTGTTTTTTGTTGTTTGTTTTTGTGTTGGTCTGCCTGCCTGCATGTGAGGTTGGGTTTATGCAAGGATGGCAGCAAACAAAACCTGCAGATTGACAACCTTAGGCTTAGACCCTAACCTCAAATCCTAACCCCAACCTAGAGCCTTTACATAAAGCAGATCTAGTAGATCCGAGCTTGCAGGATCCCTACGACTGAAGAAGACACATCAAGCTCCATAAAATCCGTATACAGTCGTTTCAAACTTCATCAAACACTAGAAAATTTCTAGCATAGTTTTTAAACTCGATAGATGCGACCTTAAACCCGAGAAGGCCGCGTAGAGCAGCTTCAGCTGATGAACGTTGGCATGGCCGAAGAGGTGCCCAGCACGTCAAAGCGTCAGAGACAAGTCTCGAATTCCAAGAGTTTGGGGCTTAGCCATAGGGTATAGGCTTAGGCGTTAGGGTTCGGAGTGTAATTTTAAGCATGGTTTAGCTCTTCGGATGTTCAGACAAATCAATTTCCTACAAAGACTAACCGACTACCCCGAGGACCCTAACAAGCGATAATTATTCCAAGGCGAAGAGCTTCCGAAGATGCCCGATTCATTTTGTAGAGCTCATGTACAGGATTCTCAGCTATGCCGCCCATGAAGTCAACATCGTGAAGATGTGCTACGCACACATTCCCCACCCCGAATCCCCTGTCATCGCAATCAATCAGCAGGAACAGCTGTGAGTCCTTGCAGTAACGTAATTTCTCAAGGCTACAATGTCTCAGGGCTGCCTCATATTGTTCGAAAATCCCACCAAATCCCCAGTCTAAATATGCAAACCTTGCTCTCTCTCCCTCTCCCGTTTCCTCTCCATCCAATGCGCTCGCTCCCTATCTCTCTATGTCCCTCTATGTCTCTCTTTGGCTCTCTCTCTCTCTCTCTCCCTCTCCCTCCCTCTCTCTCTCTCTCTCTCTCTCTCTCTCTCGCTCTCTCTCTCTCTCTCTCTCTCTCTCTCTCTCTCTCTCTCTCTCTCTCTCTCTCTCTCTATATATATATATATATATGTAACATCAAGATCTATCTGAAAATGCGCATACACACTTCGCATTTGGTGTGGTATTCCTTGTCACTTTGGGAGCGCCCCGAAGGCCCGAGACTGCGCACCCAGAGACTCCGATACCCCTTAATTAGGGAATATTCCTTAAATCATATTAAGGATCCCACTATAATTTAAGGGATATTCCTTAATTAAGGGATATTCCTTAATTAAGGGATTTTCCTTGATTAAGGGATATTCCTTAATTAAGGGATATTGGAGTCTCTGCGCAGGAAAGGCGCCTGAAAGAGGAGCGCCGGAACCTCCTCAGGCGCTGGGTCGGCGGCCTTGGGGTTTGGGGGTCTTAAGGGGTTTTGGGTCTTAGGGGGTTTATGGGTTTTAGGGGTTTAGGGTCTTTGGGGGGTTAGGGTCTTTGGGGGTTAGGGTTTTGGGGGTTTATGGGTTTAGGGGTTTTGGGGTTTAGGGATTAATTAGGGGGTTTATGGGTTTAGAGTTTGAGGGTTCAGGGTTTAGGGTTTTGGGGTTTTGGTGTTTAAGGGCTTAGGGTTTTGGGGTTTTGGGGTTTAGGGGGTTTGGGGTTTAGGGTTTTGGGGGTTTAGGGTTTTGGGGGTTTAGGGTTTTGGGGTTTAGGGTTTTGGGGGTTTATGGGTTTTAGGGGTTTTGGGTTTTAGGGGTTTGGGGTTTTAGGGTTTGGGGATTAATTAGGGGGTTTATGGGTTTAGGGTTTGAGGGTTCAGGGTTTAGGGTTTTGGGGGTTTATGGGTTTAGGGTTTGAGGGTTCAGGGTTTAGGGGTTTAGTTTAGGGTTTAGGGTTTTAGGGTTTAGGATAAGGTTTAAGGGTTCTTTGTGGGGTATAGTTCCCATTTGTCGTAAGGGTCGTGAAGGAAACAGTTGTGCATCTACGAGCTCGTCGTAGGTCCCCCTTCATGAAACAGGGCGGTTTCGGCATATTCCGATAGGGTTCCAGGTTTTGATAGATTTTTGAAGGCTACGGCCAGAGGTTTACAGTTACTGTGGAAGTGACCCTGGACCTTATCTTACATGTTTATCTCGCGAAGCAGCCACATGGAAGTAGCGGCAGCGCAAAGCCCCGGATCTAGCCAGACGTGTATAACTAGATCTGTAGACTATAGACATACATACCTAGTAAATGTACCCCTCGACCTACCTACATGTGCATATAAACATATACATATCTATATATAATTCTATATATGTATATACACATAGACCTCAATTTGGAGCCGGTAGTTTTGTCTCTGGGGTTCTGCAAGTAGGTCTTGTGGTGCGTGTCACTCGAGGCTCACTTGAGGGTTTCTGAGTGCTTTGGGTCTACAGCAGAGCCTAGTATTCAGGCTGTCAGTGTTGTGGTTTAGGGGTTGAGGGTTTAGGGTTTAGAGTGGATTACGATTTAGAGTTTACGGGTTGAGGGTTTAGGGGTTGAGGGTTTAGGGTTTAGAGTGGCGTTGGAGCTTCTGGCAGAAGTGAAAGCAGCAGAAGCCCTTGCCAGGGACTTGCGACGGCGCCGTTACTTGCTTCAAGAAGGGCCGGGGCACTCAATACTGGGTTTTCGTTCTGTTAAGGATCTCAAGGTTAGTGACTGTGTTATCGTTATCATGCAGAGCAAACTGTTCGTACTACTTCGAGTTCATGATGCCTCAATGCAGGTTCCTCAAAAGGAGCCTGATATAGGGGCCTTTGCGTTTTGGGGCCCATTATACTATGATTATAAGCAGGAACCTCCAAAGTAGTTTAGGTAATTGTTCAGGCCCCTTCACTATGTTGTAGAACCCTGGCCCTACTATAGATCCCTTATAGAGCTTGTTAAGGAGCCTTTTAAAGGGAACCCGGGAACCCTATTCTAGTTATGAAGGCCCCTTCACTAAGGGTCGGGATCTGGGCAGTAAGCCCGCAGAACTCCTCCAGCAGAGTTTATAGGATCCTTAAGGGAGGGAGGATGGTTCAAGGGGGGAGGGTACAAAGAATCCTTAGGGGAACCTTAGGGAGTACTAGGGAGAGTTAGGGATCACTAGGCTGTGTACCCCCCTTTGGAGCCCCCTCCCTTAAGGATACTATAAATGTCGGATTCCCGAGTGACTTTTCTGTGTTCTATTTGGGTGGTTGTCCAAATTACAAAAGGGAATCCCAAATATCAGGTGCCGTATCATATTAAGGACCCAAAACGGGGTCATAATTTTGACAACCACCTATTTGGAGTTTAGGGTTTAGCTATGTTTAGCTTATAGGCAAGAGCTGAGGTACACCGAATGAGTATTGCAGAACCTTGTTTCTAGTTGTACAGGGATAGCCGGGACAACGCGAGCAAATGATTAGTTAGCAGCGAGCAGTGGCAATTTGCGGTAGCTGGCTCGTTTGGCTGGACGGACCCTAGAATAAGGTTCGACCCAAACCTTACACCCGAAGCCTTAGCTTGAGGGTTGTTTTGTTGGGGTGATACGTATGCCAATGGCAACGTTTTGCCCGTTGAAAGCCGCAGAGGCAGACAGACAAAGAAGGACGTCAACCCAACTTAAAAAAGACAAACCTTGTCTTGACAGACCCCGAACCCTGCAAGAAAAGAAGCAAACCTAATCCTAACAGACCCCGAACCCTTCAAACCTAAATCCTAAGAATGCACAATGCTAAACCTCCACAAGCTCCATGGACCCGAAAACCCTGCAGACTTACATTTCCTCAGCCTTAATTTCCCCAACCCTAAACCCGCCTGAACTCTAAGAGCCTCTGAGAGCAACGAATTCCGAGGCAGCGTGCCCTCGGTGTGAATTTGAGCACCACAAACCTCTCCAAGGCCATGGGATGTGAAGTGCGCTCCTAACCTAGGGGCTTTAATAATATTTGGAATAGGATTCGTTTTAAAAGGTTCTATAAGGGATCTATAGTAGGGTTCTTTCAAAAAAAAGGGTTCTAAGGCTTGGGGCTCATTGTACTATAGTTGACCCCCAAAATAGTATTGGTTATTATTTAGGCCCCTAGAGAAATCAGGAACATCTTTGGTGCGGGGACAAGAGGCTCGGATATGATTCTGTAAGTGTTCTAGAAGGTTTCAAGCTCGAGGTGTTTGTGTGATTGTTTTGTTCTGTTCGGTGCTTGTGAAGTTTTGTTCAGGGCACTATAGGCTTAGGGACGGAGTATCTAGACCAAATAGTCTTTCCTTCGTATAGCTTGAAGTAAGTTTCCGAACAGCGATGCGAGAAGGAGAATGCTGAAACTTTACTTGAGCCCGAAATGGCCCGTGATGTAGAATTTGAAAAATAGCCCTTTACTACCGATTACAAGAACGATGAGAGTAAGACCCATCAGGCCATCCTTGGCTCGCCGGAGCAGCTGACGATTGTGCACAAGTTGTTGGAAGGCTTGACCGTTACATGGCAACGATGGTGCCAGGACATCTGCTCCGCAAGCTCTAATCGGCGACCAGGCATGTCAAGCTTTTGAAAGGATACTCCGCGACACGTGCACGGGGTCGATTTGATCCTGAACAGACTCCCTCAGAGAACGTTGAAGGTGAAGGGGGCTCTCGTGCGCGAGACACTCGGAATCACCTGATTTCTCAGCCCCTCAGCCTCTTGAACCCTAAGCCCTGAAGCAGCCTAAACCCCAAACTCTACAGCATGTAGATCCTGTAGCCTAAGTGGCGCTGCTTTCTGGATGTCGGGTCGGCAAAGCTACAAACCGCAGCCTGGTAGTTTAGGGCAGAGGGTCCTCACCCCCGAAGTTTCGGAACCCTAAGATCGGTTCAAGTTCCTAGTAGTTGAGTATTACAGGGGCCTCAATAATTACCTATACTATTTTGGGGGTTCCTGATTATGATTATAGTATAGCGGGCGCCCCTATATTAGGTAGTCTTTAACCTTTGTTGGGCAGTATACTCCTCTTCCAAGAGACTCCAAGATCCCTTAGCTAAGGAATATACCTTAAATCATATTAGGGGTCCGACTAGAAATTAAAGTATATTCCTGAATTCTGTGATATTAGAGTCCCTGGGTATCTTGTATCATAAGCTCGAAGCAGCACTTGCGTTTTGAAGCCCCAAGTCAATCCTAGCTTCTTTCAAGATCTATACACGAAGCCCTGTAGGCTCAGGTCATCTATACCCCCAACCCTAAACCCTTATAAATCCTAGACCCAAAACCCTAAACCCTAAGACCCTGAAGCCCTAAGACCCTGAAGCCTTAAACCCCTAAACGCTAAACCGTAAGACCCTGAAACCCTAAGACCCTGAAACCCCAATATACCCCAAGTGATGAAGAGCGATCGGTCGCCGCAGAGCAAGAGGCAACCGAAGAAGGGCTGCAGCCCAGACCTTCCAAAATCCTTTAATTAAGGAATATACCTTAAATCATGTTAGGGATCCGATTATGATTTACCTTAAAGTGTAATAGGATCCCTAATACGATTTAATGTAGAATATTCCTTAATTAAGGGATTTTGGAAACTGCCGTTTGCGCAGTCTGCGCGGTGAGAACTTGGAGGAGAACTTGGAGCTTAGGGTTTGGGTTTGGGGTTTAGGGCAAGATGATCGCAAATCCTGCGTTTGCGGGTGCGTCAATGGGTTCGGTATGTATTTCGGTATGTTTAGGGGTTCTAACTAATTGCCTATGGTAAACTCAACTTTTGGAACTTTTGGGGTTCTTATAAGGAAGTCGAACTTTTATTTCCTAGGGTTTTGGGCCAGTGAGATTATCGCTTTCCCTCAAACTTATAAGTCCCCCGTCATTCCTTCAAACCTAAGTCACGCCTCAACCCTAAAGGTAAACCTTTAAATGCTGAAAGCCTTAAACTCTTAATCCCTAAACCTCTCAGACTCTTAACCCCTAAGCCATCCAGCTCTTATCCCCTAAACCCTCAAAACTCTAAATCCTAAACTCCAACAACACGAAAACCTGTTCACTATTGCAGGCCCCTCCCAGGCCGTTGCCGGCTGCAGCTGGGCAGGCAGAGAGGGCATTCCTCTAAAAGGGATCCATAAGGGTTCCTTAGAGTTCCTTTCAAGGGATCCATAAGGGTTCGTTAGGGTTCCTTTACAGGGATCCTTAAGGGTTCCTTGAAGGGATCTATACAGGGGTTTAGGAGTTTAGAGTTTAGGGTGTAGGGCCTTATGGTTTGGGGTTTAGAGCTCAGTATTGGGGTTCAGGATTTGGAGTTTAGGGTTCCAGAATCGCTGTGGTGGAAGCAAGGCGAATAGTGAGCTTGGATGTTTGAATAACATGGGCCATGGAATGTTAAGCCCAAATAGTTGGCTGGATAAGTGCTACCTCTGCCCTGTGCAGTACCTATGTAGACCCCCAACCCTAAACCCTAACTCAATCTGCTTCAGCGGGGACGCGTAGATTCACTTACGCCACATCGCGTTGACGTAGCCCGTAGCCGAAAGCTTCCCTGAGCAGCATAGACATTTCGTGCATTATGGTATGGATTTTTTGGACCCCGTCTGCTACGCAACGGATCTACGGATACCCTAAACTCTAAAGTCAGACTACCGGTGCGACTCCAGAGCCTGACCGAAATTTTAAAACTGAATATACCTAACCCGGACAGACTGAGCAAGCCTCTACAAGCCTCCTGCACTACAGTCGCCGCACTTCCGAAACCTGCACCCTGAGTTTCAACCATCGAGCTCCCAAGCCCTAAAACCAAAGCCAAAGCCCTGATCTCTGAAATTCTTCTGAACTGTTCTTGACCGTAGCATTCTCGTAAGGCACAGGTCAGAACTCGAAAGGACTGAGGCGTGAACTGTGAGCTGTTTCGCCACACTGGAAGAGTCTAAATAAAATAACCACTGCCTAAAGGTTTAGAGTTTATGGTTTTAGGTCTAGGGTTTATCTTCGGCTCCCTCAGAAGAGGCGTACAAAGCGCCTCCGTCGGCGCTGCGACTCTCGCCCGGCTCACTTGGCGGCCCTGTGAACGGGCCCGGGATGCCTGGGGAGAGATGGGCTTCCGCTTGTTTTCCCCGTTCTCTTACCTTGGGTTAGTAGGGAATGGAGGAATGAGGTACAATTATAACTACTATTATACTACTATTCTTCCATTCCCTACTAGCCAAAGGTATGTTCTTTGCGGCTGTAACCCTGAGTTGTTGCAGCATAGGGGCCTCAATTACTAGAACCGGGTCCTGGGTCTGAAGCATATCGTCGCAGTGATCCCAAATATGAGGACTGCAATGACTTCGCTGTTTACAAACTGGGTGGTGGTCAAAACTATGGTCCCTTTTTGGGTCCCTATCTTAATACGGCACCTACTATTTAGGGTACCCACAAAGGGACCATCATTTTGACAGCCACCCAAATGAGCACGCATGTGACATCATTGTCGGAAGCTGCTGCCCGAAACCCTTGATCCCTGAGAGCTCTCAAGCCCTCCGTGCCCGAAATCCCAGAGCTCTGAACCACCCAAACCCTCAGCTACCAAACCCAACACCCCTACCGTATAGGGTTTAGGGTCAAAAAGGATTAAGCATGTGTCAAATGCACAGCACTGTATGCAAACAGTGTCATGTTCCGTCTGATCATGCTCCTTTCTACCTAAATAGCAAATGCTTCGGCACCAAGGTACCTATATATAGGGACTACTTTAAGACCGAAGTGCATAGAATTTGCATGGACTCTAATACTTATACCCGAAAACGTACCCATGGTTACCCTTTAAAGGAAGCCCTTGCGGAACCCTTTGCGTACATGGAACCTTAGTTTTTCTAAGCCCCTAAACCCCAAACCCCTAAACCATCCTAGACCTCTCAACCCCAAACCCCTAAACCATCCTAAACTCCTCAACCCCAAACCCCTAAACCATCCTAAACCCCCAAACCCCAAAACCCTTAAACCATCCTAAACCCCTCAGCCCCAAAACCCCAAAGCCCTAAACCCTATAAATCCTGTACAAAAAAGCCCTATGACTCCGAAGAACGGAAGGCTGCTTTTCCCGGGCATGGACTCCGCGGAGCCTTCACCGGAGCCTGAGCTCTGCTTCCCGAGGTGGGATTGAATTAGCGGTTTAGAGTGTCAGGGTTCAGGGTTTAGGGTTTAGGGGGTCAGGGTTCAGGGTTGAGGGTTTTTGGGTTTGGGGTTTTCGGTTTGGGGGTTTAGGGCATGAGGTGGGATTGAATTAGGGGGTTTAGAGGGTTAGTTAGGGTCCAGGGTTTGGGGTTTAGAGGGTTTAGGTTTCAGGGTTCAGGGTTTGGAGGTTCAGGGTTGTTGGGGTAGGGTTCAGGGTTTTGGGGTTTAGTGTTTTCGGTGTTGGGGTTTAGGGCTCTAGGTTTGCCGCTCGTTTGCTTGCTTTTGGGGTTTGTTGGTGTTCTGGTTCTACAGGGTCCTTGTTCAGGGTTTGCAAAAGCACTTAGTTGTTCAGAAGCCCTAAGCCCTTTAAGCGACCCCTATAGATCCTATAGAACCCTTCAAAGATCCCTATGGATCCCTTTAAAGGAACTCTTAAACTGTGTAGCTGAGTGGATACACTTTACACTTCTTTTGGACAATACTACCCACCATAAAACTAAAAGTGTGCACTTTTGGGGGGCTTATGAACTCAGCAACTAAGTATATGGTCTATAGATCCCATAGAACCCTCAAAAGATCCCTATGGATCCCTTTAAAGGAACTCGTAAAGGATCTGGTAAGCCCAAAATTGCTCAGAGGCCTCCTCCCGCCGAGCCGGCTGAAGCCACCCCAGCGAAGCCGCCAAGAGCGAAGCCGTGCGAGTCTCAGCGGTTCGCTTACTCTAAAACCCCAAAGTAGTTGCTTTTTGAGATTACCTTAGAGGATTCTATATATGAACCCCAAAAAGGAACTGCTATGGAGCCTCTAGGTAAGGACACCTACTGGAGTCATTAAGTCTATAAGAGTTTAGGGCTCAAAGTTTAGGGTTTAAGGTTTAGAGTTTGGGGTTCCTATAGAGGGCTCCTAGAAGGATCCCTGCAGGAGCTCGTTAGAGAGTTGCTTTAAGGGTGCCTCCTCTGAGTGGTCTAACTGCGATCAGTTGACTTGCGCAGTGACTGCCTGATAAAGGGACAGCCCAGGGACAGCGATGTACTACACATCTGCACTCTAAGGGTTTCTCTCAGGGATCCTTGAAGGGTTCAAGAGTGCTTTTTTTTGTGTATCGTTTAAGGGTCTGTCAGGGTCACCAGAAGGGTTACTTGCCATATAAGGCTTTAGTGTAGGGGACTGAACAACTGGTCAAGGTCAAGCCCGGATGAAATGCTACATCCACTCTATGCCTTAACGCTACTCACGGCCACCGGAAACCACAAACCAGTGCTTCTGTGACAAATCTCCAGCCGAGCCTGCATGACGTAATGTAGAGCCATGAATATTCAACAAGCCCCACTGCTTTGAGAAGGCTTCGCTATAATGAGTATGGCAGTGCCTCCAATACAACCCTCAACCTATGTGTCCCTAGAAGACTAGAAGAAAGGGGATATTGACTGCATTGCATGCGTTTTTCGGGCCTTTGCGGTGCCACCTAAGTTTTATGTTTCATACCCTGCTGCCCTTGATTTCTTAACCTCAGATCCTGAACCCCAATGCTAGAGTTTGTGGGCTCAGGGCTTGTAGTATACAACTTAGTCACAGTCTTCCCAGAGATTCCAAAACCCCTTAATTAAGGAATATACCTTAAATCATATTAGGATCCCTTCTATAATTTAAGGTATATTCCTTAATTAAGGGATATTGGAGTCTCTGGGAACTTAGTTGCAGTCTTTGTATGGAGCTACCTAGGCTGGGTCTGACGGCCTCACTTCGGCTGGACGAGGACATGAGGGGGTTTAGGGGTCCCTTTGGAGGCTGCTAGGGGTTTGAAGGGTCTAAGGGTTCTACAAGGGTTCTATAGGGGTTCTACTTGTTTAAAGGTTCTACAAGGGTTCTATAAGGGTTCTACAAGGGTTCTATAAGGGTTCTATAAGGGTTCTACAAGGGTTCTATAAGGGATCTATGAGAGGGTTCAGGGCTTAGGGTGTATAGGGTTTGGGCTCAGTGGGCGATGGTATGCAGGGTGTGCCGGGATGTGTTAATCTTTGAGGGCTAGGCGTTTCGGGGCAGGGTCACAGTTGATACTTCGGGTCTTCCCACAGGCCCTATAGTAGTTCCTTTGTGGGGTTCGTATATAGAATTCTAGAAGGTAGTCCCAAAGGGAACTACTATGGGGCCTTTGGGTAGGGTTACAGTTGTTAGGGTCTGTTCGTAGAGTAGTCAAGCTGTTTAGGATCTATATTGCTCGGGGCTTAGGACAGAAGGCAGACTAAACCCTAAACCCCATACCGTGTTCGTGTTTGCCACCTGGAGTTTCGAATGTGGGTGCCCTCATAGTTCAAGGCTTGTCAAATGCAAAGGGTTTGAACAACGGATAACCATAGTATCCCCGCATGGTCCACCTCGTAAAATCCCCATACCACAATCAAGGTTCGACTGCCAGAGGCTGTTTATTGCAGTGTCTCGGGGTTTCTTGTTTGTAAGGAGCCTTAACCTCAAACCCCGAACGCCTCAAACCCTAAACCCCCAAACCCTGAAACCCTTAAGCTAAACCCCAAACCCCTAAACTCTAAATGTGTTTAAAGGGAACAAGCCTTAAAGGAACCTTCAGAGGATCCCATGCAAGGACCTCTAAACGATAGTCTCCTTAGGTTTTTTGTAATTTTTGTTCATATAAAACCCAAGAGAATATTCAGCATACTAAATTCTTATTAGGGTGTTGAAGGCGGGTTATGGTAACGGAGCCCATAAACGAACCCCCAAGCTCCTCAAACCTTACTTATAACCCATATTAGGGGACTTATAACCCTACTTAAAACTACCCATGAACCCTAAACCCTATTACTTTTATAGAATCCCTATAGATCCCTTAAAGGATCCCTATGGATCCCTTTATAAAGGAGCTCTTAAAGGATCCCTATGGATCCCTTTATAAAGGAACTCTTAAAGGATCCCTATGGATCCCTTTATAAAGGAACTCTTAAAGGATCCCCAAAGATCCTGGAACCCTGAGGATGAAGGCTCTTTTTCCATTGAAGACCTCACTGGCCTGCCGCCGCCGCCAGAGGTGCGAATTGAGTGTCTAGGGATCTAGGGGTTTAGGGATTTAGGGGTTTAGGAGTTAGAGGGTTTGGGGGTTGAGGGTCCGGGGTTTAGGAGTTTAGGGGTTTAAGGGTTTCGGGTCTAGGGTTTAGGATTTTAGGGGTTCCGAGCGCAGGGTTTAGGACTGCTGTGGCGGTTTAGGCTAGGGTCTAGGGTCTTGAAGTCGAGGGTTAGGAGTTTAGGGATTTAGGGTTTAGTGTTCAGGAGTTGGTCTCGGGTGTAGTGGTCTAGGGAGGGATGATTAGCAGCAATTCGGGTAGATATGTGCACCATGTTTTGCAAAAGAGAAGGCCTCCACGAGAATAGGGTTTCCAAAATTGCGAAGGGTCCGGCCTTATCAGGGTGTTTATACGGCCTTAAAGGGACGAGGTTACGAATTGTTCAGACCTTACTACGCTCCTCATCAAGATGAACCAACCAGGTGCAGTTGGCCCACAGGAAAATAGGTGCAACTGTTCTGTACATCATTGGCTGACTGTCATGCGTTTTCTCCTTCTTGTTGTTAACCAGAACTTGTAAACTAGCATTAGCACCGTTGCCGCTGATGCTCCGGTAGTCTTGAATTTGGATTTTGACATGCTGTTGGATGCCTGGTGAATCCGGATTTGGATGTTTAAATTGAGCCGATGCACGAAAAGTCTAGACAACACCTTTCGATCTGAACCCTACATGCCACACCTGCCGCGGCAAGGTGGTCATCCCTGACCCCTTTCTTACTAAGCTGTACACCCATCTAACTGTACCTCCTATCCTTGGTACCAGCCCTACATTCTGTGAGCTGTGATGCTCCAGGGCTCACATATGAGAATCGAGATGTCGTTGAGGACAAATCCCTGTGAAAGCGCGAAGTCTGAAGACATCCTGCAGCTGAAGCTTGTTCAAAGAAAGCCCTGCTACATGGGTAGTTGTCAAAATTCTGGTCCCTTCATACCTTAAGGACCGAATGAACCCTAAAAGGGTTTAAGGCTCATATACCATATAGGGACTCATAGTATATGGGTATAGGGCCCCTACTGTTAAGTTTCATTTGGTCCTTCAGGTATACCCTGCCCCCAGACACTAGGCCCAAGACTATCCTGCCGCTAATGCGACAACATGCTCCCCTGCCTTAACCCCTACACTCCAAAACCCAAAACCCCTAAACCCTAAATCCTGAACCCCTAAACCCCTAAACCCTAAACCCTAAGTGAGTCTCAGGTGCTGGGTGGGGGATCTCGGCCGTCGGGGGCCCTGACGGCGTGCGTGTGCGGCGGGATTCAAAACCTTGGAGCTCTAAACCTTTCCCAAAATGCCCTAGACCAAAACCCTAAAGCTTCAAGCAACTGAAATCGAGACTCTTAAAACTAAACCCCCCTTATGATATATATATATATATATATATATTTATATATATTTATTTATTTATTTTTCTTTGTTTCCATCATATATATATATATATATGCACTTCTAGTACAATATCCCCCCCGACCCCTACACTGGGTTTAGCATTGCCAAGCTGCGGCTTCACCGGTTTGAGGACTGTTCGCACAAGAGCTCGAGCAAGAGTCTCCTAGCCCTTGAAGGTGCATTCGGCATGGGTTTTTCGGTGTCTACTATTTGCTTAAGAACCCCCCCCAAAAAATATATTCCTTATAGGGATAATATAGGGGTTATCATTTTTTATTTTTTGGGGGCTTCTTAAGCAAATAGTAGTGTTGGGTGAGGCCGTGGCCTTGAGCTTAGGTGGTATTACTAGGGAGACCCCTGAAAGGGTACCACTTCTGAATCCTACTTCTGGCTCTCTTAAAAGGGGCCTTCTTGAGAGGGGTCTATGTCCCCAAGGGTCCCCCTAATCCTAACTCCCAGAGCTTGAAGCTGTCGTGCTGTTGATGTAGACCGGATGAAGAGACCCCCTCCCTTCTGTAATCGGGATCCGTCCGAACAGTCAGCTACTGTAGGGGCCTGAACACTTAAAAAAGGGTTTGGGGGAAATTCTACTAAAATTTATTGTAGGGAATGCAGAAGGGGCGCGATGCCGAAGGCAAAGACTGGAAGTCGTGGTGAGCACACGCGTCGGAAAGCGAGGAGTCAGGAGCTTCTGTGAGGCAAGGAGACGTGCACCAAGACGACTTCTTCACGCCTTTGCAAAGATGTTCTCAAGTCCGTGGCTGGCCAAGAGAAGAGCTTCCGATTGCACCCGGATGCCATTGCGGCACTTCATGTTGGAGCAAAAGCACCTCTGGAGGCTAGGACACGGGCAGATTAAATTAGAGATGTATTGCACTGCTACCACTACGACGGCTACCACTATTATTATTACTACTACTACTACTACTACTACTACTACTACTACTACTACTTTTAATACTACTACTACTACTACTACTACTACTACTACTACTACTACTACTACTACTACTACTACTACTACTACTACTACTACTACTACTACTAACTACTACTACTAGCTACTACTACTACTACTACTACTACTACTACTACTACTACTACTACTACTACTACTACTACTACTACTACTACTACTACTACTACTACTACTGCTGCTGCTGCTGCTGCTGCTACTACTACTACTACTACTACTACTACTACGACGACCACAGTTAGCTGCATCGGATCGCCTTCGTCAGATTTGAAAGACTCATCCGAAGTAGCAGGATTATGCAGGAATAGGGTTGGTATTGACGATGATGCATCACTATTTTTGCCAAACAACCTGCATCGGATCGATTTCGGCAGATTTACCTAGGGTCGGCGCGTATTTGGAGAACAAGCTTCAGGAGCATGGTGGGAGAGCAACCATGTTTCCGAGCAGTATCATCACAAGCCTTCGGCAAAGAGGCATTCAACATAGACAGGCACCAGTCAGGCAGCCAGATGATGTTTTGTTTAATTACTCTCACGGAAGGTTTTTGGCTTCCAGGTAATCTTTGGTCTTCACCGGTTTACACAGCCCCCTACTTGACTGATAGACCTGTAAAGTCGGTAGCTTCTGTACCTTGAACCCTATAGGCCCGGAAATCTAAGCTCTACACCAAGGGCGCGTCCTGCAAAGACGACTCCGAGTGTGGCACCGCGAGCACAGCACCTTGAGCTGCAAGTTTAGGCGAGTGAAGTTCGGGGGCATGAAAGGGGGCGGGACTTGCGAAGCAGCGGTCTATATCATGGCGTAGGATTCGGGCATTAAGGTTTGCGGATCACGGCAATTACGGTGTAGGTAGTAGGCGTGAGGGCTTTCAGAGTACACGTGACACGTGCTTGGATTTTGGGTTTAGGCTTGAGGGGATGGGAGTGGAGGGCCTTGTGTGTGGAGGGCCTCTAGATGCTTCGAGGACCAGGAGGGTTTAGGGTTGAGGGTTCAGGCTTTAGGCAACGCACTAAACAGTGAGTCTCGGCGATCGAAAGCGAGTCTCGGTGGGACACTGTTTTCGCGGCCCCCCCTGTGCGATCTCTTCGTTTTTGACATCTCCCTAGTGCTCCAGTTACCCAAATAGTAGGATACTGCTGTATATAACATACCGCTAGTAACCTACTATTCAGGTAGGTGGAGCCCGGGGGTCGACTAAAATGAGAAGCTTCCCGACCTGAACCTTGAGCTCATGTCTTTCGGTCTTTGAGTCAGTAAGTGTTAAGGAAGCGCAAAGTTGCCAATCTAGAACCCCCTCTTAGAGCTTTCCATCATATCCAGGCCTTTTTTGCCCTAGTTAGTCTATACCCTAAACCCGACACCGTGAACCCTGCAGGCCCTAAGCCCTATGCCCTATAGGCCCTATATACCCTAAACCTTATACTCCGAATCCTAAACCCTAAGTTGATGGCCTGGTTCCTTTGCTCCATCACCGAGGTGGTGGAGCCTTGAAGAGTCTCCAGAAACGGTTTAGGGGATTTGTAGGGTTCTTGAACATGGACCTGGATCTATAAAGGTTGTACAAGGGATCTTTTCAGGGGTTCAGGGGTTAGGGGTGTACGGGTCGAGAGGGCTTAGTATGGGGTTTATAGAACCTATATAGATCCCTTTAAGGGAACCCTTATATGTAGATCCTCATGCATGGAAAAATCAAGACCCCCTCGATAGCCCGTGTATAAAAGTCGCCGCAAACGAAACCTCTAAAGCCCCTCAGCACCGTATGGGCAAAAACCATGAACCGTAAAAGAAACCGTCACAAATTTTAAAAAAGCACTGTGCTCGCGACCCGATAGTAAAGTGACATAATCTTAGGGGTACTTAGAAATAATTTTTCATTTTTGGTTATTATAATCCCTAAGAAACAGCTAAAATTATAATTTTTGCTAGGGTTCTAAGTTCAGTATAGTAACCCCTAAACCCTAAACCCTAAAACCCTTAACCCTAAACCCTAAGAGCCTAAACCATAATCCTGAAATTCTCTTTGCAGGGAGGAGGCTGACCGAATCCGCCGAGCGGCGGAGCAGGCTGAACGCCTGGAGAGGCTGAAGGAGCTCCTTTTCCCCAAGACTCCAAATAGCCCAAAGTAGGTACCATTTATAGACTTTAGACCCCAAAGTAGGTACTATTTGTATACTTGGAGTCTTAGGGTTTTTGAGGGGGGAAGACTTTAAGGTTTAGGGTTTTGGGAAATTTTGGATGTTTACTTAGCAGCTGACTAGGTGAATCTTAGCCTTTTGGGGTTTATGTAATCCTAGCATACTTGAAATGGTTAGCCTTTTTGGGCTAGGTTGCTCAGCCGTTAAGTCCTTATTTAGGGGGGAAGACTTTTCATAGGGTTGACGCGTTACTGTATAGGGTGTATTGTAGGGGCCTCGTCAAATACAGTATGATTCTGAGGGTTCCTTATTTGATGTATATTATAATAGACCCCCCCCAAACCCCATTCTATCCCATTCTATTGGCGGAGGAGGGAGCGGGGCGGGGAGGGGAGATGGGGTGAGGGCTTGCGGCTTAGGGTTCTGGTTTAGTTTGTTTGGAGGTGGAGGACTTAATGGGCATAATTAAGGGTTTAGGGTTTATAGGGTTTGGGGTTTCTAGGGGTTAAGGTTTAGGGTGTTTGGTGTTTCAAAAAAGCTGTAGTATAGGCGCCCAGCGAGGTTTTGGTAAATCGCACAGCGCAGCTGTGTCACAGCCGTGCAGTGAGTTGTAGTTATCTAGAGATTTTGAGGGAACAGACAAGCGAATTTGCAGACCTTCATATTGGTGGTTCCCAGCTTGTCGTTTTAGGGTAGTTTCAGGGTTTGGAGGGGGCTTTACCTTTGTGGTTTTGAGAAAAAGGTGCAGGCTGGAGTTTGGGGTTTACGATTTGGGGGATACGGGCCAGAGGGTCTCGGGTTTAGGGCTAAGGGCTTCAGTTTGGCGTAGGCTCGTTTGGGTTTAAAAGGAACTCCAGAAAGTTGGAATATGGATTAATGGCAGGATCAAATATAGTTTACCTTAAAGGGAGTATGATAATCATATTCCAACTTTCTGGCTTCTACTGTAGGTGGGGCTCGTGGGTTCAATGTGATTCAGTCGGCTTGGCCTTTCAGGGCTTTCGTAGGGTTTAGGGTTTAGGGTTTGGGGTTTGGGGTTTAGGGTTTAGGGTTTGGGTTTTGGGGTTTAGGGTTTAGGGTTTAGGGTTTGGGGTTTAGGGTTTAGGGTTTAGGGGTTCAGAAGCCGCACTGAACCCTAATCATTAATCGCCTTGCTGATCTCAAGGCTCTTTGCCCGGAAGGCCCAAATGGGAGTTTCCGAAAATTCGGGGTACCTTATTTTGGGGTCCTTGTAGTATGGATCCTGCTATGTAGGGTACTATATTGGCGTCCCCTATTTTCGGAAACTCCCAAATATTCAACAATCACTTGCTCTCTCGATGACTTGAGGTACTTCGAACCACCCCTTTGGAGCTCAGAGTAATGAGATTCTTCTATTCTAGAACCCTAAGAGAACTCCTGATTCTTGGGTCCTTTGGACCCTTAAACCCTTTTTCCAATCCTTCATCCTGCTGTGAAAGTTCCCGGATCCCTGGGACCCTAAACCCTAGACCCTGGACCCTAAACCCTAAACCGTATAGATCCCTTATAGGAGCCCTTAGAGGAACCCTTATAGATCCCTTTAAGAGAAACCCTTAAACTCTAAGCCCCTAAACCCCCTAATCCCCCTAAGCCCCCTAACCCCCTAAACCCCCTAAAACCCCTAAACCACAAACCCCCTAAACCCCGAACCCCTTACATCTCGATCGCCCGCCGGGAGCCCGGCAGTCCACGAGGAGCGGAGATTGCAGAAGGAGAAAGCCAAGGCTGTCGAGGCCTTCTTCCTCTTTTAAGTTACCATATAGGGTTTAGGGTTTGGGGTTTGGGGTTTAGGGTTTGGGGTTTAGGGTTTAGGGTTTAGGTTTTAGGGTTTAGGGTTTAGGGTTTAGGGTATAGTAAATCTTCCTCTTTTAAGTTACTATGGTGAAGGGGGTCCGTTAAGGGATCGATAAGGGCTCCTTGAAGGGTTCTATAAGGGTTCCTTTAAGGGTTCTATAAGGGTTCCTTCAAGGATTCTATGAGGGTTAGGGTCTTCTGTTTTAGGTTACCATAATAAGGGGGGGCTCTTCTCTAAGGGATCTATAAGGGTTCGTTTAAAGACAAGGGTTTAGGGGTTCAGGAATTCTACTTTAAGGTACCATAATTCAGGGTTCCTTCTAAGGGATCTAGACAGGTTCTTCTTAAAGGGATCTACAAGGGATCCTTTCACGGGATCTGTAAGGGTTCCTGCTTGGGATCTTTAAGGGTTCCTTTACGGGATCTATAAGGGTTTCTTAAAGGGTTCTATATGGGTTAACGGGTTAAGAATCTAGAGGGTCCATATATACTACCATTATGGAATTAGGCCCCCAAAGCCACAATAGGGATGGTCTTTGGGGACCTAATTCGAGGACCCAGAGTAGGCCCTTGTTCCCTTTTCTAGGGTTTGGGTTCGCCTTATAACCCTCTTCAAATCCAAAAAGGGCACCCTTTTTATTCCAAGGTTACTCGTAGGTCTAGAATTCCATAATGGTAGTTTATATGGACCCTCTAGATTCTTAACCCGTCAACCCATATAGAACCCTTAAAGAAACCCTTATAGATCCCTTAAAGGAACCCTTAGACCCTTTGGGGAATTCAGAATTGTTATTGCGTTCTTCGACGGTCCTCTAAGGCTTCTGTTTGGCGCCCCTGCAAGGGCTCTGGCAGGGTTTCCTAAGGTCCTGTGGGGGTGTAAGGGATTAGGATTGAAGGGTGGGTGCGGGTGTATATAATGAGTTAATATATATATATATATTAATTCATTATATATATATATATATATATATATATATATATACATGTATATATCTATCTCTCTGTGTCTGTAAGTTTGTCTCTCTTTCTCTCTCTCTCTCTCTCTCTCTCTTTCTCTTTCTCTCGCTCTCTCTGTTTAGGGTTCACTGTGTTACATAGGGGTTTGCATTTGAGGAGTTCAACTTGAAAGTGAAGATGGGCCGCGCATTCTGACGCTTTCAGTTTCGGGTTTTGATTTGGGGTTTGGGCCTCGGGTGACGTCCGGCCAATTTCTTTATAGGCCTCGGCTTTCGGACTTGTAATGACTGTAATGCCTCATACGTGGAAGAGCGGCTTCCTGCTTGAAACATCACCCGTTTGATCCGGGTGTGGAAATCGGAGTTCAAGAGTCCAACAAGGAGAAGCAAATTAGGTTTTATATAGGGGTTTAGGGCTTTAGCATGGCATGGAAGAGCCGACCACCACCGGCTTCTCGTTGAAGGTTGAAAGCTTTAGGTTGTTGCGGTGTCGGGCTTAGACGTTTCAGCGTTCAGGGCCTGCAGGTCTTGAGGGTATAAGCTTTACAGGGATACCAAAACCCTATAACTTTCCAAGCCTAAACCCTGCCTCCAGAACGCACAGGCTCACGTTTTCCTGCTATCACAATGAGGAAATGGTATTATTTCGTATAGATCCCTATGATGGTAACTTAAACAAAATTCCTTCACCCGTAAACCTTTATAGAAGCCTTGAACGAACCCCTATAGATCCCTTAAAAAACCCTTGTAGATCCCATAGAGTTGCCCTTCTAGATCCTTAAAGGAACCCATGTAGATCCCTGTAAGAACCTTATATAGATTCCTTGAAGGAGCTCTTATAATAGATCCCTTCAAGGAACCCTTATAGATCCCTTAAAGGAACCCGTACAGATCCCTTAAAGGAACCCGTATAGATCCCTTCAAGAAACCTTATAGATCCCTTAAGGGAACCCTTTTTGATCCCTTAAAGGAGCCGTTCTGGATCCCTTTAAGAAGAACATTCACAGATCCCTTCAAGGAACCCGGCCTTGCACAGGCAGTGCGAGCGGGAAAGGGCGCTACGTGGGGGCCCATTGCCTCGGCCCTGGTCTTGGAAGCCATGCGGACATCATAACTCTGAGCCCTAAAGGGTAGCTCTAAGGTTTTAGGGTTTAGGGGATCTTAACTCCAAGCCCTATAGGGTAGCTATAAGGGCTTCTATAAGGGTTTCGGCAAGGGTTTAGTATAATTTGGGGCCCGTCAACAAGTAGAGTTGGGCTTATAAGGGTATCTTATACTATAACCCCTAATGGGAGTTTCCGAAAGTTAAGGGTACCTTTTTGAGGGCTCCGTATATGGAGGATCCTACCATTTGGGGTACTCTATTGGAGTCCCCTAATTTTCGGAAACTCCCTAATAGCTTCACCGAAACGGCCCAGAGTCAATACTATTACAGAAAAGTTGCTATACTTGTAAGGTATCCTCTTTTTCGGTTCGTTGAAATTGATTCTACCCAATACCACGCAAAGGGGGAGCCCCGTTTATTCTATGTTGCCGGGGGTCCTAGTGATTGAGAAGATGTGGTACGAACAGGTGAAGATTTTCGATAGTAAGCAAGCATGGTCCTCCCGGTCCTCCTCATCAAGAATCATTGAGGAACAGCAGCACGGGTAAAGTTATTATAGGGGTACGAATTGCCTATCCTTTTTTTCTTCTGAGGGGGGTGCCTTGTTATATTTATAGTATAGTGGGCCCAAAAACCCCATTCTATTTATTCAGGGCCCATATACTGCATTACCCTTATAGATCCCTTTAAAGGAACCCCTTAAAGGAACCCGCATGCTGTTTATTCAGGCCCCAAAACGATACGGAACCAAAGCTCCGTTGCTTGCGTCGCGCGAGAGGCTCCAGGGCTACCGTTCTCCAAGAGCCCGCAATTGCCGATATCATTCCATTTGAAGTCTTTGTGTGTATATATATATATATGCATAGACATATATGTTCATATTTATATGTATATATGTTGTGTAATATGCCCAAACCTTCCTCTACAGGTAGCCATTAATGCACCATGAGTACTTACATTAGTCGCAGCAGGGTCGTGATCTTGTTTTTTTCGGGCCTGCCATTCCGTATACAGACGCCGTTCATGCACGTATGTGGTGCATGCAAGCGTACAAAGCAATACAGCGCCAGTAAACATTACAGCCCCATATCAAACCCAATCAAAAAAACAGCAGCAGCAGTCGTAGTCGCTGTCGTTTTCGTAGTCGTGGTCGTCGTCGAAGTCTCAGCTGTAGATGCACTGCAGCAATCAGCATCATTGCTATTACTACTGCTACTGCTGCTGCTGCTGCCGCTGCTGCTCCTGCTACTGCGACTGCTTCTATTGCTTCTGCTGCTACTACGACTGGAATGACTAGTCACTGTGAACACAAGATGATTATCTGCGTCGTGCTTTTCAGAAGATCCCAAGCATGTTTAACGCGAACTCCGGATGACGAGGATCGGCTGACCTTATCAGATGCTCAGGGTCTACGGGTTAAGGTCCCTGCACATGATGGTTCTTGGCTGGCTGACTTTTTGGAAAATTGGAAGATTTTATTCTGAGATGGCTCACGAAGCTCAGGCTTTAGGGTTGGTCTTTGGCGTGCTGGAATAGTTAATCCCTTTCGCATCCCTAATTCCCCACTCTGTCGCAACGCTGCTGCAGCAAACCTCAGTCTTGCTGTTTAGGGTTTCAAGTTCCATTTGGGGGTCCGTATATAGAATCCTATACTATCAGGTAATCCCAAAGGGGAACTACTTTGGGGCCTATGGGTAGATTTAGGTTGCCCCTTTTGATCACAATCCCCGAACCACCCGAGCCACAGTAACGCCTCAAACCGTAAACCTTGGCACATTAAGACCGAACCCCCGCCGGTAGCCCACAAATCCTTCAAAATAGTTCCTTCTTCCCCTTTCTCCGTGACAGGTAGAGTCTGGGTCCTGGCAGTACTCCGCAACAGATGTCTTGAACCCAAAAGCCCACTCAAAAGCCCACTCAAGCCTTCACGTTTTCGTGGCTCCCTGCGCTGCTAAGGGGCAACATCTCGGCAACCCGCTCTGAGCCGACGGTCACCCCTTTCAACGAAGGGGCCCAGGATCTAGAGGATTTAAAATATGTTGAAGGTCTCGGAATTTAAAACTCAGTGTTTGGGATGAACAGTCGTTGGTTTCGACTGTGAGTTCTAGGGCTTAGGGATGAGGGGATTTGGATGTTTACATTGGACATCGCGTGTACGTTCCGGCATCCATGATTCTGGGTTGCTTTTAATGGTTTTAATGGTTTAAACACGTTTCTTCGCAAATATTGTCGTATAACGGAAACTAATACACTGCAAGACCCTTCTGGGTCCTTGTCTCCGTAGTCTTGCACTACTCAACAGCAGAATGGTTTCCTTCGACCTACAAAGCTTTCTATTTCTGCTTTTGGGGTTACGAGTTCCAAGAGCTGAGCTGTAGTTTAGATTTGTTGGGTTGGATGCGCTGGAGCTAGCTTGGCCAGTCCGACTCGTTCACGCGAAGGAAGAAAAGCAGTGAGTTTGGTGCGGTTCCTGTTGGAAGGTCAAAGTGGGGCATGGCATGTAAAATCTGGAACGTCAAGGTCCTGGATTCGGACTCCCACTTTGGGTTTTGTAGTCGTGCATGTGCAATGCATGCGCAATGCATGCAATCTTAGTAGGGACCTGCGTATGCATGCGTGTCTGTCTGTATGCCTGTATGTCTGTTTGTATGCCCTGTACGTGTGTATGTGCGTATGTAGGTACGTATGCAAACTAACAGGGACACAAGAACAGGTACGGTGAAAGACAAACAATCAATGAGCGAGATACCCCATAACCCCTAAACCACCAAACCCCTAAACCCTAAACTCTAAACCCAAGAAGTCCATTCCCAACGACCGTCAACCTAACTACCGTGGTACAGAGTTAGCCCCGACTGCTGCGGCTTTTCAGTCCCCAAGCCCTAAACCCTAAACTCCTTAAACCCTGAACTCTAAACCCTACTCCCGCCCAAAATATGACGTAAAGCATCACCCATAAGGTTAAAAAGAGTAGTCAGTTTGGGGGCCAAGGACAGTTGATCCCTGTTGTTCGCTGTCGACCGGCACTACAGTGCCATGGGGTCTGCGTAGGCGGTTCACGGTAAGGGAAGTTGGGTTAAGGTCTGTTGAAGATGTCACTTGTGTGAACCTATTGGGGTCTGCAAGTTGCGCGCTGCCGCTTCCAGCTGAAGTCCCATGAAAGGGGCATGCCATGCCTGCTACCCAAGACCCAAAGCTTGCCAGGCGATTGATGCGCCCATACACTATACCAAACCAATAGACCCTCAAAACATCGTCCTGCACATGTAGGCCCGCAGCATCCCTAAACCTATATGTAGACCATCCTGTAGAAATCAGTGCCCCGGCCTGGAAGTGTGATCCGAACACATGATGCTGGGTTCTGGTTAAGAGGTTTCTTTTCCGTTGCTATAATTAGGAAACAATATTATGTAGTATAGATCCTTAGTATGGTAACTTAAATTAACTTCCTTAGCAAGAACCCAGGAGGGCGTTTGCTCTGAGTCTTCCCCGGAAGCCCGAAAGCCTCCAAAGCCCAACTTTTGGTGATCGGGAGGTTGGGGCACGTCTTAGCCCACAAAACCCCCCAAATAACTATCATCCTAGGCAGACTCGCTCGAAAAACCCTAAGAAGACAACTATAAAGCTCCGAACTCCTTGAACGTTCTCTTAGACCGGTTCGTCATGCAGAGCTCCTTGGATGCGTCCTATGCCTCGAGCCATGTGGGCGAAACTGCAGTGCCCTGACGGAATCGGAGAATCCTCTGTTTCAAATGTCTAGGGTTCAACTCTGGGGTTCTGGGGTTTTAGGGTTCAGGATTTGTTTTCGGGTTTGGGGCTGTGCGGTTTTCGAAGTCCGGGGTTCGATTCGGAGTCTTCGATTCTCGGCTTCGAGTTTCGCTTCCGTGAGCAGTTTTGGTTTGGGTCGAGAAAGGCGCAAATGGCAACTTTACATGGGCTCTGCATGTCGGAGAACGTTTCCAAGAGAGTGCCGCCCTGTAGCATCCTCAGATGCAGGCCCTGCTTGGTAAGGTGGCACCCAGATTTTAGTCCAGCTATGCGCGGACGCGGAGTATCACGGACATCGATTTCGTCCTGTCGCTCAGAGGTTTGCATGCGGGTGATACAATGATAAGTGCATGCCTCTCGTCTTGAGACCATACATGCATACGTAAATACATGCCCGAACTAAACCCCGTAATGCTATGGATGCTTGCATAAATATTTACCTATATGTTTATTATTATGGTTATTGTTATATATATATATGTTATGCAGTATGCACATCTCCTGAGCTCTAAAACTACATATTGTGGACGCATGCAGCACGCTCTGCCGGCAGGCGCAGCTGGCAGCTTTGCGCGGAGACGTCGCTGCATTGGTGTCCGAGGCCAGCCCCTGCTTCTTAGTGGTGGGTTTTTGGGCAAGGTTGTAGCTTCGGGTCTAAAGAGTTAAGGGTTTCGAACTTTGGGCAGAGTGTGTGGTTGTTCTTCAAGGCTGCGTTAAGGGGTTAGGCTTCGGGCAAAGTGTGTGGTTGTTATTCAAGGCTTCGGGTTTCGGATATTTTTGACAGGGCATCTGGGGTAAGGTTCTGAGGCAAAGACTACTTGGGGGGATCCCCAAGCGGCCCCACTGTTCCGCTGCTTAATGATTTGTACTTTCGCGGTATAACTCCGGAACTATTGACTATGCTTGTAGACAACTGCAATCTTCAGGTAAGGTGTAGCTTCCTTGTAGTGTCAGGCCTGATGTCTTGTGGCGGGCTGAAGAAACAGAAAGCAGACATTATCCCCCCGAGCAGGTGGGGCAGCTGCAAGGCGTGGCCAAAAGCGGCGCCGAGGCCGTTCATGAAGCTTGCATTGAGTGTCTTAGAGCCCCACTTGCTCGGTTCAGGGTTAACTTTTTCGGGTTAGTACACTGAGGGTATTGCTCTTGGCATTTTACTGCATCCCTGCTTGCGTAACTTTGTGTTGTCGGGACGACCATCACCAGATAGTCGTTCGATTTTGTTCGCAGTGGTCGGAACTCACCGTGCTTCCATTGGTGTCTCTGAGGCGGGAAGCCGGACTTGGCCCTTGTTTAACCGTAGTGCAATTCAGGTGACCGCTGATGAGAGCCAACAGCTCAGCTTCGCTTGACACGACTTCCTCCTGCATGAGTGTTTTGTTTTTGCTGACTTGTGCGTGCCAAGGTCGAGCCGTGCTGAACCAGGCAATGAGACGCACAGCACAGCACTGTAGCTTTGTTCACTCTTGGAGATTGCACTTGCATGACTATTTCGCATTACCCTGCCGCCATCGGCATGTTTCCGGCATATGCAACTCGCACGAAGACGAAGAGCTTCGTCTCGCTGCCTTTCAGCCAGCGAGAATACGTAATTGCCAGACCATGCTCCGCACTTGGTCCTACGTGTCGGAATCACGACGAGGGCAATGGATCCCGTGACTTTTGCAATCGCGACGATGAGAGTATTCCGAAGACGTACGCAGTCCGCTTCTGCTTGGTCGCCGTTGTCCTTTGGCGTATTTTGGCACATGATGCTTCAACGAGGAGTCCAGTGGCGAGCCGACATCAACTTTGGAAACGGAAGCGATCTCTAGAACGTCGCCATGACAGCTCCAAAAAGGACACGAAAACCCGACCGAACATCGCCCGTCACCGTCGCTTTTTGTCTTTAAGTGAAAAATTGAGAAAATGAAGCGGGGAAGCCCAGTTCTGCAGGTTCTTTGCGCTTCTTCCGCGTTGTGGTAGGAGCCGCTCAATACTCCCACGACACATTTGTCGAGCTATGTCCAGCCAAGCTGCCACTGCAATGCCGTAGGTCCGCATGGGATCCAGATCTGTCTGGCAGTTGCATGCAAGACTGCCGGCAGACAAGATCTTTGAGATCCAGTTTTTCGGTAGCCGTCAAGACGCGATAAGAAGTCTGCGACGTCGACGTTGCCGGACAGAAGCTGCCACAGTCGACAATGGTTGCCCGATCACTCGACGCAAATGTTCCCGCCGGCAGCCACAAGCCTGCCTGAAGGCTTTCAGGCGGCTTCTTTCGACCCATCTGCAAGAACGATCCGCAAGGTTTGCGATTTCTTTCGTTTTCCACAACCTTGCGCACGAAGGTGATGGCTTTGATTCTGGTGCCCGTCCGTCCATCAAAGCAAACGGGTCACCATCCGCCGCTCAACTGCCAGACAGCCTGCCGTGTTCCGTTGCATCTACGATGCCACTGTCGCCCTTCTCGAGCTGTTGTTTGTTCGAGTTAGTGACTTGTTGATCTTGCTTTTGTTCGTCGCCTAGCATGGGCACGTATCGGTCCTCGATTGAGCTTGTGTGGACATGATGCATTGTAACGTCATCATATTCACACATATATGTATATATGTATATATATATGTTATATGTATATATATATACATATATACATATATATATATACATATATATATATATATATATATATATATATATATGCGGCACGGTGTGGCGTGTAGAAATCGGAAGACACCGAAGAGGACGGAGTCGACCAAACTGCGCGGCCACCACCATGGAAAGCAGCAGCCGCCCAGACACAGGAGCCGAAGCGTTCGGCAGCCAGGAATGCACGAAGCCGGTCTTTAGTTGCAATAGAATTCGCAGGATCAGCCTGCGAATTCTCAGCAGCTGTTTTCAAAAGGAGCATCCGAGGAGAGAAGTTTCATTTGTTCCGCAGTCGAGGCAACATTTCCTAGAGTTCGTCAGTTGCTTTCAGACATAGCGCCCCAGGCTGCTTGGCCAAGGTAGCCTTCGACACTTTCACATCAGAAAAACAGCACCTAAAGCGGATATATAATTCCCTGTGACTCCGGTACGCCTTGCGGCGGCCTTTTGTTCTATAGCTGCTCCCAGAGGGAGCTCACGTGAGGGCTTGTTCCACTCCTGCATTTGCAATCAATTGGTTGTGCAGATTAGGTCGTGCAAATTCTGTCGTGCCGCCGAAACATCCCTTTCCGTGCCATGAATTGCTTGTATTCCCAATGCTATCAGCAAGGTCAGGAATACTAGTGTTTGTGGTGCAATATGAGTATTGTTAGTTTTGCTAGTACTACTTGCGTGACGAAAATGTCGAGTTTTACCAGCACCACTACGGTACCTAGTGCTATGAAAGTTGTCTGTGTTTTGGAAAACGTTAGTTTTGTTATCGTGGCTAGTGGCAGTAAGCGAATTTTCGTCGCCTCTCTGGTACTGCTATTCAACCGTATGCCTGGTACTACTGTTTTTTTCTCGTGTTACTAGTATCCGTGGTGTTCCTAATATTCCTAATTTGGTCGTGTTAGGCCATTGTTGCTCCTAGTGTCGTCCTAATGCTGGTTTGTATAATTTCAGGTGCCCTACTCGCTCTACCTGTGCTGTTGCTGCTACCTACCAGTTTCGCCAGCCTGCCAGTCGTACACGTGGCACTCGTGTTTTGTATTTTGACCACAGGTAACTGATGTCTTGTGCGTGTTGCACGCAGCGGTGGCATGCATCGTTCTTCGAGCTGAAATCCCTGTTCACGCTCGCGGCTGGGGCCCGCCCACAAAAGGTGATTGCCAGGGGCCCAGGCGGCTGGCCGAATGGTTGGCAGCAATCTCAGCACCGTGCGTCGCGATGTCGCAAACCTACACCGCCGCGACGGCATGTTTATGCCGACCTTGCCACCGAGCGCTTGCGCCTTGTGGCGTTCTGAAGCTGGACCGCACTCGGGTGCTTGGTTAACAACAATTCCAGTGGAGCCTGCCACCACAAAATTTGAACCAAAAAAGATTCCCATATATTCCCATACTGGTTCCATATTTCTTCGATTCCGGTGGTCCATTTTGTGGCACCCATATACGGAACGTCACATAACATTACGGAACTTTTTTTGAATAATGTTGACCATTGAAACAACGAAGAATTGTGAAGCCTTGGTGCCCCCCATGGATGGCGCAGGGTTTGCACAAAAACAAAACACTTGCCAACCGGCGGCACAAGAGTGGGTACAGAGATTGACCCGACCAGTAGTATGCGGGATGTGGAACACCGCTCGACATAGCGGTTGAACTTAGCCGGGCGTCCGCTCCATCTGGTGCCACTGCCCTTATCCAAGTCGACCGAGGGTAACGACCCGCGGCAGCGCCTCATCCCGTCTTCGCGCATGAAGCTGGTTGGGCTTACGGTGAGGTGCCCCTGGGCAATATAGCCCTCCAACGACGCCGCCTTGACGTCGTGACCCACGGAGTAACGTTTTTGGGGGTGACGTTGAGCGGCGATGCGATCCTACCGCCGACCCGCATAGGCCAGCCGCGACCCTGCAGACCACGGCGCCATGCTGCAGGTTGCGGAGCGGCGCAAGAGATCCGCGAATGAACTCGTCCGGCGGTTCCACAGCGGCCCCTTGTCTGGTTGGGGACCCATCCATCATTTTCGCACTTGCCCTTTGAGTTCGCTTTTTGTTTGGGCACGGAAGGTGCACATGGCTTCAACGCTTGCAATCTCCTTACTGCGGATTTGCTGTTTGATGACAATCTCTTGCGGTTCATGTTTGCACCGCATAGGATGGGCAAATCCTTGTTCGTCCACGCATTTCCATGTGCTTTTCGTTGCTGGCGTAGTTATTTGCTTGAAGGCCCAGGGCTCTGACGTAGTGGTCGTCTGCACATGCTTGGTAGCATGTGTGTGCTTCCGCTGCCTCCACGCAGCATGATGGTTTTCATAAATTATTTACAACTGATGACCGTAGAAGGATTGTTTCAGAGCCTTGCTGCGGAACGGAATGTCAACGGGCGCCATTTCCCGCCTGGACGAAACGGTGATGGGCGGCTTTGGGACTTCGCCGATGCCGTTGGGCCGACCCGGTTGCCGTTTCCCCGCCATCCGCAATTTGCCCGTGGGTTGGGCTGGCGTACGGTAGCTTTACTTCGCGAAAACCCACCCAGGACGATGCAGGAGGACAATACTGTGTAAAAAACATTCATTGTTCGAGTTGTTCGCACATGTCGCCATGTAACCCGTGTTTGGCATTATTGATGCGGCTTTGTTTCCATGGGCAAAAGTCGCCCCGCTTTTACTTTCAGGCTTTCAAACTTTCGAAATTGTGTAACGCCAAGGCTCACAACACTCATGTGACCCGTCCGCATGCCCCGGCAAACCAAGGACATGTGACGCAGCGGTCGCATTCAATATCAGCCCATCGAATTCCACTCGCGCAGCCACTTCTTTAGTGCATTGGCGCGAGCTGAGGCGGTAGCTTCCGCTGAGGGCACTGAATTGGCCGTTTTCCGCTAAAGCGTGTGTGAACAACACGCCGTTGCGGTTGCGAGGGCGAATGCTCGGGCGGTCACGCATGTCAAACGAAGTTGTCTGCGCGAGCCGGGCTGTTCGTGACCACCACGGCGGGAACAACACTGACGAGCTTTCTTAAAATCAATTTTTTCCACACACTCCCGGTCATGCACTGTCAAGGGGGGCTGATTGACAGTCCCTGGCGTGGGCGTGCTCGGGTTGATAAGGGAAGGCCTCGTGGTCGGTTGAGAGGCTTTGCTTGGACAACCATCACGCTGGGGCGCAGTCTGTGATCTCCTAGCGTTTCTTGGCTGCTTCGTGGCTGCTGCAAGAGCAGCTGGCGCACTTGAACACACTGCTATCCCTTTGTTTCTGTTACTTCCACATGCGTTGTGGCGCAGTTCTTTGTCGGTGTGTGGTACCTCCAGCACGTTGGGGTTTCTCTGAGCATAGGTGCTCGCACAAGCTCTAGTTTGTGACCGCATGCACTGTCAAGCGACGCAGAATCAGATGTTGTTTTGATGCTTCGCATCTAGGCTTCTTGCTCGGGTCTTCATGACTTATTCCCTTCGCGAAGATTACTTTGTCTGTGGACGGTGTGCCGACCACCCCGCCGCGATTCGATCATGCGTTAGGAGCCGGTATCCTTTACGAGGTGATTCAGCCGTATGCTCGCTCCCAAACACAAGCTTCACACATTGTTTTTTGAATGGACCCTCGTCAGCTCGTCGGCCCGGACTTGGACCGTGTCCTTGACCTCGCGTAGCCGGCAGGGCACAGTCTCCTGCCGACTTGCTGACGGCAGTGGTGATACCCCAGCATGATACGCCAGCTGGCGGTCAAGGTGGAGTAGGGTAGGGTTCTGTATGGAGTAGTTGCGGCGCGCTGGAATTACGCGAACTATTTCGATTCGTAGTTGCGCACGTCCGTTACACGAGGGACGATAAAAAATTTCGTTGATTTTCGGCAGTTTTGTTTCGGAATTTGTTTTGGAACGCCGCAACAAGTTTGAAACGAACGGTTCTATGCATCCTTGTTATATCCTTGTTCTTACCGTGTTGTGCTGCATGTTTCCGTTGGTTGATATGCATGGTTGGGTGACATTCTAATGAAACGTAAGCGTGTAGTCCACGTAAATGAGCGTATTACACGGATCAATCGTGCAGACGGTTTCATGGGGCAGCTACACAAGTCCGCTTCAAAACAAAACGGGTGTTGAAAGTTTGTGCGGAGGTCGCGGCGCTGCGTGGTGAGATGTCCGCATTGTTAGCGAAGCAGCAGCCATCAGCCGAGGCAGGGTCGCAATTCGGAGTGTCGCACGACAGGTTGTTTCCCACCTGGTTATGTGCCCGAAGATGACATGCAATTTTGTTTTTTGTTTTTTTGCTGAGAACATCACATGCTGGCTGTAACCCCACGTGGACATGTTTGTTCTAACGCAGGTTTCGCCGGATGATGCAACACGTTCCGAGCTGAACGCCGCGGTGGCACAGTCGCATGGCTTTGTTTGCATGTCGGCACATAAAACATTGTGGTTTGCAACCCGTTTTTCCTTGGATTTGCTCAAATATCTGAGGTTGGGCAATATGTGTGAATGGACTTTGAAGTACAGCCAAGAAGCTGCAGGTGCGATTGCCCGGGAAGTCTTGTCTGGATTGCGTCGGCACATTCATGAATCCTCGGCAGGGGGACAAGCTGCCTTGGCTTCACGGCTAGTGGAGCTGCAAGAGGCTGGTTGCAAATCATGCGGCACGACACATAGACGCTCCTGCCAACCTGAAGACATCACATGCACTCTTCGAGTAAACGTTTCGGGATTGGACATGATTGGACCACATTGGACCGCGGTGTGCCATGTGTGCCATGTTGATTGCACCGAACGATTTGTGCTTACAGTTCTTCTGTTTGATACATTGATTGATTGGCTGGCGACAGCCGTTGGCCCCTGTCGGCATGATTTTTACATAATCAAGCACGGTTTGCTCTTCCCATTCGTGAAGCACGAGCACGGGCGGGTCGGAACCAGAACTTACAACAATTGTTGTTCTAACAGAAATCGCACTTGAATATTGCTTCGGTTGTGTATAACGTTTCTTTGATGCAGTAGCAGCAGCAGCAGCAGCAGCAGCAGCAGCAGCAGCAGCAGCAGCAGCTACATCAGCAGCAACGTCGGCCGCGGCGGCGGCAGCAGCACTTGGTGCCGTGCCATGATGTTTCCTTGATTCCATGTACAACCATTTGTGACAAGGAGACTGGCGTGGTCGCATCAGCGATGCATCGGCTGCGTGGTGGTTTGCAGGCGTGCCACTTGCAACATTGCGCTTTCAAGGGCCAGGCATTCGCAAGTCATGTAAGCGTCGGAGACCCATTCATGCCGTCACTAGCTTTGAGGTTGACGTCGAAAACGCTTTCAAGCAAATCATCAACGAAGCTGTGCGGAGCTCGTGCGTCGCGTTGCTTTGTGTGTCACATGTGGTGACGAGGTGCAGTGGCCTTGCAGATCACCACAAGCCGTGTCACAACAGGGAACAGTTTAGCCTCGTTGCACCTGCAGTAGTATTGAACTTATGGAAATGCTGGGATCTTACCCTCCCGACAAGACACTGCGACAGGAGTGCTGCCGGGCATTACGTCGTTCTATTGTCATGTGTGCTCATCGAATGAGTGATGTCGGGCAGTAGTAAGACGTTGCGTGCATGTGTGCCGCCGCCATTGCATATGCTCAGCGCGAAGAGGTCGTGTAAATGGTAGATGGACAAGTATACTTGCATGAGACTCAGAGGGAACACGCGACGAACATCGGATGGGAACATTGGTTCGCCAGATGATGCCACTTGTCTATTGTGTCCATTCTGTTGTTGCGATTCTACTTTTTGCGTAACCAACCGAAGCTCTTGCTTGTGGCGGTAGAAACACATGTATATATAATTATATGTATATATATATGTATATATATATATATATATATGTTACACCATTACAGCGGGACCTTACAAGAGCCGTACGATCGTCCCTCGCGACGTTTGCGGTACATCGTGGCGGCCATCCTCCATATGCGCGGGAGGCTTGTCCATTCGGAGGGTGCCATGCGCTTGGACACGAATGCAAAACAAACGACATCATGTGAATTTCGTGGGGCTTAAATTCCAACATTCAGACTATATTCCATTTCTTCTGTGGGCGAGGCATTGAGATGGATGACGCCTTCGCGGCAAACGTGGCGCGTTTAGCGGCGCATGGTGTGGATGAGGCGAGTTGCTCGACATGTGGCCGGTTGCCGTCATTGGTTTGGCTATGTTTGTTTGTTGCCGGCACGAGCTGTTTCGATAATCCATTAGTGCACCATGGCAACGGGATGTTGGAGGTCTTCATAGGTTCCCTGGTCAATGGTTACGGATTTCAGCAGGAAGGTCACTGCAAAGTATAGGGTCGTTTGATGGAAGTTTTTCAGGTCGTTTGTCATCGTGGGAGCCCATATGGGTGCTGGCTAGTGCAACGCGACGTGGTCCTTGATATCTTGTGCTGTTTTGATTCATAGCTTGAGAAGCCACCTGAGCCACTTGCATCCACGCAAAGATTCCACCCTAATCCCTAAACCCCGACGGAAAACCTATATTTCCACGCTCAATACTATGATACTCCAAGAGAAAGGAACGGTTTTGTTTGCCATGTGAGGGTACGGATGCTACGATATTTGTGGGGGCGGGCATGCGCCCTTTTACCGCACATGTACAACATTCAGCACAGTCAGCTTTGTCAGCAGTCGTAGCTGCTCACAACCGTTTTTTTGATACATACCCTCGATCCCGAACCCCAGAACTCCCATAGCATAACTCTGCTCAGAGGCCGGAGTCTGGAACCTTGAATCCTAAGTTAAACTTTTTCGGTTGGTCGATGATGTTTTCATGCGGCGAACTTGGTCGTCCTGTTGCTTCGTTTCGATCTCACTTTCCAGCGTTTTCCTGTGCTTCCCGCAGATCAACGAAATACATTTCCAGCATGTTGTTTGGTTGGAATAAGTGAAGGATGGTGATGGAAATTGCCAAAATGTTGTCCTGGAATCTAGATTTGCTCGAAATGTTCATTAACTTTTGTATGAAGCCCGTACACTTTATCAATCTTATAATTAAAGCATCTGCTTTGCGGGAGGTTGTGGCTAGAGCGGTTCTACAGCGATTCGAGGGCGACGGAGATGCTGCCCTGGACTGCCTTCGGTATGCTTGCCCTGGAACTGTGATTCGTATTCGTAATTACGGTTCCCTCGTGAAGGACCCCTGTACCCGGTTGCTGGGAAGGACTTTCTGCTGGACACAGATGAAGGTTGGCAATTCGCTGCCGAGACATTGCTGCCCAAGGACGATGCCATTCAAAGGTTCAGAAGTGGGTCGGTGTTGTGTGCCTCGCGGGTCCCGCCCCAAGCACATCATGAGTTGTTGGTATTGTTTGATGTGTCGGGTTCTTCATTTTGGCGCAAGCGTGACAAGTCTTTTGGCACAGATCATTTGTAGACCCCCTGGTAGTTGCTGGCAGGGTACATAGTGTAATGCATTTTCCACGGAAGCCAAGTTACATGCAGGTTGCATTCTGATTCTGACCCTGCCTGTTTAGTTGCTTCGCAATCCGGCAAGCGCACCCGAAGGGCCCCAAGCGTTCGCATTGCGGAAGCTAGGGTGTCTACGGTAGGAATTGGTACATGAATTATTGTTATTCTCTTGTTCGGGGTAGAACCCCCATAAGCTCTAGGTGCTTCTGGCCTTTGGAGGAAGTCGTGGAAGCACTGGCAGCTGAACCGAGCGATGTACGCTTGAAGCTACAGATTCTTCGTTGCAGAGAGAAATCTTCAACACATCCCGCACATCCTACAATTTCTACAAGCTTGTTGACCTCCGCTTTTGCTAAGGAAAGCATGTGCAACTGGATTTGGTCGGGACAACTCCGCCTTGCACCAAGTCGCCGCTTGGCGCTTGACAAACTTTTTCTACAACAGTATATGGGTGGTTGTCAAAATCATGGTCCCTTTTCGGGTCCCTATTATAATACGGCACCTATTCTGTAGAGTGCCCACAAAGGGACGCTAATTTTGACAACCACCCATATAAATAATACATAGTATAGAGATGTATAAAGTTCCACGAATAGTACGCGCTGTGTAATATCGAGTACAACCGGATTCCACTGCATACTGCACCGTAGAGCCATTTGAACTCTAGAAGCCAAACTGCCGAAGATGCCTCGTTTGATTTTTGGGTTTAGAGTGCCCACAAAGGGATCCTAATTTTGACAACCACCCATATAGATAATACATAGTATAGTGATGTATAAAGTTCCACGAATAGTATGTACTGTATAATATCGAGTACAACCGGATTCCACTGCATACTGCACCGTAGAGCCATTTGAACTGTAGAAGCCAAACTGCCGAAGATGCCTCGTTTGATTTTTGGGCACTGCAGTAGCCAGGCGAATAGTTTTTATTTTGATAGATTGTTGTCGCAGGGTTTATAGCTTCGAAATGATCACCACTTGGTACATGGCAGCTCTTGCACGAATGAGCAGTGCAATGCTTCGTGAATCATGGTTTCCTCTTTGCCCAGCCTGAGACCAAGGTGGCTGACAGTGAAGGAGGACGGGCTTCACCTCAGTGTTTGAGAAATAGTCCGGTCAGCCGGCTCCCGAAGCGGGAACAAGTGTGTTGAACTGGCCTTTAACCGGAAACAACCTTGAGTAAAGCCAACTTCAGGGGTTCGATTTACGCTACACCGTAATCCCACGAGTGCTTAACGAGTGCTTAAATTCCCAGGAGCATCGATCCGCGCAGCAATCGTTCGGTGTATGGCCGCCAAGTTCGCGGATGTGGACTGCTGAGTATAGGGTTTCGGTTTAGTCCCCAATACATGATTTCTTCGTAGTTTGTTCTCCGTGTATGGTTTAGCACACTGGCGACTCAGAGTTTTAAGTGCCAGCGTGCATCAGATAAACACTTTTTGAACCAATGTTGGGATAGTACTTTACAATCTAGTGACGCTAGTGTCTACTTGCTGTAGGGTCGAAAGTATTCAATGGATGGGGGTCCAGAGAGTATGCTCATGCAGGACATCTTCCGTGTTGCGGTGGAAAACCTTAGGCAAAGCCTTGGCAAGAAATCACTCATGTTCCAAGCTGCAAAAAGCAGTTTTTCGTGGGTGGCTTAGGGTTCTTGCAGTGCCACCTGACATGTTTCGTGCAGTTGGCTTAGCTGAAGCTTGCAGTGTGTTTGATTTAGTACGGCCAGGATAACTCAACCCTCCAACCGACTACGCCCCGATAACCTCGCCTGCCTCGTCCGAGTGTAAGCGTCGAAATCCCTTAAGCCCTAAGCCCCCCTAACCCCCAGACCCTAACGCTAGCTACTGACCATGTCGAGTCAAGAGCATGGAGAGGGCTCTGTAGGATGTTTTGGGTGAGTATGACTTCGTGAACACTACATTGTAAGACCCTGGTTCGTATCACAGCATCAAAGCATACACACTAACATACCCTGATTTTGAGATCTTTGGAGATGCGCTGAACGAACGCCTTCCGTGCACATCCCTGCACTTCTAGCGTTCTTTCGACCCGATGTGTGGTGTGCGTGTGTGTGTGTGTGTGTATGCATCTGTATCTTTCCTTTTTTTTATTTGAATGTACATGAATTACATGTATGGTTATATCAGTCTATATTGGTGCATCATAAACTCAATCCTTCCTAGTGGCGTTACTCTTTGCAGGACACTGCTTCGGCACACGGGGACACGCCGCTGCTTTTGGCGGTGCGTGCGCTTTCTATAGGCCGACTCGATAGTTACGGGTTTATAGGGCTAAGGGATGTTTAGGGTGTATAGAGACTTATGAAGTTTAAGTTATTGTAGAATATTTTAAGGTATTTAGAGCTGAGGAATTATAGAGTTACGAGGCTGGAGAACACAGGGATCCGGGCAGTGAGTACGTTGATCGGTTCCTGCATAACTATGTGACAGATTATGCCCGAAAACCCTACGTTGCGCATCGTCAGGGTTTGGTTTTGCGGGCTTCAACTTTTGGGACTCAGGACTGGAAGTTTAGGGCTATGGGCCTGGATGCAAAAGGGCTTATAATCACTTTGCACGTGGAGAGGTGCAAGTTCTGCAGCCGGGTATCCAATACATTGTGGTCTCTTTCAAAACGGTCGTTCGCTGAGGCATTGTGTCCAGCCGTAAGTCTCAGAGATACCCTCATTATTATACGCGTAAAGTAGCTGAAAATCCGGTTGCCATGACTGCAGCCGTACATACCATGACCCCTTAATTATCCTTCAAGCAAGGTTCTGGGATCGGGCCCTTTGGAATCCGTTGCTGGGCGACTGACGACTGATTAGATAAGGCTTCGTTAAGATTGACGATGAAACTGTACAGTACATGGGCAAGCCTTCTTGCCGCCCTGTGCTGTCTAGAAAGCTTCCAACCCCTCGAAACCCAAGGATGAACTGCGGTTTCGGGTTTCGGGTTTACGTAGGACACCCCTCAGCAGTATTGATGGATGCGGACATGTTCAATGATGGGCAGTCTGAGATATTTCCGAAGCAGGTCCCATGCTGCGATGATGGATGATTGAAGCCTCTATATAAGAAGCATAGAATCATTTATATAACATAATATGGGGTCCGCACAACCCTATGCGCGGGTTTAGTCTGCTGCCTGCTTGCTTAGATTCGCAGTTTCACATGGGCCGGTAATTTATGTGGCAAACCAGTCTCGATGGAAAAGAGGTTCTTCTGCGCGGTACGGGTTCCTTTCAGCAAGGTATTCTTCGAAAATGGCAGGCGCACATCACAAACATCACCAAACAACGGAGTCACTTGTACTGGAAGTGCGAGTAGTTCTTGTTAGGAAGGCAGATAATAAGCGAAATTCCCGCACCGCACCGCCTCATTCCGGAGCATTCGATACTGCACTTAAACAAACTTCGGAAAACTGCAACATCTTAAATCTTATATCTTGGCAGTGTTTGGGAGGGCTTGGCAGTTTTCTGTACTTGCTGATAGGTTCGGGGTAGCTTTTCAACATAGTGAAATGCCGGCAGTCTTTCCTGATTCAGAACGGGAGAACGGCAACGAGATGTGTGTGATTGTTTCGTGCAAGAAGGTTTCGGTGTTATTAATCTATTTCATAGGTTTTGAGGATGCTTCTTCCTTGGTTCGTGCTTTTTCGGCTCCACAATTCACTTCAAGACAGTTCGATATCTGGTCGACTGCTCCAGAATGTATAGAACGTGCCGAATCCGGCGAAAGCAACTTCAATTATTGCCAACATTCCGAACAAGGACTTGCTGAACAAACCCCTTTTTCATACGAGTGAGAGGTGGTCATGGGCGCATTTTGCAGTTGCTTGATCGAGGATTCAGGCTGACACTGGACTTTGTGACGGGCTTGAGAATGAGTAAAAAGGCTTCAGCCGTGCAGCACACGGCGCTCACTGAGGGATACTCAATGATACTCATGCAAGGCTAAGGGCAGATGGTAAGGAAACCCGTTAAGTCCAGTAGCCGGTCCATGTTGTCTGCACATCTCGATCTTCAGTGCTGGGATATTGGCGCTCATGGACGTGTATATAGACGCTGTAATGGAGGTAAATGGAGGCGCATGGACAATAAAGAACGCTATGAGACAGTAAATGGACGCTTTTATCGACATGAATCGACGCTAATCGACGTTAATCGACGCTAACCGACGCTAATCGACGTTATAGTCGACGCTAATCGACGTTAATCGACGCTAATCGACCATAATCGACGCCCATCGACCACTAATCGACATTACTTAACCGACGCTAATCGAGGCTAGTCGACGCTAATCGACGTTAATCGACGCTAAACGACGCTAATCGACGTTAAACGAAGTTAATCGACGCTAATCGACTCTAATCGACGTGAATCGGCGCTAATCGATGCTGATATAAATCGACGCCTTTACACGCAAATAGCTGCTGCGATAGATATATAAATGGACGTCAGTGGGCGCTTATAAGCGCCAACAGAAAGACGCTCATGCCGCTAATGGATGCTAGACGCTAATTAATGAAGCGTTAGTTCATACCGCTACTTCGAGATTCGTTGATGGAGAGACGGGCTCACTTCTTTCATCATCTATGTCGCCGTCGTGCTCATCATGTACAGCTGCAACGTCAATTGTTGTTATCGTGGGTTCACCGTTCTGTCACGCTATTATTTCCATGTTCGTCTTTATCGTCTATCTCATTGTTCTCTATGACTTTGCCCGATTTGGCGGGAAAGGCCGGAAAGGAGACGGGTGACTATTGCAGCTTTCGAGAAGTGAGGAAAACCTCTCACCCCTCATTTTGTAACGTTGGGGTAAATCCTGGAGTTTTCGAGGTGAGGAGAGTTTCAGGAAATAGTTGCTTTATTGACGTCTTCATCACCATTCGTGTTCATGGATGTATCGTTTATTCGTCTTTTTCTACCGGGCTGCCGTCATTTGGTGAGGGCCTGCGACAGGCCGGGCAGAAATCCTGAAATTCTTGCAAACGAGGAATTAGTGATGTTTTATCGTATTCATTCTGTTTTGGGTTTCATGTTTTTAGCATTTGTTCATGGTTGTTGCGTCGTTGTGCCGTAATCTGCTGTCAATGCTTGCATCCTCCAAGCCGAAACCCCCTCCGGTCCTCCGCCGCGAAACAGTCCCCGAAGTGCTTATAACCGGGATGCAGGACAAATGAAAACACTTGGCAATATGCCTTCCAACAAATGTACAGACTGTGTTTCCCAAGGAATTTCACAACGCTAATTGACGCTAGTAAGACGCTAATTGACGCTAATAGACGCTAATTTAAGGGTAGGCTGGGCTGTTATAAGCCCCCATAATCTGATATATAAAAATCATGGGGACCCTAGGGGGAAAGGGGGTAGGGGACCCTACTTCTGCTCATATTCTCCAAAATGATAACCTACATAACTACTATACTACAACCGAGTACCTAATTGCTGGGTCCGTTGGGCCCTTAGGGTACGGGCATGGTGTTAAAAAAGGGTACGGGCATTATGGCCCTATGATAGAAGAGATGTTAGCGTCACGAGTCTTGTCTCCTTCTTACATACCTTGGCTAATCAGCTGCCCAGAGGCCCCAAAAGTAGTTCCTTTTGGGGGTTACCTTAATTCTTTGTATGAGCCCCAAAAGGAACTACTATGAGGCCTCTGGGTGATCCCCATGAGTAAGTTGTAGTTGCCGCGCGTACCAATCCGAGGTTCGCATCTGTTTCGGCCTTAGCCCCTTAGGTAGTATAGCTGAGCTGTTTCCCAAGCCGCATGTGTTGTTCGGCATGCAGGGTCCCGTCAGTGCTCACTTCTTGGTGGTGCAGCTGTCTATGGCATGGCTGAAGTAGACACTTACGACTTACGATGTTTTCAACAAGTGTGCTGGGGACATCTGGTGCTGCATTTGAAAGGATCAGGGAGCTGCGACGACCGCCTCGCCGTTGTGTCGGAAACCTGGCAAAGTAATGGATTTCCACAAGCAGCAATAGTATATGAATTGATCATGGCAATCAAGTTGCTTTTCGTGACCAGGCGGGAGGGTGGGGGGCATTTTTTGTAGCCAACGTGAACTATATTGTTTAACCGGCTAGCGGCAAAGGTGTTCATTCCAGCTCCGGCTGGCAGGTGGGAAGAGCGGTGCGTCTTTTGCTCGTATCAAAGATGCATCGGACTGGGAAGTTGAAAGCGATGTCGACGATACCGTGCTGGCCTTTGATCTTCAACCCAGGTTTGCTCACATGTCGCAGTTCCAGCGCATTTAGGGATTAGAAAGAAATCCGATGGCCGATTAATGCAACCTCGATGCGTCGTTTCGTATCATAGTCTCTCTTTCTCTCGCTCTCTCTCTCTCTCTTTGTCTCTCTTTCTCTCTCTCTCTCTCTCTCTCTCTCTCTCTCTCTCTCTCTCTCTCTCTCTCAATGGGTGAAGCATATTGCACTTGCATGATTTGCTGGTGTCGGCATTCAGATGACCCTACAAGTGAGCCTTCAGAACCGGTAACCGCATAATAATATACTGTATGCCATATGCAATCAATCCCAGAGCTTGATGATTAGCCTACATACTTAAACTACCCTTCCGACCCAGCAAGCACGTCAAAAAAATGTGTTCCTGATCAGCATGGTATGGACTGATAGATGCCTAGGGTGTTTTTAATTCCTTGAGCACCCGGACATTGAGCAATGCAACATACTCTTAGAATGTTCTGTGCATCATAAACGCCGGAGTGGACTGAAGTATACGGTTACTAGTAGCGTGAAGGAGCATTGGAAATCAGAACATGCAAGGAGCTTTTGGCACATCGCGCCGATGTGAACCTGGCCGACCGCGAAGGCGAGACGCCGCTCATGGAGGCAAGGGTTGAGGGTTTAGGGTATAAAAGCAGGAGAGACCGGAGAAGCATTGCAAGGGTTCGGGTCCGGGTACTGGTCTAGGATGAGGTCTTGGGCCCCAAAGCCCACTCCAGCATGATTTTTTCGACCAGTGGAGGCAGCGCGACACACTGTAAACTCCGAAATCGTATTCTTGTCTTCAGATTATCCGTCTCCTACATACACACGTAAACATAAGGTATCATAAGGTACGGTACAATGCAAAACAGTGCAGCACAACACAACCCTATAGCAAGACATATGGTCACGAAACATACCGTTGCTTAATTATCAGCACGAAGTGTAATGTGACATGGCATTTACTTGTTCTACAATTCAACACATTTGATAGTATATGCAGGCATATCTGGATATACTGTCGATCCGTAGATGTAATTCTGTACGCGTAGCTCCTCGGCCCCTGAAATGGAGCATCGGGTCCTCGAGCACATGCGAACTGTAAATTCTCAACGGCTCAGCAAGAGAAGCCGTAAACCTGAATATTTGTATCCCCAAATCCCAAACATCGTAAACATGCTTTGGGACCCCATGCCATCAACCTCGACACAATTCTCAAACCATATCCCATCCTAAGCATTCCTAAGCCATAAGCCCTCTACGCGATCCCTACACTGGAAATCCAGGCAGTGTGCCTTGATGATGTGGGATGTGTCCGTCTGCTGCTGTCGGTGTCATGGCAGAAGTCAAGAAGTGTTCAGTTTAAGATTTTCAGGGGTTTGAGGTTTGAGGCACAAGGGTTTGGGGTTCGGGCTGGGTGGGCCACCCTGACCCTCTCAGCCCGGGTTTCCACGAGTCGACATCACAAGCCACAATCCATGAGCGGCCACGGAAGCTTGGGCCAATCAAATCCATGCGGAACGTGGTAGTGGGGAGTTTGCCTCACATGATCAAGACAAGTATCTCAGAAATTAGCGTTCTGAAAGATTGAAATCGGCGTGGTGTGTCGGCACTACCGTTAAACTTTTAGGAAGACTGCGGTTAGCTGGAGTCATGAGGACTTCTACCACTGCCACTGTCCACGACGACCATGACTAGTAGCACTAAGCCAGAAACGCGAGCGCTTCCACTTCCAGTACCATTACCACCACCACCTACTATTTTACTAGTTCCGCTACTTATACTAATCACTACTAGAAAAGATACCAGAGTCCTACGACGTCCTACGACCACGACGACGACGACTGCTGCTACTACTACTACTACTACGATGACGACTACTACTACCACTACTACATACTAACACTACGAAAACGCGACGACAACTGTTGCTACGACCATAACACATTTTTCTGAAGCCAGCACCTCTGCTGTTAGTATTTTCTGCCAGTAGAATGTTCCCAGTGTTGTCGTTGTTAGAATTAGAACCACTGCCGCCGCATGTAGTTATTAGTGTTGATCCAGCGTTATTGTTGCGATCGGTATTTTGACGACATGATTCTTAGTATTCTTATTGCTGCTCTTGTAATTTTTCAAGGTATGATGTTGGCTTGTGTCGTTGGTGTCATCACGATTGCCATTGCTATTGCGGCCACGACGACGGCTACTAGGACCACACCCAGCAGCAGCAGCAGCAGCAGCAGCAGCAGCAGTAGCACTAAATAAGCAACAAGCACAACTGGGACAGCACTGCCCATAGACATGATCCTCATCAGGGTCCCAGCATGACCTCCACGATTCAGCCAGTCCTCAATGAGTTTGTCTTTGTGCTATCTTCAGCTACGTGATGTTTCCTATTTGGGCTGAAACCGCACAACTACTGGCTGGTGTCTGGCAATCGCACAGAGCTCAGAGGCAAACAGGCTGGCGTGAGAATCGCATGCTCCCTGACGGGGCTTCTGCAGGCTCGCGCGGACCCGCTGAAGCAGAGCGCGGCTGGTGCCGTAGCTGTGGCCGCGCGCCAGCACACGTTTTCCGAATTTCTAAATACTAATAAGGTTCACGAACTAACTGCATAGTTCATAATCATGATAATCCATCTCGTCCGGCTCAAGATTTGTAAGCCTCATCTTGTTTGCTGCTACTTGTAAAGGTTTCGACGGATCCTGCTGTGCGGGGTTTGCAAATCCGGATGACAGTACGGAGACTGGCTGTGGCAAATCAAGTTGCCGCTCCCAATGCACATTTTGCACGGAGCTGTTGTTAATGAGGGTCCTCGAAGAGTTCTCAGACGAGCGTGAGTGTCTGAGATACCCACCCTAAACTCCAAGCCCTTCAGCCCAGCTGCCGGACTATTGCACCGCGTTGACAATCTGCCTGTTCGCTTGCAGACTTTCCAGAAAGCACCCAACCTCAGGAAGTCTTACCCCATCACCTGTCTTATCCGATCATAGTCAGCATCATCATCGTCACCATCATCATCGCCATCATCATCATCATCATCGTCATAGACATAAATATACATGCGCATATATATATATATATATAAATAAATATAAATATATATATATATATATATATAT